CGGGTTGCGGGGGCAGCAGCTAAGTCTTTTTTTTTCTTTTTCTTTTTATAAATTCATTTGCAAAGGAGCTCCACACTAATTGATTGGATTAGTTGCTCCCAAACATTTCATTTCATTTTATTTAATTGTGATTGGAATAAAGGAAAGATTAAGCCTATTCATGTTTATTTGCCTAATCGTATTGGCACATGTCTTGAATTGATGAGAATTTTACCCATTTGCCGAGAATTAACTTATTTACCAGGATTTCTATAAACTTTGAGTGTGTTAATGTTGCTCTGAGCTGGACCTCATAGAAACAATTCATGGTGTAAAAAATATGAATTTGTTTTATCCCAACATGAGATCATTTGCCTGGACTTTATGGATGCCACAGGGTCCAGGCTGAAAGCATTGTGGAACTCTGACTGTTCCGTTATTATTCTGCAAGTGCTGAAAAAGACCAAAAGATAGCAGACGTTTTATTCAGGGGTGTCCAAATGTGGCAATTTTCCCGCCTTCTGCAGAATTGACTCAAAGTATGAATGTAACTTTTTATTAGATAAGTAGTACCTTTATAACCTCGATAACATAACATTGCACTGTGATATAAATATGCTCGTATGATAGCTCCAATTTAAAGTGACTTTTATTTTTATTAAGGTGATATGTACGTCTACATCAGCAAGAAAAGGGGGCAATTTTCGGCAATAGAACAACGCTTTCTTTCTGTTTAGATAATAATTTTTGCACCTAAACATCTTCAAGTTCCTACAGATGTATTAAAGCCGGCATAGTAGGTTTAATTTTGCATCACCATAAAAGGTGTTCCCATTGCTATGAAGTAAAATACAGGATAAATGCAGACTTTATTGTTTTAAGAAGAATAAGATGGACCATTTTATGCCACAAATTCCCAAATGTAATGTGTTTTTAACTAACATTGGATGAATAAAAGGGGTAAATTAGTTTGTCACCAAGGCAACTGGAATGTTAAAACTTGCTTCAAAGCGAGGTTTAATTTCTCCCTGCCTCTGCGTAGGTTTCCTCCAGGTGCACCGGTTTACCCCAACACTAAAAACATGTTATCTTTTCCCTACTGAGAGCTGATTGTCTGAGTGAGAGTGGTCCTCTTTTTCATTTTTTGTCTTTTTTGGTTCAATACATTGGTATAGAACCCAATAGTTTCGAGAGCTAGGAAGTCAAGATTTTGTCGTTTCACAGTTGGGTATTCCATTCCAGCTTTAAGGAAAGACGGTTTGGACACTCCAGATTACAATGAAACTAGCTCCTCTTCAGCCTGCACTTTCTGGCATCGAGAAATCACAAGGTCGGGGAAAAGAAACTTGAAAATGTAAGACAGCCTAAGAAGCTAAAAAAATGTGGCGCTGTGTTTTGAGCAATAAATGCACCGGGTCCGATACCACTGTTGAAAATCTGGTTTCTCGCTCATTGTGACATTTATAAAACTGTATAGTCTTTAAGTGGCTGTAAACAAGTTCAATATACAATGATGCTATTCTGACTGCGATAGTGGATCCATTGTATTATAAAAAGACCTACTGTTTACCTCTAGCCCCTGCCTTAAATCCAGTCCGAGAATAGCAGAGTGTATCCGAACAATATTCCGCTTTAGTTCTATAATGCAGTCTGCTAAGAAATATTATCAGCCAAGTAGATTGAATTCTTTCTCACGTTTACTTGTCAATTTCCAGCGTATGAGTTGCTTCTACCTTGCATGGCCATCACAACCCCCCTCCTCCCCACCCTCCCCCCAATACTATATTATCTCTGCTTTCAGACGTAATGTCATGTCATACATCATTTTGTATGGTCGGAAAATGTACTTCAGAGCCAGATGAAACGAATGATAGTGTTCTCTCCGAGTGAAATTCTTGCTCCAAAACACAAAGCGATGAGGTTTTTTTGTCGCTTCACTTGATTGAAACGGTTGGCTGACTTGTGTGCCTTAAGACAGACGGCTCTTATAGGTAGAAAAACAATCGATGATACAGTACTCGTGTCTATGGGGGATATCTTTGCTTCATCTGGTTCAACACAATCCAAGTGCATTCTATTGTAGATATGTGATTTTAACTCTGAACTGTACATTAAATAGTTATTATACTACAGAGCTGTGTGTATTTTTTCTTTCATTAGAGACAGAAAGAGACAGGCTGAACATAAGGAGCTTGGAAGGAGAGGATATGGTATTATTATTATTACATCTAGTATCAATTACAACATAATGAATTTTAAGGTTCAGACATGATTTGTTTTGAAGTGGTCTCTGGATGAACTTGGGGATAATCATTTTTATTTTGTGGAGGTGAGAAAGCCTCAAACCAAGTGTGCACTGGTTCACTAATCATAGCTCATTTATGAGGACTGTCACTCAGCCTGTCGAGATAATTACTACTACTTTAATAACCGAAAATTACCATTCAATAACCGATATATTTTAGCCCTCGAAATGTATCATTTGTGAATCGTCTGTGCATTGGGGATCATTTTGAAATAATTTGGGCAAGATGACATTTTAACAATAGAAGGTTTGGAGTGAAAATTAACATGGTGCAATTGAATGAAAAGAATTATTCACGCACACAGTCTTGAATATTTTTGCTTGATGAAGGCGGAACACCGAAACGTCGCATCCCCAATAAAAAAACAATAAAAATGACAAGAAAGACGAGTAATTCTCTTCATGATGAGTAAATATTTAAGCATAATTACCGTTAGATTAGATATACTATATTGATTTCAAAATGGAGAAATTCAGTAATTACTTTTGTTCTGTTGTATTGTGCGTATTTTTTTCGCAATCATTAAGAGCAGAACTTTACCATCTGGGATAATAAGTTATTGTCACATTTGCTTTTTTCGTGCGAATGTGCCTTCTGTTGAGCTTCATTGAAATAGGAGTTCAAATAATTATATTTAGTTCAAAAATTGTGAATCTATCCAAGCAACTTTTAAAAATCAAAATAATGTGTTCCAGTCTTTTGAGAGAATGTGCCTGTATGTGTGATTTATAAATGATGCGACCAAAACATCAACTTCTAAGCAAATAAACGAGTCAAACAGAATTCAATCATTTTGAAGTCGTCTTTACTGAATTCTGAATCTTATTGGCCAATTTGTGCACAAAATATCAACGACAGCATCTGTTCCATGTTCTACCATCAAAAGCTAAATGTTCTAGCAAAGTGCAAAATCCACGTTTCATTCATCGTATAAAATCACCTTACAGGATTTTGTCGGAAAACAAAAAAATCTAATCATTTATGAATAAATAAATACATGCATCTACTATCTGGCTCTAAATCAGCAAGGAAGTTTATGATCAAGGCTGTTTGGATTGGGCCAGTTTTGAGCTAGTTTCACAAAGGCATGTCAGAAAATGATAAAATGTATTTCTAAATATGTAATAAATAGTTTATACCAAAGAAGCACACAGAATGTTCAAGTCATTTTGAAAGTGATAATGACACCTGTGGATCATGTATTTTAGTACATTTGACATCTCAATAGTGATTTAAAACAATGTTATGTTGTTATTCTTTCAGTACACGTATGTATTCAGTCCTGGATATCGCTGCACTCCCGCCATTTTTTATAATTTTATATCTTTTTTTAAATGTAATGATTCAGCAGCGCAATGCTGCTGAATCGTCTGCACGTCGAAATGACTGAATAAAGTAAGAAAAAGTAGTGGTAGTGTATGGGAATAGAAATGTCTGAAAACATTTATAAATCAGTCAAAAACAGTCAAAAAGCTGAGAAAAGTCTATTTTGCTTATTCTATTAAAATAGTTTAGTTATGACAAGATTTGTGAAACTAGCTTCTGAAGCCAGTCACAACAAAAGCAAAAACTCATGTGAAATTGAGATTTCTTCAGTAAAACCAAACACAATCTCAAATTAAAAACAATGTCTGGTCCACATTAACATTGGCCCATTTGTTCATAACCAGATATTGGCAGAAAGTCAATCAATAAACTGTACAGAACAACCTAAAATAATAATGAAAAGTGCACAAACAACACGAGCCTGAGAAAAAATAATAGTTTTCATATATTGTACAATTGTTGGTAGGGGCTGAGCTAGTATTGATGATTTATGAACTGGGATAAGCTTTCAGATCTTCTCTCAATATTGACCGATTTCATTATTGCCAAACATTCTGTAGCTGCCCAGGCATCTGTGACAGACTTACCGTACTTTATTGACTATAAGGTGCACTACCTAAATTTGAAAAGAAAATCAATATTGTCCAGATATAAGCCGCATTTGAATATAAGCTGCGTTTTTTATGTTGTAGAGTAGCAAATATGTCTATTTTACATAAGTTGATTTAATGACTGTTTTTAACGGCATTAGCTTCGGCATTAGCTCATGCATTAGCTCATGCATTAGCTCATGCATTAGCTCATGCATTAGCTCATGCATTAGCTCATGCATTAGCTCATGCATTAGCTCATGCATTAGCTCATGCATTAGCTCATGCATTAGCTCATGCATTAGCTCATGCATTAGCTCATGCATTAGCTCATGCATTAGCTCATGCATTAGCTCATGCATTAGCTCATGCATTAGCTCATGCATTAGCTCATGCATCGGTTCCCTTTCACCAGTTTATTTTGACAATAAACAAGTGTCCTTTAGCTCCTAAAACTTAATAATAACAATAATTCTTCAATAAACTCTTGACAAACTTTTGACAGCAATCACAATAAATAATAAACATATTTGTCGCATGTAGTCCAGAAAATACGGTACGTCTTAAATTTAAAAACACAAACCATCACAGAAAAAAAACATGTACAGTATATGTCCCTATAAAAACTAGTTTTGTCAAGGCGCGTGACCTCCGGTGTTTTGATGAAAAGGAGTCTGTGTGCGGGCCTAAATGGTGAAAAGCCTTTCATATCAAGTTCTGGCACGATGGAGCGTCGTCACGGCAACGGTTGAAAAAGGGTCGATGATTGGTGGATAGTGGAGGCCGTTACTTTTTCTTTTTACGGAGGGCAGAAGTCGGCGAAGTACGGGTGCTGCAAGGCCTCCTCCGCTGAGATCCGCTGCACTGGGTTACATTTCAACAGGTTCTGGGAAAAACATACGGACAGTGTTCATAAGCAAGGCAGGTTTATTTGTATAGCACAATTCATGCAAAAGGCAAAGCAAAGAAAAGTGATTTTACAAGAAAACTAAAAAAAACATTGTCATCATAGAGCTTGAGAGTTTGAGCTGAGAAAAACAAGATTTGGTTTGTAGAGGAACTTTATGAATTATTTGTAGAGGTTGCAGTAAAAGTCTTTCGAACTGGAGCGTCTAACTATGGCTGTTATTTCAGTACTTTCTTTTACCTATTTCTACTTTCACCAAATACTCTCCTTATTATTTATGTTAATTTTTAGCCTTGATTCGTCGAAGATAATCCACAATAATGAGGCGAAAACAGAAGTCAAAATTTGAACAATGGTAATCATGATTTTGAGCCATAATGGAGTGGCCCATTTTAAGATTTTTGTAATTCAATATTTTGTGAGAATTGCTGATAATGCAATAAATTATGTTTGCAAATAATATGTACAGTATGTGTTTTTTTCAGCTGCAGATTCTACTGCCAGATTGGTGAGGTACACTTCTCGCTACAGGTGAGAAACATCAAAATTATAACAATTATTATAACACCATTATAGCAGTTGCACATGGTTCTAATACATGAAAGGACCGTAGCATTACCTGGAGTAAGTCTCGGCCTGTGCTACTTAGTTTTGGTACCACATTAACCAGCGAGGTGGTGGCTGGATACATTGGATATGGCTGCAGGCAAGAAAAGAAAAACATTTAAGTTCCAGCTTGTCAGTGAAGAAAACGTGCAAACAGAACAAAAAAATCAATAATTCACCTTGTAGTCTGGGAGTTTGGTCATTGTGGGCCACTGCTCTTCAGTCGGTGTGCCCAACAACGTGCGGAGAAGTTAAAGATACACAAACTGAAGCGAGCTCTTTTAATCATTCAATAGCAGCCGCCTTAACCCAAAAACTAATGGCTTGTTGTCTCACGAAGCAAAAGTCTGCACCGTCTTTGTCAATAACACCAAGTGATCCAAAAGGATATCGGAAGATTCTCTTGAGCTGGTCGTCCACGTCGTTGCCAGGGAAGAGTGGGCGCCCTGCATTAGCCAGCTCTGCAGTGCACACACAATGCAAAAGTGTGATTTAGAAGTATGTTTTGGAAGATTGGTTCTCCAGAGTCTATCCTAAATACTGGAGGTGTTTTGGCGAGAGTGTAACCTGAGGTAGTAGCATCACGCTTTCATAAAAGAGGAGAATGTGCTGAACCAGAGATTTAAGTCCTCTATAGGAGCCAGGGCCTAATTGGGCTGGCTACACTCCCTTTAAGAACTTAGAGCCAGATTTGACTATTGCATGGGGAATGTAAACTGTAGGAGACGGGGTGTATAAAAGGCAGATTTTAAAGTCAACATATGCTCCTATCTGATTCATAGTGATTGTGATTATCTATGACGCTCATGGTTCCCCAATTCATATTTGATTCATAAGTGTCAATATTGAGTTGAGTACAATGCACATCAAACTTTAATTATCAATGTCACTACATAGAATTTTCCAGCAAATCATTCATTTACTTCAATATTGTACATTATTCAAACTCGAAAAGCAGAGGAAGTAAGAAAAAATTTATAAATTCCCACCCCTGTAAATACCATATTTACATCTGTGTGTTTAGAGCCCGTAGCAAAGCAATGTGCAACAACACAACGGCAACAAGCAGCACAATGACCACAGCCAATCCCGACGCAGCAGGCACCGGGGCAGCAAATACATTTAATATCACGGTTGAGTCGATTCTTCATGTTATCCTGCTTTCAACTTTGAGCTTTTAAATTGTTACAAATTGTTCCCTCATCAAAAACAGAGCTGGAGTTGTTTTTAGGTTTGTGCTGATATCTCGCCTGGGAATAATTTCAATCTGCACTGCAACCTGGAAACTCGAGTTGAGATTTTCGCATGAATTTGGGACCAATCACAGAACGGAGAGGGGTGGTAAACTTCTGTCGCGCAACATAAATTTAGAAAAGATAAAAACGTTATTGTCCCCAAGGAACTGTGGGATACAGTGCTACATAGAGTTGTATGAAAAAAACACTGCGTTGAATTGACTTTTTTAGCGCCCAATTAACGGCTATGGACAACCGTAAACACACCTCTCCTACAACAAAATACATAGACGTTCCCAGATTACATATTCACTTGTGATTTATAGCCAGGCTAGCTAATATCAGCCCCTTCAGCCCCTGTCTCAGTAATGCCATTGTACCACTATGACATCACACAATTTCTGCCTTTTAAAAGGAAAATTATTGCTCACACATTAGTTTAGGAAATTTCTCAAATGAATTACATTCTTCAAAAATTGAATGGCTTTGTGTTCAACAAGGAATTTTAAAATTTGGAATAAAACAAATTCTACTCCTTCCAACACAGCAAAAAAGTAATTAGAAAACAAGCTCAAGTTTGGCAAAATATATCTTCATTTGAGCACATTTCGACTGCCTTAAAAACAAGATTTGCTCGAGGGACAAGCTAAAATATCATGAAATGTCTCCCTTGGAATGATAAGATAAAGCAACAATTCTTTCAATTCTGACAAATCTTGTTTTATAGATAGATTAAGATAAAAAACCCTCAATTACCTCATATCTGATCATTTTTTGCAGTAGTAGGATAGGGATAGGCCAGGGCCATATAATTATTTACACTTAAAATCCTTTCACCATACATTTTCAACTCGGGTTTTTATTTCACGTTTGAAAACATGAAATGACAAAAAAAAAAAAAAAAATCGCCAAAAATATGTGCAAAGTTTTTTTGTTAAAATGAAACCTCACCTGCAAATATGCATCCAGCAGACCACATGTCAATTGAGGTAGAGTAGAGTTTTGCACCAAAGAGCACGTCAGGAGGCCGGTACCACAATGTCACCACCTGCATCACACAAACCACACACACACACACACACACACACACACACACTTATATTACCCACAAACACCAAGACAAATGTGCTGCCATTACGGGCCTTATTTGGGAAATCTGCCGGACATTTTTAAACTGACAGACTTTGACAGATTCGACTCGGACGACTTGGCAGCGCTGTCACTAGGCGCCATCTGTTCTCCCGGTGCCGATTCTTGACATTTTTTAACAAAGTCCTCTAGCGCCGGTCGGACAGAGATACTCATTTCTCTTTTACTTATCAGAAAAAAAAGTCTGTAATGAAGTGCACATTCAGGCAGGCCTCAGGAATAAAATATGAGAAGTGAGATTTTTTTACAGGGGCTGCGAGTGGGAGGGATGAATGCAGAGTAGAAGGTGCTTGAAAGTTTCATTGATGCGACAGCTCAACCCTTCGCTGACCCTCGGGGACTTTTACAAGCAATTTGGAAAAACAATAACAGAGAATGGAATAGAAAGAGTGGCCTGGTGGCTTGGAATAGTAAAAGTAGTTAAAAAGGTATTCCAAAGTCACTTGCAATTGCTGAAGTACTTTTTAATATTGAAATTCTAAAATATTCATGTGAACAATGGATTTTTTTATCAAAAAACATCTCGGCTCGAGATGTTGTTTGGTGTGCTGTAAGAAATTACCCAATATCACCTAGTTGGTAAAAATAAAGTAAGGGGAAAATAATGTGTGGAGATTAGAAAGACAATAATGACTTTCCTTTGTTAAAGTTAGACGAGATTTTCAATGGTGTACCATGGCTGAAAAAGGTTGGGGAAAACTGGTTTATACAGTAGTAGGGCTACAATTAACAATGATTTAACTAATTTATTTGTTGACCTTGTTGTTGATCTTGTGATTTTGGATTCTGAAAGGTCAGAGAACAATACATGGCATTTTTTTTATACATTTGACCAAAATAAAGCTCCAGTGATGATCAATTCAAACAGTAAACTTGTTAAAGGCACACCGCGGACTTTGTGACCTAAAGAGTTGACACATATGAGTTATTTTATATGAATACTTGGGCCAAGGACACTTGCAATGCTCCGAGCGGGGCTGCCCTCTTGAAATACCGCCCATGTAAGTTTCGAGCAGACGGACCGTCTGCCACCAGGTCACGTGACTTGGAAGAAAGACTTGCTTTACGGCTACAGGCGCTGATATACTCATGGAGCTAAGGCTTTTGCTACTCATTTTTCACCTGCTCGACTCCTGGTCATGGCTGAGGCAAGGAAAAATTTTAAACCTTCGGAGGAGGCTAAAAAGAGGAAACGCGAAAGGGATCGTGCTGTAAGCTGCATGTCTGTATGAGCGCTGCTCTTCACCTGGTTCCTGGATGTCATCGACTGCAAAGATGTCATTCCACGCAGCACGAGCTAGACGCAGAACTCCCTCATCCAGGATATAGAAGTCCATGTGTGGTAGATTACTAATGCAGCGGTCTGGAGGCTGACCACAGCAGAGTCTCTCAATATCTGTAGGCATGTCTCTACAGTTTGAACACACACACCAGTGCATGCTGTCTGAATACACACTCAAAAGACACCGGCTGACTGTTTGTTGACTTTTGCGACAGTGCTGAGTTGCTTGTGGCCACTAGGGGCGCTAAACGTGAAAGTTGCAGGTCTAGCGCCCCTAGTGGCCAAGAGTTACACGGTGTGCCTTTAAGAATACTTCAATATGGCAGCCATTATAGAATTATTTGAGTCATACAAATTCTCAGCATCTTTAAGTCCTTGTACGGTTAAAAATGAAATCAATAACTAAATTATTTGACAACTATTCAATTGTTTTGTGATTCAATTGATTAACTTGTTAAAGCCTTACTGTAAAGGACTATGCCTTCTGAGCTATTCCTAACGGCGATTTTTTTCCTCTACCAACTTTTTCCTTTGCATTAGGGGTCATGTTTGCTAATATCATTCTTGACAATATAATATTTCACAATCAGGTTAAGGCTAGGTGATGATTGGGGTAAGCAGGACATGGTAATTTAGTTAAATCTATAGCGTCAAGGAATAAATGTCAATCGGGTCTGGGCATAAGTGTGTTGGGAAAAATGAAACGTATTCCCATTACACGGCTATGAGAACTTGATATAATTGATTTGACTTTAATTAAATTTGCCAACGTGTATTTTGCTTCTGAACATACCTCTGCAGAGTAACACCTCACAGGAATCCCGAACGCTCGAGCCAAGCCAAAGTCAGCCAGTTTCAGTTCTCCATTCTAAAGACGGAGGAAATATAAAATCAGGGTTTTAACATTATATAAAACGCTTTAGAACACAAACAAATCTATTCTTTACTCTGTTGATGAGTAGATTCTGTGGCTTCAGGTCACGATGCAGCACATTCCGGCTGTGGCAAAAGGCAAGGCCCTTCAACAACTGATACATGAATGACTGCGAAACACACAATGCACTGCTTTAAAAACTATGACACGAATAAAAAAGTCGAATAAAGTTGAAGTCCTTTACCTTCACCGTTTCGGGATCTAGATCTCCATTGCAGCTGTCGAAATATTTCTTCAAATCCTTCAACATGACAATCATTAGTAAGTAAATGCACTACAGGTCAACACTACCCCATTTTTCTGAGTCAATAGTTTACAAATGTGTATGCTGTTTATGTTTTATAACAAGGAAAAGGGTTTATAGTACAACTGTGCCATTAATTCAAAATGATTACACTTCACAATTACCAAAATGGCATAATTGGATGGATAGAAAAAATACATTTAGTCTCTTTTATATTTTAATGAGAAATATAGAAGTATATAGCCATTTACAAACGGCAACATACTTAAATGTAAACGTTTTTTATTTAATTTACAATAATCTGTTATATGTCCATAAATTAACATTTATTATACGAGTGCTTTTTCTTTTTTTGTGGAAATTACAATATTCATTATTTTCAAATATGTTTATCATTGTACTTATTCTTTTATAATTGTGATTTAATTTATTAATAAACCAATTGGGAATATTATGTTTTCTATAAATAGAGCAGACCTAGTTCATTGTTTGGATTATTGAAGTCTATTTGGAACATTGTGCTTGTCTGTTAATGTGAAACACTATATTTAATACAAAAATATCTCACCTGGTCACAATATTCAAAAACCAAAGTTAACTTCTTGTCACTGTGCAAAACATCATGTAGCCTAAAGACAGACAACACATCAGTCTCAAACATTGCATTCAAAGAGATGGATAAATATGACAACGTGTTAAAACTTTTAAACTAGACTTACCTAACAATGTTTTTATGTTTTAATTCTTTCAAAAGACAGATCTCTCTGAGTGCTGAGCTGGGCACCCCCTGAGAATAAACACATTGTTATTGCCTTGTCTATAAATGGAAAATAAATCAGGTATAAATTAAGTATAGGAAACTCATACCTCATCATCGTCGTCTAGTCGGACTCGTTTCAGAGCCACGATTTCATGAGTTTCTCTATTTTTAGCCTTGAACACTGTCCCATATGTACCTGTCATAACAAACAGCTTTAGCTTCTTTCAATCCAGAAATATTACAGAAGATTGCTTTAACCAGACATAGCATTAACCGGATTGTAAAGCTGACACAGGCGTATTTGAATATCACAATGAAAGGCAGGCACGATTGAATGAAAAAGATGATATTCTCAATTTTTTCCCGTGTCAATGAATGCTAATGCTAGGTTAGCTGTGGATGCTACTTAGCAAATTAAGGTCTAATCTCTCCAATGGAAAACTCACCCTCTCCGATCTTTTCAAGCTTTTCATATTTCTGCATTTTTGGCCCGTACAGCCAGCCTTGCCCACTGGCGCAGACCGACAAAGCGACAGAAGTTGGTTGTTTATTTGGGATTTTTGCTCAGAAAAAGCTCCACTTCTCCTGCTGCAGCTGACAAACCCTGGCCGCCTTTGTGCGCCCCTAGAGGCGGAGCGGGGAACTGCAGCGCTGTCAAACGATAATTACATTGCAGAGGCTCGTCCATTATTGAACGCCTTTTCGACTATGTATAGACCTGTTGAATTTATTACACTGCAGAGTTGAGACCTGACGAGCGAGATTGCATTTCAGTATTTGCCCATTACAATAAAACACCTACTACTCACTCATTAAAGATTCAAAGCTGGGCTACCTAACTTTCAAACCACATCATATGGAAACATGTAATAAAATAAAAACTCAACTGTGATAAATTAGTAAAATTGTAATAGCTATATTAAGAGTAAGAAATCCTGTATATGCCCACAGTGGGGACAGAACAGTAGGAATGAGGAGTACACAGAACAAGATGAGTGAAGAATAACTAAATTGTATATATGTATATACACTTTATAGTTTTGATAAAATATCTTTATTCACATAATTCTCTCTAACAGTCAAATTAGTCAACTGAAATCATATTTAAATTAAAACTGTACAATAGTTTTTTAATGGCGGAGAAGCCATCTTCCCATGGACCCACCACCTGCAGGAGGATCAGTGAGGGACTGGTGCCATGAAACTTGGGTAGCAGCTCTGATTGCCACCCCCCGACCCAGAAATGGACTAATAAAGGGGCAGACGATGATGACAATAGTTTTGAATCACTCCTTTGATTCATCTTGAGGGACACAGATGCAACCATTTTCCCAAGCACCATAATTATCTACAATCTTGTCACTAATATCCACTTATATGCACTTTATTTCACATTTCTCTCATAGAATCAATCTATAAAGTCGTCGGAGTGTTCATTTCTGCTCCTCTGCTCTTTGCCTGCGGATGAGATCGGCGTACAGTCCTCCTTTGCTCAGTAGTTCCACATGAGTCCCAGCCTGAAAAAAAGACAAGACGCTTGAGATGATATTTAAAGTGTACAGTTCATTTATAGCAGCAAGAGTCTCCAACCTGTCGCCCAGGAGCTTCTCCGGAGGATTTACAATTTACATAAATATGCTGAATATTCCAAGATATATGATTCCCACTACGGTAAATGCATTTTCATTTTGTAATAAATGATAATTAGTGACAGTTCCCCATTTAAGGCTAGATCTCACCATTACATTGACTCATTTCTCCCCAGACGCTTAAAGGAGTAGCTATTTTAGTCCTGTGAAAGACACTCTCCAGGTTAAAAAAGTTGGAGACTCCTGATTTACAGTGTCCAATAGAAATGCATGAATGAACATTAAGAGTTGGATTAAGCTGTCCAATAGCAACAACAACATGTTCACCCCCCAAATCAATGGATTGGATATAATAAAACCGTACAAATAATATTTTCTTTTTTCTGCACCAGTAAGCAATAGAACCCAAACTAGTGCTGACAAAAGCCAATAAACAATCAATCGCCTCTTTAAAAAACAAATTAACAAGCACAAGTATAAGGGCAGGGGTACCAACTCCCCCCCATAAATAATACATTATGTTAATTTCAACAGAAAGGGTCCTGTCAAAGTAAAGGCTTTGAACTATTGACGCTTTAGGCTAAGAGCTGATGGGTTTTGAGAGAGAGGAACTAGTTGATGAATTTCATTACATAGTTAATTTATTGGGGTTTGAAAGTTAGATACTCCAGTTTAAAAGTAATCCCATTAGTCTAATACATTACATTACATTATTCCATTTTACACCTCAAGAGCAAATTGCAGATATATTGATTTTTTGTGCGTATCTTTGTGACAAAATAAGACTCCCCAGTAAGCAATGTTAAGTTTATAATTGAGGTCCAACATTGCAAAACAAAAAATATTGTAACGGCTCAAATAGGAGTTTGTAGTCCAGATATAGGTTTAAAATAAATATGCTGCTGGACACCTGAATTTCTCCAACGGGGGATCCATAAAGCATCTATATATCTATCTATCTAAAAGTGGTGAGTGAAAGCTAAAAGTCAGTGAACAAATTAGTAAAGAACACAGAAAGCTCATTTTTCACCTAATGCATTAAAAACAATAGAGCATGAATACATATAGATACACACTCACATGCTCACACAGAGACCGTACCTCTACGATGCGTCCGTTGCTCATCACACATATGAGGTCTGCTCCCTGGATGGTGCTGAGTCTGTGAGCGATGATGAGCACAGTGCGCCCCCTAGTGGCCCGGTCCAGCGCCTCCTGCACCACACGCTCTGACTCAGCGTCCAAAGCACTGGTAGCCTCATCCAGCACCAGGATGCTGGGGTTTTTAATGAGCGCTCTGGCTATGGCTATGCGCTGTTTCTGCCCGCCGGATAGAGTCACGCCTCGCTCCCCTGGAATTCAGAACACTCAAATTACATTTACAAATCAATTTATGTATTTTTTTGTATTGCCCAAAATCACATCAGAAATGGTTCAGTGAAAAGTGACACTCCAAGAAAGTGACAGATGTGTTGATTTTTCAAAAATAGATTTGAAAAACAAGGAAATAAAACACATTGGAGAGATAAGAAGAGAAGCGAATAACACTTGGAGTCCCAGAATTATACAATACAATACATCCATCCATCCATCCATTTTCTACCCTTTAATCCATTTCTGGGTCAGGGGGGTGACAGTCAGAGATGCCACCCAAGTCTCATAGCACCAGCCCCTCACTGACCCTCTGCAGGTGGTGAGTCCACAGGAGGACGGCTGCTCTCTGAGTGTGAGCATAGCCTTGATCTTTCAGTGGGGGCTTTGGGCAAAGTGGGGTTAAGTGTCTTGCCCAAGGACACAACGACAGCAGTCATCAGTGGGAGTCGGTGGAGAAGGTGCAGAGGTGGGAATTGAACCCACGACCTTCTGGCCTTAAGGCCAATGCTCTGCTCTACCAACTGAGCTACTGTACAATACAATACAATACAATTTATTTTTGTATAGCAAGCACCAGTGATTATCATCTAATTATGAAACTACTAGAACTCCCAGACCCGTCATTTTGACTGCTCTAATTCAAACCTATGGAAATCTGGGAAATTTCCCGCAAAAAGTTCAATTTTCCAGGATGTGTTTATTGTAAGACTGGTTATAATAATATAATAATATAAAAACGGTTTGTTGAAAGGCTACCAAATGCTAACTGCTGGCTATTAAACAGTGTGTTGCTATGGTGACAAAGGTAAAGAAAAAAGAAAAAATAGATAATGACATAGAAAAAAACTACACATAGTTATGTAGATCAAACATGTACATACGCTGAGTTATTACACTTCCAAAACTAAAAGCCATCAATTGACTGCTCTGGGAGTTCTAGTGTTAAGGTCCCAGGTTATATTCAAGAATGGTCCCGTGACGTGCAGGAGATTGATATAAAGCTGGGGTATCTAAACTTTTATTTCACGAGTTTTCACATGCATGTATCTTTTGGATTTTGTCACATATTTTGTTAGACAGAAAAGTGAAAAAGAGAGGTCCACCCTCACTCGGCCAATCAGCTCATGAAGGCAACATGTTTTGGCCTAATTAATACACAACATAAAAAACAAAATGTAATATTTATGGGCAGAAAAGTAGGGACCCCAACTTTAAATTTGTGAAGCAGATTTCTCCTGCTCTAAAAAGCTCTTCACTAATGAATATACTGTAAATGGTGGTTTTCCCCTTTAGTTCTACTATACTCTGCTGTGTAAGTGTTACTAGGCATGGTTAATTGCCAAAAAACCATCTCACATACCGACCACTGTGTTATAGCCGTCTGGGAAGCTGGTCACAAAGCCGTGAGCGTTGGCCTGTTTGGCTGCACTGACCACCTCTGCATCGGAGGCCTCGGGTTTCCCAAAGCGAATGTTCTCCATGATAGAGGATCCAAACAACACCGGCTCCTGCACACAGAGAGCAGCGGGTTTAAACTCTTGTTCGACTGCTTCAGGTGAATAATATGAAAATTTAGTAATTAGGTAAATGACCTGATTGATAAAGCCAATAACTTGTCCTCTGAGCCAGGACAGGTCGAGTGTCCTTATGTCCAGTCCATCCAACATGACCACTCCGCTGTTTGGGTCATAGAAACGCTCCAGTAAAGAGGCCACAGTGGACTTTCCTATCATAAAAAGTAAACTGTTAAATTACAATTGACTTAAAGTATTAACATAAACATTTATTCAAACTTTACCTCCGCCTGATTCTCCGACAATGGCTACAGTTTTACTCGGTGGCAACGTTAGGTACAGCTTCTTTAACACTTGATGGCCAGGTCTGGTTGGGTAGCTGTAATAATAATAACAATAATAATGATAATAATAATGTGTTTTTGTAAGTGTTTTATAATTATTTTGTATGTTTTGTGTCTTTAAAGATACTGGTTGTTTACAGGGTAAAAGTAAAATGTTACACAATTGATAAATACTTTAACAATGGTTTCTGAGTTTTGCCCGTTCTTATGATAGATCCATGGTTTCTCCTTGCTGATAGATGCAATGGAGCTCTTATTATTGCATTTCTTGCCTTCTAAATATTTGATTCTATAATTGTTGTTGTGGAATTGACAATGTTTTCCCATGAGTCCTATGAGACAACTGACAAGTGATTTAGGGCTATGCAAAAATACATTTAATCAAGTTGAATGTACGTACTACTACTGCAATGCCTTTTCCTCTGGCCTTGACTTTACTGGACTGTACCTTAGCTAATATTTGTAGTAGCTAAGGTTCAAACTAACCTAAAAGAGACATCCATAAACTCCACTCTTCCAATGAGAGAATGAAAGGGGATCCGGCCTCCGACACTGATGGGAATACTGGGCTGCAAGGCCAGGTACTCAAAAACCCGGGCTCCAGAGCTCATTCCCCTCACCACCTACAAGAAAAAAATATATATACAGTGAAACCCCCTTTCATAAGTCTATTCAACTTAGACTGTGATATAACATAATGTAACCTGCACTAGGACTGTGAACTCGCATCGCTATAATTATTTTTTTATTTTAATTGTATATATATATTCTTAACACGTTTGCACATTTCCTGTCTTTTTGCACAACCGGAGTGATCCTATGTATGCCAAATGTGACGTGTGCATTCCTAAGTGGGATGTATCAAGTAATAAATTATTCTTAATCTCAATCTTGTGTATATTTTAACATGAAACAACCGGATACAAATCACCAAATGATAAACCGAAATACAAAGTTTGAAAAGAATGTTGATTAGAATGTATTGATAATGGACTGCAAGCCAGAACCATAAAAATGAAAACGCTTGGCTTATGTGACTTTGCATGTACTGAGTCTATGTCATACAGTATATTGGTTTCACAGTTTAAGCTGAATTACAGAAACAAATTAATTTCACCTGTATACAATGATACTTTTAACTATTACACACACAAAAATGTCAGTAATGAATAGGATTTACCTGTCCAAACAGGATAGAAATACTTGCCAGTGACCTGAGAGACAAATATTATATGTTTATTTCTTGACTAGTAGCCAAGTCAATATTTTTGAATGGATAATATGTTATGTATACCTCTGTACTGTCTGGGAAGCCACCAAAAAGGACATAAGGTCTCCAGGGGACATTTCATTGCTGGATATTAGCGTGCCTCCAGCAAAAATAGTTCCTAATACAATGCCTGTGTAAGGAAAATATCAGTGATGCTTGATCCTTCAGTTTAATTATATAACAAAATATACTCACAATTCAGTGCAACATTAGACATTCCTTGGAAAATGGCTATTCCGTTTCCAAGACTTTCATTCATTTCGCAAGATTTGTCAACTTCCAGTGCGTATAATCTTTACAGAAATATAAAGTATGAATGACTGAAGTGTGAGGAGATAAATGTAGCTCTAAATCCAGTGTATATGAAGTGACTTAGTACTTACTGGAGCTCTCGGTCTTCCATGGCGAATGCTTTGACGGTGCGCACGTTGCCGAGGGCCTCGTCTGCCACACCGGTAGCTTTTGCAACCTTTGGGGAAAACAAGAGTAAGTAGTGAACAAAAAAAGTAAACAAGAAGTGAATGCAGAGAATCCGTCACTAGCTGTGGTAGCGAACAGGTTAAACTCGGAAAAGTAGAATATTGTTCAAAAGGTACTTCTGTTTTTCAACTTACAACGTGAAACTAAAAGACTGACTTATTGACAGACATTTGACAGAGTTATTAACACGCAATGTGAGGAATATCAAGCTTTTATTGGTTATAATGTTGATAATTATGGCCCACAGTTTGAAAAAAGCCAAAATAAAACATTGACAATTAGAATATTTTGAAAATGGACTGTAAGCCATGATCAAAGTTATAATGTTGTTAATCGAATACTAATATTACTTTGTATGTAATGAGTCTTTAACCTCCTTTGAACAATATTCTAATTTTGTGAATTTCACCTGTATTTGATAAAAGCAAATATTAGCATGCCATATGTGTTAGGATGTAAAATCATATTCTTAACTGTAAATAAAAAAAACTTCAAAGCAGCTCTGTTTGTGACCAGTCTCTCCATGGCCTCACACCAAAAGTACATCTGCGACATGTCGGTGCCAAATGAACCAACTCAAACTCTGAGCAGCACTGGGCTAGAAATGGGGATGCAGAATTTCAGATTTATGCAGCTGAAATCTGGAAGTCTTCCTGAAAATGTGAGACAGGCTTCTACTCTGACAATATTCAAATCCAGGTTAAAATCTGTTATGTTTAGCTGTGCAGACAACTCACTCTTTTTAATTTAAAGCTGCACTAACTGACTTTATTTTTGTATTCATTACGAAAATGCTATCCATGTCCATGTAGTGCATTTGGATAAACGTCCTTTTGAAGAAAAATTAGCACAGATTTGTGCTTCCGTGACATTATATTTTAGATCGAGTTTTGATGAAACAAGGAAGAGAATGTGTTTCGGGTCGCGGATTGTGACCAATCACAGCGGACCACTAGCCCCCACTTTTGTGAGAAATCTACAGGTCTCCGTTAGCATAGACGGCTGAGTTAGCACAACAAGCCGAGGAGCTAACCTGAACTTCCTCGTCTGCGTCACCGGTTACTGCTTACACAGCGAGACAGCCATCCAAAAGAAAGTCCCGTTCCTCTGTGCTTCCCGGTTCTATCGTTCTATGGTCACGCCATCCACGTGAAAATCCATATCCATGTATTATCCATATTGGAAGAGGCTAGCTCCGTCTCAACACTGTGTGTGTGTGGGGGGCGATAGCTTCGTGGGTGTGGGGAAGGGAGCAGAAAGAGCGAGGCCAGCGAGTCTGCTGCTTCAAAATCCCAAAGTCAGTTAGTGCAGCTTTAATGTGATTATTCATGATATTAACGCCTTGTGTGATTTTTTGAATTGCCTTGTGTATAAACTCCATCCATCCATTTTCTTCCAGTTCATCCGTTGCCGGGTCGCGGGGGCAGCAGTCTAATGCCGTGTTCAGACCGATCGCGATGGAGGCGAAAAAATCGCATCAAACGCCAGGCGTTTTTCGCTTGAATATTTGATGACACTCGCTTCTATCGCGGCGATTACTCGCTCTGTTCGCCTGCGGATTTTCGTCGAGATTTCGCCTCGCCGCGTCATCCAATAGGAGGAGCTTATGGCCAGTTGCCGGTTCCGGTTGTTGTTCAACTCAGCATGGCGGGCTTTGATTTTCTGGAACGAGTCACTATACTTTATTTAATGTGGAAAGCCGAACAGCGGCGGCAGCGACGCCGTCTCTGGGTCCACGATATCCTCCAGAGACGCTCCCAATATGGGGAGTACCACCATCTGCTCCAGGAGCTGCGCCTGGATGACGGTCGATTCCAGCGGTATTTCCGTGTGTCCAGGACCCAGTTTGAGGACCTGCTGTCCCGCGTTGGGGCTCGGATCACCGTCCGGGAGACCAACTACAGGCGCTCTATCTCCCCTGCAGAGCGCCTGTCCATCTGTCTTCGGTTAGTAAATCAAGCGGTTCTCAATAAATAAGATTCCAAATGTTATAATCCAAGTACTTTACATGTAAAGCCATTGTGCCACTGTTTAGCTTTTAGATTTATGCCAAACTAATCAGTTAGTTATGCCAAACTAGACACGATAAGCTCGTTTCAGGTGGGGGTTAGATAATTAATAGTCCATTAGGTTAGATAACTAAATGTTGTTCAATGCTACGTCACTGCTCGATTCAGTCCCTGATTGGTCAACGCCCCGCGAATTGACCAAAAAGTTCAGATTTTTCAACTCGAGCGAGTAGGGCGGTGGAGGCGAAATGGCTCTAGGCGCGCGTCAAACGCCCCTTTCGCCACTTTCGTTCCGCTCTTTTCGTTCAAAACGCCCTGTTCGCCTCGCTCTACTCTCGTCATTCGCACCGCCGGCCTGTCATTCGCTCCTGAGCGCACCCGGCCATAGACATAACATGTAAATCACTCGCCCCTGACTCCTCCATCGCGATCGGTCTGAACACGGCATTAGCAGAAACGCCCAGACTTCCCTATCCCCACACACTTCCTCCAGCTCGTCCGGGTATAAACTGTGCTATACAAATAAACTTGACCTGCCTTGCCTATTGTGCGATTGGGAATTCACCTGTTCTTGGGCGGCTCGGGACAGTTTTCTAAGCAGCGATCCGATCAGGGCTCCTCCTCCGACCAAACACGGCAGAACCACCACCGTGAGTCCAGTGAGTTTGGGAGAGATGAGGTAGAGCGAAATAAAGCACCCCACAGTCTGCGTCACACTCCTCAAGCCCTGAAGGAAACACAGTAAATTTCAGTGTTGCAACACCGGTTACTGAACAGCGGAAATGAGGAGCACACAACACAAGATTTATGAATAATAACTCTATACTAAGAAAAAAAAAATGAGAAAAAAATCTCTAGTTTTAGCATAATATAGAGGCAATCACATGTGCTTTGTTAACAGGGGTACCTAAAAAAACGCAAATAATACATCTCCTTTGTCCCAACAGAAAGCGTTTTGTTGACAAATCAGACCACTTGCTGTCTTCATCGAATTATAAAACATGTTATATTTTCACATACTTGCCCTGGATGTCACTATTTGACATTTTGGTCTGAGAAGCTAAGTAAAAAGGGTGCTTTCTTTTTTCTAAAAAAGCTGATCTAAAGACACTATTTTGAGATATTACATTCCTAATCATTTTTCCAAAGTTAGGTACCCGAGCTTTAACAACATATTAACACTACCTGTGATATGACTAATTTAAAGGACGACTTGAATTCTTGAATGTCAGCAGTCAGACGATTCACCAATTGCCCGGTTTTATTGGCATCGAAGAAAGCCACGTCCTGCCTAAAGAGACGAAGAAGAAGGACAAAGATGCGATTTTTGGAGAAACATTTAGTGGTATATTTGGATTTGCGTAGCCCCAGGAGTGAGCCTCAGTGTACCTCAGTAAGGACGAGAACAGGGTCTTCCTCATGTCGGCTGCCACCCTCTCTCCCACTCGAGACAACAAGACGATGTAGCCACTGGTGAGCAGGCCCTGCACACACACACTTTGATTAATGACGGCGAAAGAAGCCATTTTCCAGTAAATAACTCACTGACATTTAGGAGATTGCACGGGTATTTGTAAACGTCAAAGGAGAGCGAGAAAAGTAAAGGCAAACTCATTATATTTTGGGCCATGGTGAATACATGCGCAGGGAAGAATGCGTAATCTATACAGCAATTAGGCTTAGTTATTCTAATGGTTGATAAGTCACTATAATATTACTATGTTTTTAATTATTGTGTGATTGTAGTTGTTTGTAGTTGTTTGCAGTTGTTTTAAAAATCATAGTCTATGTCAAGTCTATTCAACTTGTGGTCCGGGAGGCAAATCCGGCCCAACTTGGCGTATGATACAACATAAACAACATAAAAAATAACAAATTGTAAACCGCTTTGTGACTCTGGTCTGTGAAAGGCGGTATATAAATAAAGATTACTTACTTACTTACTTACTTACAGCCCTATCCTACAAATATAACAAAAATAACCTTCTAACTTCTCTTGTATTAAATGTAAGTTTTAGACCAGTTATAAAGTAAACATTTCCAGGCGGAATCCATATAAAATTCCTATTACATTGTTTGCAAATGTTTTGACTTTATTATATTTCTGAGTTTGGAGTTCAAACTGGTCAAGAGACATGGACATGTTCTACATTATTTTTTGTGTCTCAACTGTTGATTCTCTGATCTGTGTTCAATGGTTTTGTTAAGTCCTCTGAGATGACTTCTGTTGTGATATTGGGATATACAAGAATAAATTGTATTGTATTGTATTTGAATAATAACCAAATAAGAGAGACTCATTTCCAGGAGTTGTATGGTTATATTTGATCAGCTGGCAGACCAATATTAATACATGACAGAATAATCCAGTATATTATCCATCTTCTTCCACACAATGTAGTGTTATTGCATCTCACCTGCAGCCCGTACAGCCCCAGCAGCTTCAGCGCCGGAACTCTTATCTCCTGAACATAGTTTCCGGCTTGTTCTCTGAGATATCGCGCCACAACATTCACTAACTCTCCAAGCATCAGAGGAATGTGAATATTGAGGATAGCAGCACCAAATGCAAGCTGGGAGAAAGAGATAAGAATCCATAAATCAACCTACATATTGTAAATTGAAATAGATTTGTAAATACATATTGCAATTGTAAATATAGCAACACATGGTGAAACTATGGCACATACTGTTGCTTGATCGTATATCTATGCATATATGTTTGCATGTGTAAGTATATACTGTAAGCACTGTAAGCAACACGTACAAAAGGACATGTAAATGAAGAAATTTATATATTGTAAATACTTATGAATGTAAAATTTCTGCTTGAATTAATGAAATCAAACCTACGTTATGCTAATTTCTACTTTAGCACTCACCACCACAGCACCAATGAGAGCAACGAGTTGAGGCTTCACAAATTCCCACAGAATAAGCCAACTGAATTCAGGTGGACTGTCTTTCGCTCCTGTTTGCTTTAGTAGTGTATTGTTGTTGACGTCAGCCTCGCAGTAGGCCACTTTACAAAACGCTCTTCCGGATAGTGCGAGTAGTGTTGGTGCCCAGAGGAAGCGGAGGGCAGATCTCGAGGCTTTGGGGGTCTTAGGGGCTCTCTGGGCCCAACTCTTGAAGAAACGGACAGCATTGCAGGACCGCAGGGTGAAGGAATTGCATTGTTGAGGAGATGAGTGTGATCTGTATCAATCACAAAAACATATGAAAATTAGCTATGCTTTGTAATGGATTAATTGTACTGTTTTTTAGATCATACTTGTAATCTCCTTGTAGCTATTAAACAATAACTGGAGTACACAGTTATTACAGTCCGACATTTATTGAAAACGTTCAAATAATAAAATATTTTTCACAAACAATGAAGGTCCCAGACAGTCTTTATTAAGCATGCTCTGTAAAGAGTGTGTGCGTGTGTGTTACATTGTTACAATACCAATATATGTTATGGTATGATGATAGGATGAAGTTCACATGGAGAATCTATGTCTGAGTGAAAACTAAAACATGAACACCAATCTAAAAATTGCTGAAAAAAAGGGCTTGAAGTCTGAGGTATTTAAAAGAAAATCATGCATCCACAAGTAGTATTTATGTTTATTTGTGTTTGTGTTAAATAATACATGATTTGCAAGCTTTTAAAATAAATTCAACTGCTCTTGAATATGACTCAACATTCCCTTTCCGTTGGCATATGTAAATAGTTAACAAAAACTTAAATTCAGTTAAAGCAATGTATGCAATTCAAGCTTTTAATAACTTTGAGAGGAATTTGGAGAGTAAAATGTATTCTGTTGTTTAATTGCATGTTTTTTGTGTATCTGGAAATGTGTGTAATTGATGCCACAAACATTCAATTTGATGTATTCTTCACAACATCACAGATTACAGATAAATTGCTTCAAGTGCAAATGTGGTTCAATGGGTAACGATCCTGTTTGCTTTACCCATTGAACCACATTCACACTACTACAGGATTACTTTCCAGCTAAGTATTTCCGACAAGACCTTGGCTTTGCTCCTAAATGGGTTTACTAGTGTTACTGAGTCAAAAGAAGGTCAAACATATTCCTAAAGTCTGGGAAATAATAACAGGGTCTGAAAAAATACTAAACAATGGAAAATACTAAAAAAAGCACACAATACACATATATTGTATTTTTTTGCATATAGGTATAATAGGCACATAATTACAATATTAAATGTATAATTATTAATGTTACAGATTTTTTTTTTTTCAGTTCTGTCAAATTTATGTTGTGAATGTGAAGGGGTCTGTGTTATGATATGCCAGCACTAGCCACGTTAGCAGAAGTCATTTACACCCACCGTGAGAGCCTGCAAAACTCCGCTGATCGCCTGCTTTGACGCAGAAATAAAACAGGGGCAGTGGTGTTTATGCGGCAGCAGAGCAGGTGAATCATCGTGACCCCTCTTTCTCCAATAACAAGCTAATAAAGCAGTAATAGTCGCTAAGCTCTGTAATCCACTGCAAACCTGCGGGCTGCCATCTTTGACTTTGACCCAGCGCAATTCTATCGCTGAATAATTTAATTCTGACACTATATTTTTGTTACAGTCCAAAAATACAATCAGGAATTTGTCTTGGGATAATAATAGTCAACGTTGCTTTAATTCAACTTTATTTTGGGAAAGTAAATAATAATTAAAGGAAGTGACGATTTTTCTCTCCGGAAGTGACGCATTCTAGGTTTTGTTGACATTCGTTTGTGTAAGAGACAAAAACAGTGGATGCGCACGGGTGGATGGTGTATTTTTGGGCACAGCGTGACCTCGACAGAGCCTGAACAGAGACGCCACTGGGATTTACAAATATCTGTATGAATTCCTCTTATCTGACCAAGAATACACCGAGGCTTGGGCTAAAATGACTAATCTGAGCTGATGGACACTAGCAAAACCCGAACAAAACAAAACGGTGTCACTCCGACTACATGAGGCTGAATCATCTTCTGCACAGTCACCTCCAGCATCGCAAATAAACGAGGATTGCATGTTTTGATACGTACGTTTCAACCAGTTGCTATAAGCGCACATTAAACGACTAGCTTTGAAGCCTTTTGAAGCCGCCCAGTGTTATTGACGAGCCTGTTGTTGTTGTGTGTCTTCGCCTGACTTAGCATGCTAGCAGCGAGCTAACGCTAGCCAGAGCTGCCCTAAATATGAACCTTTGCAAAAGACCGAAAATGTAGCAAATATTTTATCATAGCTTAGCACAAAACAGTGTTCACTAAAAGTGGAAATATTTAAGATTTGCTGCCAAGAATGTAAGGAAAATGGCAAACTTTGAAGAGTATCAGGAGTATCAGAGAGTAGAGGATTTTGAGGAGGACTCCCCACCAGGAGAGGAAGACCTGCTGCTGCACGTGCCTGAAGGCCTCAAAGGTAAGATAAGAAATGTTTCTTTAGTTTCTGATAAACTTTATCAATGCGTCAAATTGAGTCAAAAGGTTCATGTTGTATTAAAGGTATACAGGAGGATTTTCCCAGCCTTCTCCACTTTTTGAACAAAACTTTTATTTGACGAGCACTCATCACCTGAATAATTGACAATTGGGAGGACCAATAGTCTTGAGGATCCACCCGGGCGTAGAAAATCCTCATATACCTTTAAATAATCAGCCCTTACATAGCTTGACATTTTGTCTAGTTTGTCTAGTCGTAGTCTTTTTCTGCTTATTTTACGTATAATTTGTTATGAGTTGTATGCCTTCAATAACTTAGTTTGTGCAGTTGATTCATATTAGTTCCATTTTGAGATGTACTTGGCCTCTAAGTGCCTTTTTGTGTATGTACCATTCAACAGACTCATGGAACCACATCGAAAACTTGGACAACTTCTTCACAAGAATATCCTTTCCAGTTTTATTGTACACCTTATTCATTGTTATTCTTTTTAGTAGGTTAATAATTGTTGTTTTCCTTGACCAATAAATCTACATCTATCATTTCCACCAAAAGAATGGATTTGCTTGTATGATGCTGACTGAGTTTTTTGAGCTTATGTGAGTATACTGTTTCATTTCTATATATATTTATATATTTTCTCACTGCACTACTTCCTGAACCTGGATTTCGTTTACAACCACATAGCGACTTGGGGAATGTGTCTGAAGATGTTGTTATAGTAGAGAAAATGCTTCGGGCATCCGTGTGAACAAGCTCAACTAGATTATTTGGATTAGACTTATCCTTAAACAGATCCAGTTGTGTAGCAACTTGTTTATTACTGCATAAAATCCCTTTTTTTGACCGTTTTATGAAGCCAGTTAGTGTTTCTGTTAGGTAGTATTTTTCTCATAACTGTTGCAACACTATTTTCTGAGCAGCTATTATGTTTTATCACTGTTTGTTATTGCTCTCGATGCTTGATGATTAAACTGAGTGATGCATGTAACTCCAGTTGACGCAGAAAAAGATGAAGTGATCTCTCTAAGCACATTCAGAGCCTACATATAGAGCAGTTGATCGATTACTAAAATAAACTTGATTAGTTGAATTTGTTTACATTGTGAATACAGTTATTACTGAACTTGACAAAGATAAAACCAGAGTAAAATTGCTTAAGGTCATGCGGATCATCATGCATTTCTCATCAATAACAGACTGTTTTCAGTGTATGTATATATTACATCTGTGCAATACGTCCTCTAATTGTTGCACACATTTTGAAGTTCAAACATTATGTATAACACAATTATTTGACTGAATTGGTTGACTAGTTAAAACAAGTTTATTTACACAGTAATTACATACAAAATCTGTTCTGTCCCTAACACATAATTTGATTAAATAATCAAGCTGCCAACTCATTTCCTCTTATTTATTGATAAAGTTGTTTAAATCCCTAATCCAATTTGCTTGTTGTCTCCTTTCTGTCCCAAATAGTCAATTTCTGTTTGTGGTCACATTCTCAACTTTCCTTGTCAACTGCGTGGAATATGACGTCCTATTCGCTAACCGACCTGTCAATCACACGGAACCGGGACACAACCCAATGGACCGGAACAAAGTCACTCTCCCCGATGCCATCCTTCCGAGCCAGCAGTGCAAGGAGAGGTAAAGACGCTCTTTGCATTCCCATTAACTACACAGAAGAGGAATGGACTTCTTAATTAGCCTTTTGAGCCTGTTCAAAGCGTCTGTATCATTCTGGGATATTAACGAGGGCTACTTCACAGACGCTTTTTTGGAGGAGTCCATTGTGGCGGGTTTTAATACTCTGTAATTACTGGTCTGTAACTCTTGTGGGATCTTCTTCAGGCAGCATGGTAGCAGTAATATTCTCAGCATAGGAAAATGGGACAGTGGCCTAGTGCCTTGGGCCAATTAAAAATGGACATGCCAAGTTAGATACCATCAACGGTTCACATGAATAGAGTTCTTTTTTTTTTAAATTATTCTGGCATAGCTGATAATTTACACAGCTATATAATGGTTTGTTTCCTAAGTGCTTGTGTGATGCTTGAACTGCATTAGGTTTTTACTCATGACATTTGGGTTCTTTGGTTAAAATCAAAAACAAAAATGTCTTTGAGAAAGCGATACATTTTCTATTTGTTTTTGTTTCTTGTGTATGCCCCGTGATACGGATACAGATGCTTTACTTTATTGATGTCACAATGGAGAGATTCAGTTTGATTAAGAAACATGAAAGCATGCTGCGTACTACTACTTCCTTGCTCCTTTATGGCAGTTATTGTTAACAGCAGAGAGCATACACATACATGTCACACAGTTTGTTAATTTGGAGAGACACGTTACATGCGGAAAACATGCTGGATCTTTTTGATTGGACATTACTCTTAACCAGCCAGATATTGATTGCAGTGATCTTTAATAGACATCTCTTTAGAACCACTTATAACCAAGGCATTTCCAACATTGAATTGAATTGTGAGTGGTCTCCAGCTCTGTTTAAACTATACAGATTGTAAATACTCAAGCAAACAGTGACATGAAGTGTGCATGCTTTTGAACATTGGACTAGAGTTGAGGTTCGGTCGCCCTTGGGGTTTTATTTTAGATGAGTTGTTTATGCCGCATTTAGTAATGTTGCGAATGATTGCAACATTTCTGGAAACTTAGTTATCCACAGGAAGGAATTTCTGTGTGACACGTCCAGGCTTACTTCTGGGCAACAGAGATGTGTAATAGATATGTGTGCTGAGGTAAAACTGTCGGGCCGCTGCACTGTGGTGACTGCACTGGTGTCAGCAAGATGACACTTCACCAGCGGAAAGAACATATTGTGCATGTCCCAGTCTTATCAATATGTTACTTTATATCTTGTGCATTTTGATGAATAGCCCAAAAATATTATGATTATGGAGTGATTGTATGATTGACTTGTGGGGATTACTTCATTAGCTCAGTGTTGGGATACATAGTAGCTATTTAATTATAGAATAACATGAAAGAAGCAGGTTAGATTGGCTAATATGCTTTGAACTCTAAATCATTGCAGTGTGATGCTAAAAGGCAGATTAAAAAGTTTAAAAACATGTGTAAAGCTACAAGATTTGAGCTGTTTTCTTATCCAGATCTTTTTTTTCAAAATATGATGTTATTTTAGATTTATATTCATTCACTATAACAATAATTGTATCCAGTACTAACTAAGATAGAACGAATCGATACATGTGACATTATTACAGTATAATGAAAAAAAAAAAATCTCCAAAATGCATACCCTGGATTATGCCCATAGACTGTATGCTAGGAGAGGACTGACCGAGTGCTGATGGATTTGAACATAAACCTGCTGGAGCCAATTTTATTTCATGGGTATTTGTGTTGCTAATATGGTTACCAAGGAAGGCTGAAGTCTCCCCTGCAACTGAAGGCTCAAATCTCTAAGATAAAAGCACCAGAATCATCGAGAGCGCTGAACTTCAGATTTCTTAATCCCGAAATGTGGCACAAATGGTTACTGAGCCAGAGGAGATTACTTTTCAATGTAAGGTAATAGGAGCCAGAAGGAGATGGAGCAAAACTTTGTACACGAGCACTTCCCTATTGGGCTTCATTGAGCTAGGTGGTTTATATTGTCCATCTATGTACAGTCTATGATTATGTCAAAACCATTTACAGCTAATAATGACGTCTGAAACGGTCATTTTACCAGTCACGACTCTTCTCTCATGACTGTGTGGTTGTGGTCATGTAATGGGACAAACACGTATACGCTCACACACACACATACGCATATGCACACACACACACATACGCACACACAGACTGACCAACATGCTGTTTGTCACTTTATTATGTTATTATTAGCCTTCCACACGTCTCATACTTCTGTTTGTTTCCAGGATACAAGAAAACAGCTGGGTAATATTTCTTCTCATCATGGCGGCCATATTCTGGATTTATCGTCTCATCAAAGTGTTTTGTAATATCCTGAGCTACTGGGAGATAAGGCAGTTCTATAGCAAGGCGCTGAAAATCCGAATGGTAAGAGAAACGGTCAAAAAGTTTTTTTCACATTTCTACCCTTATTACTGTTGTAAGAAAAAACATGCATACATTTTACATTGTTCTTTGAAAAAGGAACGCACCTTTTTCAAAGAACAATGAAAAATGTATGCATGTTTTTTCTTTTACTTTGGTGTTTTGTGTCCTAGAATGTAAAAATAAATGGTAAGCGATGACTAAAAAAACGCTTTACATTTATATCCAACAAATGGAGTGGTATAATTTAAGACAGTTTCAAATCATCATGTCATTTGACTGGCCAAAACTAATTTGTAGTCTATAATTCTGTTTTAAAAAGCATAAAATATGTCTTTCCTTGACATCATATCGTCTGGATTCAGGATAGCAGCCAAAATCTATTTCATATTTATATTGATGAGGGAACTATGTGACGGCAAGGCAAGTTTATTTGAATCGCATAATTCATACACAAGGCAACTTGAAGTGCTGAACAAAATAGAAATAACATTAAAATCATAAACAATCACAGTACATTAGAAGTAGTGAGGTGCTATCTAGTCTCATAGCTACATTTTCAGTTTCCTGTTTCATGTAATATTATCAAGACCTTTTACCAATCAGATTAAGCAATTTACATGTTACTATGCCAGCTACTTTTACATACTGTACTGTATTTCTTTCTAGAGCAACCTGAAGTCATATAAATCCTTGTATATATTTCGGTCAGGTTTTTCTAAGGTTAGTTTGGCTCACATTGGTACATAAGGCGTGTCTAAATGCTTTTCTGTTCTGTTGTCATTTCCCCAGGACGAACTATGCAACTTCACCTGGCAGGAGGTCCAGGACCGCCTCATCAGCCTGCAGCGGGAGCACCAGATGTGCATCCACAAGAAGGAGCTGACCGAACTGGACATCTACCACCGCATCCTCCGCTTCAAGAACTACATGGTGGCCATGATCAACAAGTCCCTGCTGCCGGTGCAACTGCAGCTCCCCCTGCTGGGCAACGTTGTGTTCCTCACCCAGGGCCTCAAATACAACTTCGAGCTCATCCTCTTCTGGGGTCCCGGCTCGCTTTTTCAAAACAAGTGGAACCTCCATCCGAAATACAAGCGGAGTGGGAACCGGCTGGAGCTGGCGCAGCAGCTCAGACGAGTCATTCTCCTGATCGGACTTGCCAATCTGCTCCTCTGTCCGTTCATCCTAGTGTGGCAAGTCCTCTACGCCTTCTTTAGCTACACAGATATCATCAGACGAGAGCCAGGGAGTCTCGGGGCAAGACGCTGGTCGTGGTTTGGCCGTTTGTACCTCAGACATTTTAACGAACTGGACCACGAGTTGCACGGGAGATTGGGTCGCGGCTACAAAGCCACATCCAAGTACATGAACTCCTTCACCTCGCCGATGCTCACCGTCCTGGCCAAAAATGTAGCCTTCTTCTCCGGCTCGGTTTTGGCCGTGCTCATCGCGCTCACGGTGTACGACGAGGACGTTCTGACCGTGCAACACATTCTGACTGCTATCACTGTGCTTGGCGTGGTTATTACGGTAACCAGGTAAGGTTGATCGAAAGTAGGCCGGCCCCTTTTAACCTTAATTGTATTTACTTTTTTTTTGGAAAAGATGTACAAACTAATTATTATAAGTTGTCAATCAATCATTTTTCTCATTTTAAAACCTGTACCACACACTACAGAAAAAAAACATAACAAAGACAAATTTGAAAAGCTATTCGATGAAGAAAAAGTGTATGAACTTCCAAAACCCTCATCAACCAATTACCACAGAGACAGAGGATTTAAAAAAAAAAAATTGAAAAAAGCAATACAGTAGAACAGTTTGTATTTTTTATGCGCTTAAGTTTAAACATGTTTTTTAAATCACCTGTGCTCCACACACTGAGAGATGTTTTGGTTTTAAAGTAATTCCAAATGTAGGCACATATTCAATGTTTTCAAGCTAAAAAGTGGAGGAAACTTCAGATAGAATGCATTTTTTGTGTCAACGCATTTTCTTTTTGGCTGTGGGAATGTCATTGACAAAATTCATTTGTCCCCCATGCTCCTTGTGCCTGCTGTTTGAAAGTGTTCAATGCCATCTCTATTTTGTCCCTGTCTGGTGCCAGGTCCTTCATCCCGGACGAGCATATGGTGTGGTGCCCAGAGCAGCTGCTGCAGTGTGTGCTGGCACACATTCACTACATGCCCGACCACTGGAGAGGCAACGCTAACAAGAGCGAGACCCGGGACGAGGTGGCACAGCTGTTCCAATACAAAGCGGTAATGCTTCAGATTGGCAAGAGGGATTACACCTGAGACATGTAACGGCTGAACAGAGAAAGAATACGGGTGGATTTATGAGAACAGAGCCATTCTTCATCACCATGTTTACCCCAAAATTACCGTCAATCTTTAGTGTGAAGGATGTGATCATATCTTGTTAACTATAATCTATCTTTAACGCAGCAAAATGAGCACTCCAATAAACCAAACATTTAGATTCTGATGAGATTATATTGTAAAAGATGAGTGTAAATGTTTCCCACAAAAAGTCCCTGTGTTGAAGTTGCTTGTCACTTTCAGGTGTTCATCCTGGAGGAGCTGCTTAGTCCCATCGTTACGCCCTTCATCCTGATTTTCCACTTGAGAAATAAGTCGCTGGAGATTATCGACTTCTTCAGGAATTTCACAGTGGAGGTGGTGGGGGTCGGAGACATCTGCTCCTTTGCACAGATGGATATCCGGCGCCATGGAAACCCAACAGTAAAAAAAATCTTTCTTTATGCTTCTGTGCAACTATTGTTTTTCACATGTTTTCTATATGCTGTAGAGTGTAGAATCCAACCCTCCATTTAAGCATGTTGGAGTGAATATTCAAATATTTATTTCTGTTCTGACTCTAAGAATTGTAAATAATTCAACAATCCCAATTATTAATTAAACATTTTTATAAATAATGCAAATACTGAGAAAGGGTTGTGTTTTGCACTGACCTTGAAAGCCGTTGACTAGGAATGCAAAAGATGCTCGCTCAGGATATGCACAATATGATTTTTCGGTCAAATTCTGACATCTCTGACTGATGAGCTAAACCTTCCACCTGACGTGTTGTGTTCTAATTTATGGTGAAAGCTCTGCTCCGTGCAGATGTGTACTTTATATTTGAATATTTAGTCTGGTCTTCCACAAGAATGTAATGAATTGGTCCTGCCCTGTGTAGTGGCTGCAGGGTGTACACTATAATACAGATACGGTTGCTACAATTCATCAAATTAGTCCATTACTTAAATCCATTTATTTAAATTCCTCAAGGAAAAAAATGCTTTGTTGAATTACAATAAGGCAAGAGCTGTAATGAGGTCTGAAAAGTTAGGCCCGGCATGTTGAAGTTGTTGCGTCCTTTTTCATGTAAAAACAGCTCATATAGAATACTTTCAGATTCCAATTACAAAATGTTTTGATGTAGCTGTTTTAATAAAAGTGTTAGTTCTGAATTTTATGTTAATGCATAGCATTTCTAGGATGGCAGAATTCACTTTTCCCAATAGTTAATTTTCTTCTACAACAACAGTATAACAATTATTTCTTCCAAAGAATCTAAACACCTTTATACTACTATGTACAATGTTTTTTTTTCTCTTGCAGTGGATGTCGGAGGGTCAGACGGAAGCCTCCATTTACCAGCAGGCGGAGAATGGCAAAACGGAGCTGTCTCTGATGCACTTCACCATAAAGAACCCGCGCTGGCAGCCCCCTCAGGAGAGCTCCGTGTTCATCAGCCACCTGAAGGAGAAGGTCCACCATGACGCCCTGACAGGCCCCACCCCCCAGCAGCTGATGTCTGAGGCACCACTTTGCACCTCACTACAGTCCAATGACTCTGGAGTCACTGGGGTAAGAAATCATTTAAAGCTACTTGACGACCTGAAATGCCAAACACATTTAACATGGCATGTTTGAGCCTACTGGCAGTCTGTTGAAAGCAGATGCTGGGCCATAAAAGAGCCATTCCATTTATTCAAATATCTGTCATGTTACCCATAAATACTAAATATATATATATTTAATTTTATTCATTTTCATTTCCATATATCCTTATTATTTGTTGTAGCCTGATAACTTACTGGCCAGCGTCTTGGCTCACCCCATGCTGACGGCGTCGGGCTTGCAGGGCCGTGAGCACCGTTTCATCCCTCCCAGCACCGCTGCATCTGCTGCTGCGAGTGTCCTGGCCTCTCTGTCCGCCTCGCAGCTCCATGGACCCACCAGCAGAGGGCGCCCTCAGAGCCTGCTGCCCACCTCCATCCACCCAGAGAGCACTGTGTATCACAGCGCCCACACCAACAACGACAGGTACTCCACACACTCATGTGCTAGTGCCTCATGATAAAACTCTTTTAAAGTTAGTTAAATTCATAACAATCTGTTTTCAGTATGTCAGCCAGTGACTACCACATAAGAAGCAACGCACTGCACTCAGAGTTTGCCTCAGCAGAAATGAGCCTCCACGCCATATACATGCATGAGGTAAGTTTTCCTTTAAATGTCAAGAATCAAGTAAGAAAACATTTTGTTTGTGTTTTGACTCTTTAAAATGTTATTAACATTAACAATGATGTTAATTAACATTAACATCATTTGCCTCTCCAGCTCCACCAGCAGACGTCTCATCCCCAGAGAACATCAGGGCATTGGCAAAATCCAGTGCCAATGAGAGACCTTCATCCTCATGGTAATACATTTGTTGTATGGTATTTATTTAGTTAGATTGTTTGCATATTAAAACATCTTAAGTGGATTTTCTGCCAGTGGACGAAAATAGAGCACTATATGAGGACATTATCACTCATTAGTAGTTCTTTTGTAAAGCCCTTTAGCAGCTTTCTGCTCTGTGTGTGTGTGTGTGTGTGTGTGTGTGTGTGTTTGCTGTACTCTTCCAATGGGGAGAGCTGTGTCTTTCTGACATGAATGTAATTCATTACGTTTTTGACTATGGTCTTGCATACAGTCTGGCACCTGTGATTTTGTTGTAATTAAAATGTGTGTTCTTTCACAGGGGGTCTGAGCACCAGCCTCTCCATGCCTGCTCCTGTGCACCTCGGAGGCTGGAGAGAGGAGGATGAGGAGGAAAATGAGGATGATCAAGAGATAAACAGTGGATCTACTTCAAAACAGGGCACTGGGAGTAGCTGCTGATGCCTTATGTCATAAGGTATATAATCCTGATCCTGTCCTGTTGTCCAGTGAGTGCCTTTACAAAGCATTAGAGAAAGCCGAATTCTCCACCAATTTAATTTGGTTTATATAGACACATGTAAACTTGTCCGTGACTATTGAGGTGTGAACAACCAGTCCATTCCAAGCAGCTGGTGCGGATGGTTTCTAATGCGACTCAGCTTCAATCTGACTGGAATGAGACATCGGGCAGTGATGCGTTTGAGTGCTCAGGGAAAAGCGGCATAAACATACATTAAATTAAATTCCATTTATTTTTGCACAGCCCTAAATCACAACAGCAGTCATCTTGGAGGACTTTACAAAGTTGTAATTTCACCAACAACATGAAATCCAACGGTTTCAATAATAACACACACAAAGGGAGCAGGAGGACCAGTGTCCATATATGTTAATAAAGGTCTCTAAATATCCCGGATCATCGCCGTCCTTTGACTCCTGCATCTGCAAGAGAGTCGACGCAAAAATGGCTCAGCTGAACATGTGTGAAAAACAAAATATCGCCTTTGAAAGCATTCAGAGGCAGTCACTCTCTGGCACTGTTGCCTTGGCCGCAAGGCAACAGAACCAAAACTTGTCAGATCCGTTGTACTCTGTATGTTTATGCTTAGTAAACACACTCGGTTACAGACCTATTTCAGATCTTCTCTACAATCATTGAAAGAGCAGTAGTTAAGGCATAGTTGAGCTTCGTCACCCTCTACGGGACAATAATATACTTTTGATTGTAGTTTTATATTGTTGTTTTCTCTCTTTTTTCAGTGTTTACATTGTACTTTCTTCAGTGAACATCGTGGCCTTAGAAGATCTTGATTTGGTATTGAGCATGGACCTTTTGGACGTCATCCATCGAAAGCTTGCATCAGCGCAGGCCAGTTACATGACGAAAACCACTGTCTCGTTGCACCTTCGTTGCCCTGTCCTGCCCCACCTACGGCAGCCTGTGGCATCAGGGAAACCATTTTGTCTTCCATCTGCTTCAGCAAAACACGCGCCATATTACTGTACAGACTTTTCACGTCCAGTGTGCAACAGAAAAACAAGTCTTGTGAATGTTTTTTTTTTTTCAAATAGGAATCGCAAGTAGAGTGGCATCTTGGGAAACGCAAAAGCACTCACAATATCTCTCGTGTGGTCCAACCCTCACATTTGTACATACACATTTCAACTATTTTATTTAAACCTACTGAAAAGAAATGAAAACAGTTACAAGCATGGGTTTCTGTTCTGTCCCCAAACATTTTAGACAGTATTTGGTGTCAAAACTGTCGAAAATCCGCTGATTCACAGAACATAGACTAATGCAAGATGTATTTAAAGCCTGATGTAACTTGTCTGGTGCAGTATCTGTCACTATGGAGAAGGGATGCAAAGATTATCAGATTATAAAATAATCATACAAACGGGAAAAGTGATTGTAATCATAGGCAACTTTCCAACCACCAAAAAGTAACTATGAAATAAAATCCATCTATAACGAGTACCTCACTTACGGTTTGATCCTATCACTACTTTACACATATCTATATTTGGCTCCTGTCACACCTAGATAACAAGAGAGGACAACCCATGCTCAGCCAATTAGCTCTCAGCTCAAAATGTCAAACAGTCATTCACAGGCCTTTTGTTCAATTACAAGTATGCAAAAGATGACATGTTTTCTAATAAGGTAAATCACCATATTGTCTGATTTTGCATTACTTACTTATTTTACGTACTTACTAATGCCCAAATCACAAAATTATACCATCTTCAGGCACTTTTGAACTTGGAAGAGGAATGTTGGACAAAGAAAATTCAAGAACATCAACGCTTTTACAGTTATTTGGTCGAGAATCCGAAAAATTTGTTAAATAATGTTTTTCTTCAGTCATCGTAACTAAAATTTGAAATCGTGACATCCATTATATGTTATGTCTTTGTCGAATATGCTTCAGAATGGCCTAATGAAAAGAAATACAAGCAGAATTGTTGCACTATACTGTGGAATATGGAATCAAGCGCTAACCTCTCCAAGGACAAACTGGTGCTGGACCAGAAAAGTTACATACTAGGGCTTTTCAAAGTCCAAGAAAAATGCCCAGCTTCTTGCCTTAAAACCAGGACATAACCCTCCTTTGATACATCATAGGTTGTAGGGATAAAAACAATGTACCTCTAAATAATGAATACAAATTATGTGTAAATATGAAAAGTCCTTTTTTTGTAGTGTACAGTCCAAGAAGCCTGGTTGACCATGTTTTTTATAGTCAGCTGTACATTTGGATAATGGTATTTCCTGTCTCTGGAGCCACGCATCAGAGCTCCTTGTAAAAGAGTGAAAAGAGAAGCGATAAAGTGATTGAAGAATTTCTTTTTAAAATACAAAAAACAAACAGGGTGTGATTGCTTTTAAAAATCCATGAACGATGTCCTCACATACGTTTTTGTGCTAGTTTTTAGTTCGGAGCGGTTGGGAGTGTTTACGTACAAATATTCAGTATTTGCTTATACGTATTATTAGCTTCTCGCATTAGCTTTATTTATTATCTATCCCCGAGTAATTTAATTAGACAAGCACACTATTTATTGGCAAAGTATATAAATTATGTAAGTTAAAATATTTACCTAAAAAATCATGACACTTTCGCCACCCAGAGATTGTGATTAGTAGTAAGAAAAAAACAATTATCTGGAACGTCACTGCATGTCCTAACCATAAGAGTACATGTTTATTAGAAAGATTTATATGATTGTTTTTGGTTTTATTAGATTGTAAGTCCCAAATGAAGTCCGTTATTGCCCCCTAGTGGCTGAAATTGGTATCTGCTGTATCAGAGCAGGTCAGCCAGAAGACCTCTGAATTTATTTGAATAAGAATGTCTATCTAACAAACACAATAATCAATAATTCAACACAATATTATTCTAATAACACATTTTACATATCCCTTTCATACAAGAAAAACGGCTCAACACTTTTAACTTTGACGTTGTGTGGAGAGAAGTTGTCGTTTGTCGTACGTGCGTTGTATTAAAAGTGTGGTCTCTGCGACTTGCAAATAGAGTGGGTTACTTCAGACACTGGCTGGTCACTTTTCTATGTACACCTCCATGTGATGTTTTATTTAAGCAGTGCCTTTCGTATTAAGGATTCGCTCACTATGACAAGCCATTTCTCTGCTATTTATTTTTGTATCAAGAGCAGCAGACGCGTTGTGAGAAGATCCGTGTTGTGACTCTTGACCTGGACTTTTTATTTGCGACAATATCCACGTTATACCAGTCTTAAGCATCACAGAGACTGGAAAAGGTGCTACATTTTCAAACGCTGACTTTGCTTTTTGTTACATCTGTTTTGTTTGTTTTTTTGTTTGGTATTAGTTTAAATAAGATAACACTAGCAGAAACAGTCTGACATGCCAAAATATGGACTTTTGGGCACAGCTTTATGACAACTGTTTGTGAGTTAGAGAGGCAAACCTTCCTTATTTGGAGTGTATTTAATCATTTTTAAGAGTGACTGAAATGATGTGATGTTTACCAGAGAGAATAAAAACATCTATTGAAATATTGTGTATTAGAATTTTCTTTCCCAGTTATCTTCTGACCTCTTCTTTTCACCCCTGGCATCACATCCAAAGTGACACTGACATCTCACAGTACAAGAAAGTCACAACAGCTTGAATTACAATGGTGAGGTTATCCTAAAGGCCGCAGAGGCAAAAGTATCTCTTGTTTATAGTTGGGAAAGGTTCCTTCTCTGCCCAAGATGCTATAGCAACATACATGTAAGCCCCCTATCAAGGAGGATATTGATTCTGATAACATAATAATGTGTTTTAGAAGGGCAAACATTTTGAAATTTATCGAAGATAACTTACATAGTTTTCTAATTTTGTGTTTCTTAAAGTGGTAATTTAATAATTTAGGCCTGGCAATCTTTTTGAGAAATCTTTTTCATTTCATTTCATTTCATTTTCAAAAAAAAAAAAAATGAAATGACTTGAAAATTATTCTATAAAAAGATAATATTGTAATTATTATACCATAGAACTTTTGTCACTTTCAGCCTCCTGAACACAGATTGTAGGGGTAAGTGTAAAGATTAACAAAAAGCTTAATCATACTTTTTACTCATTAAGAACAGTTCTTTTTTTCCCCAGTCACACATGCATAAGTGAAATAAAAAGGCACCAAAAGCCAGGTTTTTGTTGCTTTTTAACCTAATAACTTAAGACATACAGTACAGACCAAAAGTTTGGACACACTTTCTCATTCAATGAGTGTCCTTTCTTTTCATGACTATTGACTGTAGATTCACACCAGGCTGTGTAAGGGCTGTTTGACCAATAAGAAGAGTGGTGGGTGCTGGGCCAGTTGATCTGGCCTCCACAGTCACCGGACCTGAACCCAATTCAGATGGTTTTGGGGTGAGCTGGACCACAGAGTGAAGGCGAAAGGGCCAACAAGTGCTAAGCATCTCTGGGAACTCCTTCAAGACTGTTGGAAGACCATTTCAGGTCACTACCTCTTGAAGCTCATCAAGAGAATGCCAAGAGTGTGCGAAGCAGTAATCAGAGCAAAATAACCTAGAATATAAGACATATTTTCAGTTGTTTCATACTTTTTTTTTAAGTACGTACATAATTGCACATGAGTTAATTCATAGTTTTGAGGCCTTCAGTGTGAATCTACAATTTTGATAGTCATGAATTGATTGTTATCGGGTCAACATTTGAAGCCCAGCCTGAAGTGCCCTGGACCCCACTTTGGGAAACTCTCATATTTACAGAGGTGTGTTAGAGCTTTTCGGTATGCTGTTAGTGGAGTCTGTTCAAAGGTCACTTGTGTTTTGCCACTGTATCTCCAATTTACAATGATGGAAAGCGAACGCAGGAGCCAGAAGCAGATGAGTGTGGTGCAGCAGCAACAGTGGATTACCGTGAGCTAGAGTTTCTCCAACTGTTTAAATCAGGGACGAACGAGCTGCTGCTGTCACTCACGAGCTTCGGGGGGAAAGCCCACCTCTGTGAAACTGACCAACATCATTCACCAGCAGAGAAACAGCTCCCAGTCAAATGGATCAAACAAGATAGAAGATGGAGTAGCTTTTGTTGGAGTATGTCAAAAAGCACTAAATACAAATTAGTGCCTTACTCCATGATCTTGGTAAAATGTCTAATTGCAATATTTCTGAACAACTTTGCAATTTTGTTCAGAGTAATAATAAAATATGGTTACACTTGAAAAAGAGATACAAGCCAAGCGATTACCAAATACTCAATTCCCGCATATTCCTCATATCAAAAAATGCTTATAAAGTTCTGATCTATAGAACAGCCTTCCCAGCTGTATATTTATAAATTCCTAAGTTGACTTGAGTTTTGCAAGACTTAGACAGACTTATTGGTCCACAGGGGAAATTGCGTTGTCACAGTAGCTTCCACAAAAAAATAACAATGAAAACAACAATAAAGTGAACAACCTGAAAATAATATTAATAATAATAAGATACTATTGTGAGAATAGAATAATATCGCTATAGGTACTCAGGAATAAACATATCTGTGAATATGTACACATTTACAGTTTTAAACAGTGGATAACAGGATATTGCACATCTGTAAATATGTGCAATATCCATCTGTAAATCATCTGTAAATATATACAAAGACAAAGCAACATTTTGACATTTGTTTGGAATGGAATTAGAAAATAATGCATAAGGCAAAAAATACTTGCATGTTCCATTGACTCCTATTGATATTCATTAATCGTCCAGCTCAACAAGACACTATTTTAAAGTTAGCACTGTTCATATGATGTCATGTTAGAATCATGGAGAAACAGCTGATTCAAGCAGCTGATCAAACCCACATTGTAAGAGGCTAAAATAGGGACCAATTGCTTGTAGTAGTTATTTGGCCTCGAGTCAAGTCTAAGTTGTAGGTTTGAGAATTTATAAATCATTAAAACTGTGGTTCAAGTCTGACTCATGGTCATAACTTGCAAGTTCACACTTCTGAGGTATGCACATATAGTTTGTCACACTTCCTGAAGTTTCCCTGTGCGGTCTTCGATTGATTGGTGCCGCACATAAATAAATAAATACATAAATAACTTAAATGTATGCAAACAACAAAGTTTAAAATTCATTTTCAAACTTTCAGGCAACAAGTTTTTCTCGTGGCATATCAATAGCCAATATGAGGTTTGATTGTGATTTGTTAATTTTATTAGATGTACTTTAAAAGAGATAATGATACAATGAGTTTGCTGTTTCTGCACCACATACAATATACATATATAAAAATCCCGACATCGGAACATCGACAATCCAAATATTAGTGCATGACCATAGACTGTATATATTAATTATTATTATATGCATGACATTTTAAAAGGATTTCAATACGTTTTTTTGAATTATTATTTAGGTAAGGCCAACTTGTTTCTCTACACATTTCTGCAGCAGCTAATGTGCATTCTAGTTGTATAATAACAATGGGAAAAAAAAGGGAAATACAAAAGACCACCCTGCAAGCCCCCAAATAGCAGGTCATTTAGCAGAACTCCAGGAGATATTATATTAGATCCATATGTCTGGAGGTCACTAGCACTAGGGTGTCTGCTCTCTTCGTGTCTCTACTGCTCTTATCTCGGTACATGACAAGTCTATTTTGGAAAAGAGGCTGTGCCAAAGGAAGCACGTCAGCTATTAGCATCAGAGGCTCTGGAGAAGAAAAGAAAAAATAGTGTGGTGAGCCGCCCACTGCAGGAGACTGGGGGATGTTCCACTATCCTGGATTTACTACCAATTTACGGATATTTCATCAAAAACAGCGCATTTTTTGTCGTTTGTAAATATCTGGATGCGGAAGTGGACAAGTTCAAAGCTAATTGAAGAGTTAGCCCACGTGACTTACCTGCGCGGTTGAACAAGACACAAGGTGAAGCACTCATTTAGAATTACATTAGATTACGATATATCAATAATAGTTCATTGTTATTGCTTGGAAGAGTGTGGGGTTGTTTTATCAAAAATAATTTCCAGACTGTGACTAATTTGTGTATTCTCAAGTTTTTTACTTTTTGCGCGCGCTTCAAATGCTTATTATAAACAACTTTTAGCTAGCTTTGTTCTGTGTCTCGAGCGCAAACTCAAGCTAGCAACCAATTACATTATTTTTGAATGGGCCTTTTAGAAAAAACTGAAATAATCTGAATTTCCTACATTTTAAGTCCAATATGTATTTTAAAGCCACGGAATATGTTACATGTTTTTAAAGTGAATGCTTTATCTGACAGCTTGCTTCTACAAATGGCCATGGGCAGAGACGGGACCTGACAGCTGAGGTTATTTTTGGGGCAGGCAGTTCCAGCTACAGAGGTGACAAAGCTGCAAATGTCACTCTGAAAGGCACATATCTGCGCAGCATGACCTTGTTCTTCACAATAGAGTCTGTGGGGCGTAATTAAAGTTTCTAATTATCTATAATGTACTAGCTGATGCATTTTATGTAACAGTTAACCCATGTAATTCTCCAAAGCCTACAAGGCCTGTGTAAGTCCCTGGCTGACACTGACATCCTGCTGTAAATGCCAAACTGCAGGATTTATGATTATTTTCATAACACAATCAAGGTTCAAAGATCACCAACGCTGCCTCCTGACTTATTTGAAGTCCAAACCCAACTATAAACCAAAATCATATTTATTGAAAAACGTTTTAGTGAAAGGATATAATTTCACTATTAGGAATCATAACTAGGATTCATTCACAAGCTTAAGGTCACCGTCCCAGTATTTGTCACTGGACAATTTGGGAAGTCGGATAAACCGCTCCAGACCCTTCTTCTCTTTACCCTAATAAAATAAGTCCTTAACCGAGCCTTAAGCTGTTTCAAACAGGGACAGGGAGTTTATTTCACAGCACACAAACTTGGTAGTAGGGCTGCACAATATTGGAAATTAGAGTGATGTTCGATATGTTTAGAAATTCGATAATGATATTTCTTGCATTTGTCCACCTGTGCAGTACATAGGTCACTGTTTACCACAATATTATTGCGATTTTTTTTGTCTGCCACCTAAAATTGCAATCTGAATTGAAATGCAAGAGACAAATAAAATAAAAAAGAACAACATTAATGACATTAAAATGCATATATTTATATACGTTTCTGTTTGTTTGTTTGTTTGTTGTTATTGTTGAATGTTGATGTGTCTGTCTGTTTTGTTGTCGTTGATAAAGGAAAAATAATAAAATATTTTTTATGGACATTGCACGTACCAATATCGCAGTAACAATATTCTTTTGATATATTGTGCAGCCCTACTTGGTAGGCAGCTGAAAAATAGAGAGCATCTTGGATGTAAGATGGGTCACACCATTTATGGTTCTGTATGTATAGAGGATTATAGATTTGGATTCTAAACACAGAAGGGACTTTAACACTGGGGTAATGTGTTCTTTAGTTCTTGCAAAAGGCTGTGTCTTTTCCGTATCATACCTAAACATTCTCACTCATAATATTATTTTTGATTCCAGAAACACAATGGATCCCAACCTGTTTGGTGGCGTCCCCAGGTTTCTCACCAGGCCCAAAGCATGTGCCATGTGCACTGGGAAAGATGCCACACTCAGTGCCACTATTGTGGGCAGTCCCACTCCCCTCATCACCTGGGAAAAGGACAAGCTCCGGCTCAAATCTGGAGGACGCTTCAAAATGGTGGAGGACGGTGACATTTACCGCCTCACCATCTACGAGCTCACACTGGAGGACAGCGGCCTGTACGTGTGTCGGGCCAAGAACAACGTGGGAGAAGCGTATGCGTGTGTTACACTCAAAGTGGCTTTACCTACAGAGATGGCACAAAGAGCTCCTGCATTCTTGGAAAAGCCTATGTCTACTCGAGTAGGTTTGGGAGGTGATGTTGTCTTCCATTGCAAGGTTGTTGCCCATCCAGAGGCCAATTTTGACTGGGAGAAAGACGGCCGCTACCTGGGAGAAAGTAACCGCATAAAGATCATTAGCGAGAATGGTGGCAGCACTTTAAAGATTCAAAGCGTACGTAACTTGGACGCCGGCACCTACACTTGCAGAGCCCAGAATACAGTCGGCCGGGCCCACGCTTCAGCCGCTCTAGTTGTCGACTCCCAAGATCCTCGCCAGCTCACGTCGGACAAATCCACCTCTCTTCTGTCGCATCTTCAGAAACGCAAAGAAGAAATGAAGAAGGATATTGCAGTCTATCGCAACGAAGAGAAAACCTCCACAACTATCAGTAATGAGTTAAGGGCGTCCATGTTGGCAAAGCTTCCCAAAGGTGTGTTCACTCGCACCTGCACCGTGACAGAGGGGAAGCACGCCAAACTGAGCTGCTTTGTGACCGGGCACCCCAAGCCCCACATCATCTGGAGGAAGGACGGCAGTAACATCAGCGAAGGGCGCAGACATGTGATTTATGAAGACCAAGCCGAGAACTTCATCCTAAAGATCCTCTATTGTAAACAAAGCGACAACGGCTTCTACACCTGCAACGCAACAAACATGGCCGGACAAACCTACAGCGCTGTGCTGGTCACTGTCAAAGGTAAGTCAGAGCAGCTTTGAAAAGATGTTGGTTTGTGCGTACCATATTTTTTGGATACGGATTTTTGACCGGGGGTGCAACTCATACTCTGTAGGAACTTATATTTGAAATTATGAGATTTTATATTTTACATTTTATTTCTTTGGATTTAGTGATTAGGAATGACACTGATTCTTTGGTAAACTTGTAGCATGTTCTATATGCTAACGTTTCTTTAATGACTATTTTAATTACCGTAATATGTTACGTTAACATACCAGGCACGTTCTCAGTTTGTTGTTTATGTGTCATGTAAAGTGCACTTTTTCAGCCTGTTGTTCTCTATTCTCTTTTTATTTTAAATAGCCTTTCAAGAATAAATGTCTATTCGTGGTGTTGGATTTAATCAAATAGATTTCCCCAAAAAAATGCAACTTATACTCTATTGTGACTTATTACGGATTAAACTTGTTGTTAGCTTTATCTTCATACTACCTAGAAGTAAATATAAATTAATAATTATTTGGTCAGAATATCATTGTTCTGATGAAATTTGTACATGCATCATCAGTTGTGTTCCCGAGTTGTAATTACTGTGGTTAATTTAGTTTAATTCCTTCCATAAGCTTTGGGAGCATTCTCCACTTGCTTTGTATTATACTAAAGCTTGTCCTTCTCTGTGTTTATGCCTGAGTAATTGCATAGCACTGATGAGCCATATCATATCACTAAGCTGCCATGAAGCTCCACATATAGTTTCAATGGACAGTTGGACACAATTATTTCTATCCCTAATATTCACGTTCTATTTAAAGTTACTACATGTTTCTTGAATGCTTCCTAAAGGGGCCACCTCAATATACAGATGATGGTTGTTGTAAGCAAATGTGATTATGAAGTAATGCCAGTGTCTCGTCTCGTAATCAGTGGCTCTCTCCATGTTGAATCTTTTAAACCGTGTGTCGTTGTCACAACACTGGCCTCTGCTCTCAGTGTGGAGGGGGAGGGGAGGGAGAGGGGTGCAGTTTATTTTCTGCTGGCGACGAGTAGTTCACAGTCTAAGATACAGCAACTCACTTACTGAGCACTTTGGCACTGGCACTAATGTGATTCCCCTGAGCAGTGTCGGGAAGTTACTAAATACATGTTCTCGGTTTTGAGAACATCGAGTAGAATCTGAATAATATTCACTTACTTTAAAATCAAAGCATAGGCAATGCTGTTTAATAGGGCTGGGACAGTATATTGTTGTGTGCGGTTTAAGCGAGATATTGATAGAATCAGTATCAATACTTTTAGAAATGTAGTGTATCTTTTTCAAAATATGCTCTGGTCGCGAAAACTGGTAAATCCCATTGGGAACTGGGAGCTGATTTAGATGTTGGTACTGTACATGCAGACTGTGTTACTATTTAACATTCTATTCCTTGAATTAACATAATTTAAAGTATATCTAATATGTTTTGTATAAGAAAAGTGTGCTTTGCTCTTTTTCCATGAGTGGATTCAAGTAATATGCAAAATATGAAAAAACTTCAAGTGTAATAAAGTAAATACATAAAAATTACCACAGATGCCAAAGATGAGCTATAAACAAACCTTCCTGAAAATGTTCATCCTATGTTTTTATCACACAGTAAAGCTAGAGTAAAGCTAGTGCCCAGTGTTTTAAATGCAGCTCAGTCCCAACAATGTCCCAACACAAGTTAATATTAACGATAATTGGACGTACATTATGACTCTCTCTTTAGATTATATTGCATTGAATGTTCCTGAAAAACTGAAAATCAGGTTCTGCTTCGACACTTGCATACTACACTTGTACTGTACTAGAGGTGGCAATGATCCAAGGCAGTAAGAGTGGAGTTTGTAATACCATCTAACCGGGCAACAGCTCATAACATGACTAGTACTAACTAGAATACACGCTCTGTCATATTATTTTCAAAAGGCTTCAATGAGTCGACTAATAAAGGCTACATTTAGAAATATTAAAGATGTTATCTCCATTGAAAGCCTACAGTCACCAACTTACTTAAAACTTGAAAGAATTTGAAAGCCTTATCTCGTTATATCTCAGGAGCTTGGTTAGTGCTACTATGGGAGACTGCTTGAAAAACCCAGTGCCACAGTGAGACTGAGGCTCTAAAGAAGGAGTCACCAACCTTTTTAAAGCCGAGGGCTACCTCAAGATCAAGTGCCTCAGGGCCACTTTATTTGGCTGAATTACAATATTTTTGTAGCAGGCCCAAAGTTAATAAGTACATGAAAAGTATGATCAAGTTTGACCCATATGGATGGAGAGGAGAGATCTAACTCATCCCTTTTTCCAAAATGATAATATGCTTGTAATACAGCCATCAATGCAAAGTAAAAACTATGTGCACCAATGATGAATCAATTGTGTAGGTCTAACTAACTGCAGCCTTTGGTCAAAGAAATCAAGAAAGAAATAGAGCAGGCTGTAAAATAGGAAGACCGAAAAATCTATACAAATAATGAAAGGGAACATAAGTGAAACATATAAAGGACACACACACACACACACACACACACACACACACACACACACACACAAACAAAACAGTAAAACAGTAAAACAATGATGATAGTTCAGACTTAAATGCCAAGATCAGACTTAAATGCCAAGATCTATTCCAATGGACATGAGCTGTCCTTGTTTTTTCCTGATCGTGTGGTACTAAGGTTTCCTGAGCAGTCTGTATTGTTGGTTGTTTTTATTTGCAAATATACTGTACAACATGTAAACAAATTGCCCCAATACTACAAACATGAAAATCCATCCATCCATCCATTTTCTTCCCCTTAATCCATTTCTGGGTTGGGGGGGTGGCAGTCAAAGCTGCACCCAGTACACATAGCACCAGCCCCTCACTGATCCTCCTGCAGGTGGTGAGTCCACAGGAGCTGAGATCTTTCAGTGGGAGCTTCAGGCAAAGCGGGGTTAAGTGTCTTGCCCAAGGACGCAAACATGAAAAAAAAAAACATGATTAAAAATAGCAAATCTTAGTTTGTCAGAAAAAAACCCACGCAACATACAGCCCTAATACTTAAAAATGTTCAATCAATATTTCCTTGATGTTTCCAGAGCCAAAGGTGCCGTTCAAGAGGAAGCTGCAGGACGTGGAGGTGCAGGAGAAGTCTTCGGCCACCATGCTGTGTGAAGTCCCTCAGAGCCTCACTCACGCCAGCTGGTTCATGGAGGAGACCAAACTGGAGCAGAACACCAAGTACCACATGGAGCAGGACGGGACGCTGCGCCTCCTCACGATCCACAACGTGACCACCAATGATGACGGCGTCTACATTTGTGAGACCCAGGAGGGCAGCCGCACTGTGGCCGAGCTCACTGTGCTGGGTATGGACCACTGTTAAATCACACATACATACTAAATGGGATATGTCAATTGACATTACTGCAGCATGTGGAGGAGATGTGTAACAAGAGGACACAATCTGTGAGCACCCAGTGTAATTAAAAGTCAGCTCAATTTTTGTATGTGTGACATTAGTTTGTCAGTAACATTAATTCTTTTTTTAAATGATCCTTTTACTTCTCTACTCACCCTTGGTGGATTCAAGATGTTTTCTTAAATTCCTCGTTTCGATGGACATGTCCGTAGGTGAACTGGTTTCTCTTGGCACCGCCGTCCGCAGTTAGCCCTGTTTTGCTAATCTTTCTCTATGTTCATCTCAGACAGTCCCTTTGGATATGCTGAATAGGCCTCTACAGTAGTCCTAGTGATTTCCTACATAGATGACAAAAGGACACAGTGAACATAACTCCGCAAGTTACATGTAATTTCATTTAATTTTTGTGCAGAGATTAAAGAGAAGAACTGGAAGTAATATAGCATTAGTTAGTTAAGTTCTAAATTAGCTCTAAAAAGAGCTTCATTGTATTGAGACAAAAATTGGACAGCTACAAATAATGTTGATGAACTATTGTTAACATGTAATGCAGAGTCATGTGAGTCACGGTTCCAAGGCTTTGGGCTGAGGGTGGTTATCCTCACTTCTTGTTTCTCTTGGCTGTTCTAAAACTGGGATAATGACACAAATACTCACACCAATAACTTGGTTTTTCCTCCTGTCCTATCAAATATTCCTCCTCACATGTTGTTGACCAAGGTCATAACTTGTTCTTGTTTGCTAAAGAGTTGGACACTTTCGTAGATAACACACTTAAGACACTTTCCCACAACTGGTAACTGAGCATCCCAGACGATCACCACCGTGCAGTGGACACCCGGCTTTAAACACTACATTGCAAACATGACAGAAGGTAGGAATGTTCAAAGTAGGCGTATACAGAGACATGTTAGTTCTTATTACACCATCAACACTCCTAAAACATTTACAGGTAGTCATGCAAGTACTTAGCAGTATTTACAAAGCATTGAAGTAAGGCAACTTTATTTGTATTGCACAATTCTATTTGTATTGTATATTACAATTACAATATTTACGTTTACAATTTAAACAGATTAACCAATCAGAGAGCAAAATGAGTCTCTCATTTGAGTTCCCAGTTTGTTTGGTGAAATGTATCTGGTCTTTGCTCTATCATCTTTTTTTATAGCAATTAATTTGTAATTGATAGACAACCAAATATCACCACACATTTGTTTAAAGATAAGCAGCATACTGTATGACTATATTAGACCACTGACAGGCAATTTACACAGTAGGTGTTAACAGCGCGTACGCGTTGACTGCGCGCATATGCGTGTAACGTTATTTGGCTGTGTGTCCACTGGCTTCTGGAGCAGTGTAGAGGACAGTACGGGCCAGAGGACTGATGTAGAGCAACACAAATCACATGCATGTGTTTGTCTTCATGGTCTCTGTGCGCTGGTTTGGCCAGACGCGAGACTTTATGGAAAAAGAAAAACTATGTCCAGAATCACTGTAACTCCTGCCAGTCCTCCTGGTATTGTATAGATACAAGTGCTGTGTTTGTGTAGATGCAATCTAAAGCCAAGGGCCGCTAGAAAAATCATGTTTCTCATGTGTTGGGAGACATGTTGCTGCGCGCATAAAATTCAAAAGAAATCCATCCTAAATTAGGCGCAGCCTCGCGTCATACATTCGTCATAGGTTCGTCATACGCGCGTATAACACTAGTAGTGTAAATATCACCATTGGTTTACATGTAAAAATGTTACGCGCGTCTGCTGCGCGTAGAACGCGTACGTGCTGTAACGCCTTCTGTGTAAATTAGCAGTAAGATTGCATATTACATACGGTCTCTTTAACCTAAAACTACGTTTTGAATAATATTGTAGTGTACTAAGGTGCAGAACATGTTTAAGATTTTTAACATGAAAACGTGAATATATTTATCTTTTATTTTAGCAACAAACAATAATCTTAATAAAACAAAAGTTATTATAGGTATAGCACATACAATCCAAGTTGATAAATCCAGCCAGTAAGATAAATAGTACTTTATTTCATATTCATTTTTCCCTCCATGTGCACTAAAATCATTGTATGCTACACCTTACAGGAAATATCACCAAGAAGCTCCCCCGCAGGACCGTGGTGCCGGTCAGTGATACAGTCATCTTCTGTGTGGAGCTGGAGCAGCCCTGTCCTGACTCCTACTGGACCCGAAACGGAGAGAGACTCAAAGAGGACGTCCGCATTTCCATCGCCTGCATCCACCGGCAGTACACGCTCACCATCAGGGACTGCCAGGCACAGGACTCCGGGGAGGTGGCCTTTGTGGCTGGAGACTGCAAAACCTCCACACGATTCACTGTCACTGGTTAGTTTTCATTGTTTTAAAGGGCATTATTCATGTTTTCAGCTACATTGATGCTAATATGAAGGACTTCTGGCATAAATCGGTACAAACATTTCTCTCTCCGCATTTATCCAAATGCTTCTTTTGCAAAATCTTTATAATATCTCCTTTACGATGTTTTCTGCCTTTTTAAATAAGAGTTAAAGTTTTAAGAAATTGTCAAATCCTATTAGGTTCTTAACAACCTGTCAATTAGACCGTGCAATCTTAGATTTCGTTCTAAATCCAGCAAAATGTTAGCCTGGCTCTGCCAGACCCTTGTAGTTCCGCCATGCTCCACCAGAGGCGTTTGGCTGAACCACATGGGTCTGGTATCGACGCCATAGCGAACGCCTTCCCCAGATTATTTTTTAATCGACCAATCAGGATTGCCGGTGTTACGTGGGGTTTGCACTACCTCCTCAAGCTTCTCTCATGCAGCAGCGAGAGGAATCCAAGATGGCGGACGTAAAGTCCGCAAATCTTTTTAAAAGAGTAAATACGATCAAATTAAGACACGGATGTCCCTTTTAATGCAATTTGAGTCAAATGTTCCTGTAAAGTTTGATTGAAGCACTGGTTCAGTGTTCCTGTTTACACACTATGCACAATTGAATCTGAATCTGATCTGCAGCAGGGTTGCCAGGTTTGGTGGTTCCCGCATATTTTTTCCAAGAGACTTGTAGGTATTAAATAAACAGTAAGACAATAAACAGAATCATGATTGCCCAAGTTGATTATATTACGTTTTTAGCCAAAAAATCATACTGAGTGTTTTTTTTTGGGGGGTATTCTCGCGGATTTTGGGTTGGAAAATCTTGCTGGGATTTGGCAACCTATGGGAGCCGTGTGCTTCGATGTGAGTGGTTGAAAGCAGACTTCATTCAAGATAACGGACAAGTGGTCTTTCCAATCACATACAAGGAGTTTTTACAAGGCCCTGCCTTCTGAAATCCAACCACTATGGCTCTGTACCAGACTCATGTGTGAAGTGCAGCGAACTACATGGGTCTGGCGAGAGTCAGGCTAGCAAAATGTACCTCTACCAATTGATTGTGTTCAATTCAATTAAATGTATTTTTGTATAGCCCAAATTCACAAAAACAGTCTCAGTGAACTTCACAAAGTTGTCAATTAGCCAACAACAAATACAAGTAAATATTCCCAAGATAATGTTACATGGTCAAATGCATCATACTTGCTCTTTAAAGACTACCGTACCGGGGATGTAGGTTAATGTTCTCTTGCTGGTAAAAACTGGTGTAAGTATAGTTTTTGTGAGCAGCATGCTGGACTGACTCCAAGAAGAATAGCTGTACTAAGTTGTTACAGTTAATGGAGATCAAATAGATACTATTACAAATACAAATATAAGTTTGCAGCTTTGATGCATTTTAGCCCAATTATGAAACATTGCCTCAATATTGTCTATATATTTTTATCAAAATACAAAATAATTGTTCAATTGTAATTTTTGTTGTCCAGCACTATAATACCAATGACCAATATTTGTTTTCTTCCTTAGCTGCAAGAAAACACCCCCCTGATCCCCCAGTCAATGCAGTGGTGCAGAACAAGAGCGAATCGTCCATCACCTTCCAGTGGTCTCCCCCCGAGAGCGACCGGCCAGTACCCATCAGTGGCTACATTGTGGAGAGGAGGAAGATTGGAGTTCAGCAGTGGCAGCGCTGCAACCCAGGAGAATTAGTCAACATCCCAGAGTTCACCATTTCCAGCTTCACTGAGGAGGCCACCTACCAGTTCAGAATCTCTGCTGTCAATGACTTTGGCCAGAGCCCATACATGGAGGTGCCAGGAAGCTTCTACTTGGGTAATACTTCTTTCATAAATGTTGGCTTGCTATTAAACCAATCAATCTAATTTAGTAGTGCTTGTATATGATGTAGTATGGCGTGAAATGTGACAATATTTGGGCCACAATTCAATAATATTGTGATTCATGCCCTTCGTATTATTGAAAGGCATTACATAAAATGAGGAAAATAAGACTGCTTAACTCAAATGTCACATTTATTATGGTCTGCACTAACCTTGCCTGCAAGCTGAGTCTCGCGGTATTTGTGAGTTCACAAACACTCGAGAATACATCTTGTACCGCTCCCGCTTACACTTTTCGAGTCGAACCACTGGGTGTGCGAGCCAATCACGCGCCAGTCTGGGGGTTTAGGGCGGGATATCCGGGTTTGACGAAAGCAAGAAGTGCCGGGCCGAAGCAAAACAAACATGGCTACGCAGGAGGACGGACGCGTAGCTGAGGCTATCAAGTCAGTTTTAGCAGAATCTCCAATTTCTTTTTTGAAAGATGAACAGCGAGAGGCGCTTTGTGCATTACTGGACGGCAACCTTGGTAGGCGGGCACACAGCGTCACTTCGCCCAATCAGCTTGAAGTATTCTGCTGCTTAGCCCTCCTTTCCCCGAAAGGATTCTCCTGCAGAAATCCCAGATTGATATTGTGGAGAACGCGTTAGAGTTCTACACAATCATCAATCTGGCTCTTGCCAGGTTAGGTCTGCACATTAACTGAAGTGCAAAAACTTGAATAGTCAGGACACAGCACCTTAAGGGACAAGACATAATTATCCTCTCACATGAATGATGAGCTCCCAGCACATAATTGTAAATATTAAAATACAATAGTCTAAAGCAGACATAATGGTGTAACATAAACAATCAGATGTAAACTCCTGTGAAAACACAAAATAGAAACAGATCATTATTTAATTAAATATCGCAATACTTTGCTCTACTGTGTCAATTTAATTACATATCTCAATACTGAACAGAATTGTATTTTTCCCCCCATCTGATATGACATCATTTGAAAAAAAACTGAACCAATAAGGGTCAATTGTACACTCTGCCAATGCTCCAAATGTGCTGGGGAATTCCAAGGTAATGTGTTGGGTATGGCCAGGAAAGCAGTGTACATAAGGGTTTGTAAAGTATATTTCTGAAAACGAAGACAATAACAGTAAAAAAAAGCAATGCTGAAAGTATAATAATAATTGTGTGAGTGTTTTATTTGGATCTTTGTGTCTTGAATAAAGAAGTGTATGCACAACATCAGCCTAATGCATGTGTTTCTTTGTCTAGAGCCCAGAGCAGAGCTGAAGAGAGGCCTGTCAGACAGCGTGGCGATCGCTGAAGAAGAGTTCTCCATCTCTGTGGAGCTGTCGGCCGTCTGCTCCGGTTTCTGGTCTTTGGGAGGTCGTCTGTTGCGCAGCGGCGGAGACTATCTCATCACCAGGTCCAAGAACGTACACACCCTCCTCATCCGCATCGTCACCATGGAGATGAACGGACTCGAGGTCAAGTTTGTCGGAGGAGGATCTCAGACCACATGCACTTTAAATGTGAAGGGTACGTCCACAGCCAAAGGCCATTAACACCAGGAGCCATGTAACTGGATCTGTTGTCATGCATTCTCAGCAGTCCACTAGCTTTTTGTGAAAGTGGCAATAACAGCTTCTAACTTGATGTATTTTTAGCTCCTCTCGTCAGGTTCACCAACAAGTCAGCCCAGCAGGCGGTCATATGTGGCGTCCAGGACACAGCTGAGCTGACAGCTGAAGTGTCCGACTATGATGCTAAGGTATTTGTGTTGTTTTCAATTTCAAAACAGAATCAGAATCAGAATTACTTTTTATTGCCTTTGTGAGTAACAGGAAGTCACAAACAAGGAAATTGCTTTGCCTCTTGGTTCAAATAAGTTATAACAGTCCAAACAGAATAAGGCATGCATATGAAGAAAAAATCTACATAACATTGGCTACTAACATTTAGTAGTGCAGTAAAGTGACAAGTAGCATAAAAGTAGCACCTAAAACATTCACACAACGCACAACTAACCCCATTTCTTTATATGTATTATATAGCTGTCCCAGTCCGAAAACATTTGAAAAATCTTTGAATCCTTATAATTTGCAGACTGCATCTAGCTTTAAAATTCAAGTTGAGCCACTGGGGTGTTATTGTTGATGAGGTGAATTGTTGATATCAGTGGTGTGACCAAAGTTTGACTTGTGGTGAACCATATTAGGATGCTGTGAATGGATTTGAAAACTTTAGCATAGGGATGTAAATCGGTGACCGTTTAACCGGTGGTTGACCGTCACAGCGTTAACCGGTCAAAGCTGTCGGTTAAAAATAAGAAAAAGCGGAGAGGGGAGGTCTCTTAATAAGGCTATTTAAGCCCTATTTGTACGATGTGACGAGCGGGTCCGTATCTAGCTGTGTGCGCCAATGCATTAGTAGATTACGGGCGACTTTCATGGCGCACGCTCCACATACTGTATGCACGCAGCCACGCACACGCGCGCGCGCACACACACACAAACACTTTCCCCCCCTCCATACGTAACATCCACACGCATCATCTCTCCCCTCTGTTACCGCCAAAGTTCCACACTAGTGCAGGTCAGAACTACATTGGAGCTTATATTTACACACACACACATACATGTATTGTACACACACACATACCGGGCTGTCGCGCACCTCTGTGTCTCGCAGCCCAAAGAATCCTCGCAAATACGCGGCTCCAGTCAAACACATGAGACATGTTTGTGCTGCTGGTCCTTGTCATTAGATCAGATCCACACACATCACTTTTAAACTTTAGCGGAGACCTGCGAGACGCGGCGTGTAACTCGCTGCTCTGACCATGTGAACAAGCAGTCTTTTGCTTAAAAATGCTTTAACCGGCAGCACAGTATGGGAAGATTAAAAAAGCAGTTCTCTGTGCGCAAAGGTGCCGAAGCTGTTGCGGGTTTTGGCGCCGCTGTCTCAGCTCTGATCTAGTAGAACGCATAGATAAACTTATGAAAAGTACGCGGCTCGAAATGGCTGCTATTTTAAAGAACGTGGAATATTTTAAACTACGCGGTTAACCGGTTTCAACCGGTTAATGAGGCTCGGTGGTCGGTCATGAAAATGCATAGTTTTTTACATCCCTACTTTAGCAGAAATGAACTAGTCTAAAAAAAAAAAAGATCAGTTTTGTTTTAGGAAGGTTAAAACTCAATCCCAGTTGCTCCTAGACATGGACTTTGGTTTATCCCTTCATTTTAATTGTGAGCATTTGGGGGGATTTATGACTTTTAACAATATTACCTTTGTAGGTGGTCTGGATGAGGAATGGACGTGAGATTAAAATTGGAAAGAAGTACGAATGTGTGGTCATCGATCGCAAGAGGATCCTGATTGTCCATAATGTCACAGAAGAAGATGTGGGAGTTTACCAGTGCGCTCTAGCTGAGGACAAAGTAGATCTGCAACTCTCTCTAAAAGGTTTGTCATATTAGTGAATAGCTTTCATCTCACTAATTTCCCTAAACTTATTTTGATTGTATTGAAGATGAACCTGCCAAGTTCCTGAACAAGGCCAGGGGTCCGATGGGAATGGCCTCCTCGCTCAAAGGAGACCTGGAGTTGAAATGCGAGGTGTCTCCTGCCAGTGCGGTGGTGGTGTGGAAAAAAGACCAAGTGGAGGTCACCGAGGACCAAAGAACTCTCTTTGTCTCCAATGGCACCCAAAGGAAACTCGTGATTAAGGGGGCCAAGAAGAGCGACGAAGGGCATTACTCTTGTGAGACAGCCACAGACAAAGTCACATTCCAGGTCAAAATCAAAGGTAGGCATGATTATTATTCATCTTTATTGAAGTGGGAGTGTACAAAGACATTAAGCTCTGACAGACAGATATGTTTTGCACCCAATTATAGTGAGCTAGATAGTTTCAATTTGCTGTCTCTGATTACAGAGAAATAGATTACAATATACAATGTGAAAGGCCATCCAACCGTTCTCTATTAACCACACAACTCTGAACCATTTACTACGTTTCCTCCATTCAGCATCAGTTAAATTTACATTTCCTTGGGCTAACTATATTTACAACTATATAAAAACACATTCTATGATCAGTGATGACAGGTTTGGCCGCTCAACAGCTACTTTTTCAGTTCACAGTCAAACATTTATTGTATCTTGGTTGATTTTTTAGTTTATTTGGGAGATACAGTAAAGAGGTCATCAATCACTTGCAGTATATTGTAATACTTATACTTATCCCTACATCCCTGTAATCCAGAAACTCAAGCTGCCTTCTCTAGTAAGGAGTCCGTGCAGAGAGATGTCAAAGCTGTCCCATCACAGAAGACCACTCTCAGCTGCGACGTGTCCGACAGCAAGACGGAGGTGAAGTGGTACAAAAACGGGAAGCAGATCATCTCAAGCCGTTCCATCTACACAGAAGTTAAAGGCACCACTCGAGTTCTGGTGATGGAGAAGGTGGAGAAGAGCGATGCCGGAGAGTACACATGTGAAGCTGCAGGGGAGAAACTGGTGTTCAAGATCACAGTGGCAGGTAAACAATATTATATTGATGACCAATATCCGGACTTCCCTTTCCTCCAGAAACAGATTTTCAAGCTACCACAGCTGGCTTTTTTCATGGTGGAGGAGCAATGTTTGTTGATACTAATATGAGTTTCGACTATAAATTAGGCCAATAGCTATTTCCAAAGGACAATGGAGGACATGGCATGTACAATATATTACATCATAAATGATACTATTTCATTTGTGACTCTCACTTCAATCACTTCATCTTGCCATCAATATAAACATTTGAATCATTATGGTTTTTACTTTAACCCGTAAGCTTGGATAATTGTTTTGATCTTAACTAGAAAAAATAATCTGGGAAATGATCATAAATAGACAATAAAATACAAATGTGGTTTTAACTGCAAATGGTCTGAACATCCAGTTTATTTCTTTTCATGTTTTTCTAACTTTATATATATATATATATATATATATATATATATATATATATTCATTAGGGATCAGTTCAAAGCCATTGGAATTTATAATCATGTTTCAACTTTCAGAGCCACAGCCATCTTTCTCAAACACAGAGTCTGTCCAGAAAGAAGTGAAGGCTACTCTCTCCCAAAAAGCCTCTCTGAGCTGTGAGGTGTCCGAGACCAACACTGAGGTCAAGTGGTTCAAAGACGGAAAACTCTTGACGTCCTCCAAGTCCGTCCACACAGAGGCCAAAGGCAAGACTCGGCAGCTTGTGTTCGACAGCATCGAGAAAAGTCATGCTGGCGAATACGTCTGTGAGGCAGGCACGGAAAAGCTGGTCTTTAAGATACACGTGGCAGGTAGGATATAGTAGCTTGCTAAAGGACACACACTAATTAAAGCTGAGTTTTTAAACATGTTACAACATTGTTCCTTCATCAAAAACACACACAGTTACTTTTAGTCTGAAATATCAAAGCTAATTTGGGGAACTTCTGGAACAAATTGGAACAATTACGTTTATTCTCCCCTTTTGTCTAAATCCTGCTTTAGTAGTGAATTTATTTGAAGACACAAATGAGACAAAAATAAATCGTTTGAACATGAGTTTAGACAAAGCAGACGCTTATTTGCTTCGTCCAGATACTTAGGATTACTACTGAGGATTCCTTACAATATGGTACAAATATTTAAAAAAGAAACAGAAAAAAAAGAGCTTTGTCTCCCGTCAAATTGACAACTGCGTCCAACTAATACTAATTAAACTTTGCCATCTCTTATTTCATTGGTAATTTTTATCCATATATTTTGTAATTTCTAAAACAGACAAGGTCAAAGTAAATATTCTCACAAATAATGCAATAGGTGTGCTCTTTTAATTTGAGTTAAAAAAAAATTTATTTACTTTATTTTCAGCTGATACAAATGTGCAGTCGACCTCCAATAAAGAATCCATCCAGAAACAAGTCAAAGCAGTGCTGTCTCAAGCTGCAATTTTGAGCTGCGAGGTGTCTGACTCCAAGACAGAGGCGAAATGGTACAAAGACGGCAAAGTAGTGACCTCCACTAAAGCAGCGCACATGGAATCAAAGGGTAAGACTCGGCAGCTGGTCATCGACAAAGTGGAGAAGAAGGATGCAGGAGAATACACCTGTGAGGCTGGGACTGAGAAGTTTGCCTTCAAAATGTCCGTTGAAGGTGAGAGACCTTCAAGATTCGCTGATGATTTGACCCATGTGTTGGAAACATGGGGATTTATTCAATAGTTGCTGTCAATGTACAGTCAGTCCATGTAGTCCATAGGATATGGATATGAAAGGAACAGGTTAAGTAGTTCATTACCAATTACCAAAAGTGACTAAGGGGACTATACCCATACATCCAGTCAGGAAGGATGGGAGGTGAGTATGGGTGGGTCTAACAGAAGCTTGCATTTGAGCATCAAGAGGGGATCTCTACATTTTTACCTCACTAACTTTAACTTTAATGCATATATGTTTACATTTAGATTAAGACTTTTATTTGTCCTTTTTGCTTGAGATCATCCTTTATTTGTTCCACAGTGGGGAAATTTCAATTTAATTGTTGCGCAGATTGTATGAAAAATAGGGTTCCATGTAGTTTTAATTATACCTCACAAAATGTTTTGTCTTTTACTTTACTTTATATAACTGCCTAGTTTTCTAAAAGGCTTGATGAAGAATAAATTAACTCAAAGAACAACTCCTTATAGAGTCGTTGTGTCTATGTAAAAGAATTGTGAGCTACACGTTTTTTTTTTTTTATGAATAAACTTAATTATTCAAGTTTTGATTTTGTCTCCTCAGAGGCCAAATCCTCTTTCCTACACAAAGAGTCTATCCAGAAGGAGATAAAAACCAGCATCTCTCAAAAGGCTGTACTGACCTGTGAAGTGGCCGACAGCAAGACTGAGGTTAAATGGTACAAAGACGGAAAACTGCTGAGCTCCAGTCGCACGATCCACATGGAGTCGAAGGACAAGACAAGGCGGCTCGTGATCGACAGCGTGGAGAAGAAAGACGTTGGCGAATACATCTGTGAAGTCGGAAGTGAGAAAGTCTCGTTTACAATAAAAGTCACGGAAACGGAACAGAAATCCGAGCAAAAAACTGTTCAAAAAGTAGAGCAGAAAACTGAGCAAAAAACTGTACAAAAGGTAGAACAAAAAACCGAGGAGAAAACTGCACAAAAGGTAGAACAAAAAACTGAGCAGAAAACTGTACAAAAAGTTGAACAGAAAGCTGAACAAAAATCAGAGCAAAAATCTGCCTTCTTCAACAAGGAATCAGTCCTAAAGGAGGTTAAAGCAATGCTCTCTCAGAAAACTACTCTAAGCTGCGAATTGTCTGACAGCAAAACAGAAGTCAAGTGGTACAAAGATGGGAAAGTCATCACGACCAGCAAAACTGTTCACATCGAGTCCAAAGGAAAAACTCGACAAATCATCATTGAGAATGTGGAGAAGAGTCACGCAGGGGAGTACACATGCGAGGCTGGAACTGAGAAGCTCTCCTTTAAGATTCAAGTAGCAGGTATGACAAAAGTGGTTACATCAGTTCACAAGATAGGACTCTTATTTGATCATCTGTTAAATGGTGAATGTGTTTTGTTTTTCATAGAAGCTCCGGCTGCTTTCACAAACAAAGAATCTGTCAAAAAGGAAGTCAAAGCCTCTCTTTCTCAAAAGGCCACTCTGAGCTGTGAGGTTTCCGATTCAAAGGCAGAGGTGAAATGGTACAAGGAGGGGAAACTCCTCACCTCCAGCAAAGCGGTTCATATGGAAACAAAAGGCAAGAGCCGTGAGCTAATCATCGAGAAAATGGACATGAAAGATGCTGGAGAATATACCTGTGAAGCTGGGGCTGAGAAACTTTCCTTTAAACTGCAAGTGCAAGGTAAATGTTGATTTTAGTTACATTAAACTATTATAATCATGGGCATCATCGTTTGGACTGCCTTTTTGAACATGACTATAGTGAAAAAATATTGATCAATACATATCTTCTCTATTATATAAACTGCATCATATTGTGTAGTACAAAGGGATGGCTGTGGAAAAATCAACACATTTTCATTTGGCTTTTGACTTTAACGAACAATGAAAAAAAAAAACATGTTGCCTTGCCTATTGTTTCATATATACATGGTTTTATGCCCATGAATACATTTTGTTTGTTAGCTGATCAGTAGTTTAAATTAACCTTCACGCTATGAAGAAATCCTACTTTCCCAATTTGTAACTAATGTCTTTCCATTTTTTGTCCAGATGTAGCAGTGAAGTTTCAGAAAAAGTCCGTTAAGGACACCTCTGTTCAAGCCAAAGAAGACTTTGTGCTGACTGCAGAGCTCACCACTGAAGGTGGCACCGTCAGATGGTTCAAAGACGGTGTGGAGCTAAAAGAGAGCGTTCAATGTCAAATGAAAAAAGAAGGTCTTTCACGAATGCTCATCGTCAGATCCAGTGGGGCCAAAGACAGTGGAACGTACACTTGCCAGACTTCTGACGACAGGCTGGAATTCAAAGTCCAAGTGAAAGGTTTGTCCTAAATTATTCCCCCCATCACCTATTTATCTCATCACAAGTTACTGTTTTTCTTCAGAGGCAGACTTGAAGTTTGCCACTCCTCTGAAACCAGCTTCTGTGGAGCTGGGAGGTACTCTGAGCCTCGTGTGCGAACTTAGCCAGGCAACAGGGGATGTTGTGTGGCGCCATAATGGTCGCGAGGTTAAGAGTGGCGGTCGCTACAGTGTGAAAGCAGATGGGACCAAGCAATTTCTCACGGTGACGGCTATGAGCAAAGAAGATGAAGGGGAATACACCTGCGAGAGTAAAAATGACAAGACGACCACTAAAGTCACCTCAAAGGGTTAGTCTATATTTGAAATGTGTTCAGTTTTTGTTCAATCCAGACATAGCTGCATTCATTTTGTTCATAAAAAGAATATTCAAACTTATGTTAAATAAAGGTACCTCCGTATTTAATCGTTTCAATTTACAAAAATAACCACAGATTTAGAAGATGAGCTGTTAAAAGATTGATGATGGATAAAAATATAGCTTAAAATAAGTTGTGAGCATTTTATTCGGCCCATAACTGCTACTTTTCTCTTGTTCTTTGAGCCCTGCGACTTATATTGCGATGCGATCATGCTGTTAAGCACGGTTAAGCTGTTAAACACCACGTCATTAAATTATGTTGTGAACAGTTCAAAGAGTTTTCTATCTGCTACATGACAACATGACAACCTGCGGCTCATATTCAAGTGTGGCCTACATGTGGACAAAATGTACTTTTTCTTAAAATGTTACTGGCATGGCTTATATACGGGTGCGCCTTACGGTCCAGAAAGTATAGTAGGTACTACTACATCAATAAGTGACCAAGGTTTCTGAATACGCATGCTCATTTTCTTCAATTGTGTTTGTTGCAGAGCCAAAACAAGTGAGAATCACTACCAAGCTCAACAACGTGGCAGCGATGGAAGGCAAAGATGCTATCTTTAAATGCGCCCTCACACCAGCAGACGTGAATGTAAAATGGTTCCACAACAGTGTCCCTGTGACCGCTGGAGCTAAGTACAAGACTGAACAGGGAGGCACCAGCTTCTCTCTCACCGTCACATCAATCAGCCAGAAAGACGCAGGCGAGATCAGCATCGACGCAGAGGGCAAAACATGCAAGGCCACTCTTCAAGTCCAGCGTACGATTAATACACACCGTATACTAACGACATGTTTCATAATATTCTTCGTCTCAATAATCTGAAAAGCAACATGTGCCATCTTTTCAGAAGGTTTTCCCATAGAGTGATAGAACCACTGCATACTGTCAGCATCAATTTGAGAAAAAAAAAATCTAAACTCTGAAAGTAAAAGTTAAGTGTTAGTATAATTTCAGGGTCTGAGAAAAAAAGTTGTTTAAAACAGAAAAAACGGTGCAAATCCCCCCAAAAATCCTGCCGTAAAGTAAATCAAATAATTACAATAATTTTTGAAAAGGTTATAGCCACTAAGTTAGTTAATAAATAGTTGAGTGGTGTCACTTTAGTTTTTTATTGTCTATACCGACTGTACAATAAATCACTTTAAGTCACTAATGCACTAGGACTGAAAAACCTGCACTGCTATTGCCACTCTTTCTTTTACTGCCACTTTTCATATCCTGCACAGACTATATTTGAGTATTATGAGTTCACAAATGACATTGTGAGAATTCCTCTCACTTATACATTCCCTTTCATTTTCAGATGAACCAGTGATGTTTAAAAAGAAGCTGGAAAACCTGACGGTGGAAGAGCAGAGCGACGTCAAGATGGAGGTGGAGCTGAGCAAGGCCTCAGACGACGTGCGCTGGATGAAGAACAGCGTCGTGATTCAGCCGTCTGGAAACACTCTGATCCAAGTCAATGCAGCCAAACAGACCCTCGTCATCAAAAATGTCACTACTGCTGACCGAGGCTTGTACTCCTGCGAAACTCTGGACGACAAGACGCAGGCTAAACTCAACGTGGAGAGTAAGAGATCACCATTTTTGTTGTAGTCTTTATTCACAATTATTCACTATTCAGTATTCAATAATAATTTAATATAATTCAATATTATTAAAAGAAAAAACAAATATATATACAAGTACAAAAAAGGAGGAGAAGTCAAAATTATGTTTCCTACTCCAACTTGTTATTTTCATCTTATTCAGTGAAGAAAATCCAGTTGGTGAAGGGTCTAAAAGAAACTAAAGGCTGTGAGACAGAAACTGTAACTCTGGAGGTGGAGCTGAGCCAGGTCGATGTACAAGGGACCTGGACCAAAGATGGATCCAAGCTGAGATCTGGGGCCGGCTGCAGCATCACTGTTTTGGGGAAGAAACATGTGCTCACAATGTCCAAGCTGAAGAAGGAGGACGGAGGGATGATCGCCTTCCAAGCAGACGACGTCCACACATCTGCCAAACTCATCGTCACAGGTGCCATCGAGCTTTTCACAAATGGTTCTTACATTTGGATTGAGATTATTTTACGATGAATCAATTGTCTTGATATTGCCTTCAAAATAGAAACACATTTATGTCCTTTATTTATCAGATTTGAGAAGTTGAAATTGAATACAAATAATGATAAATATATTTATAAGAATAATATATATATATTTTGTTTACATCTATTTGCGTTATTTATTATTCATGTAAACTATTCATGTTTTAGAGCCACCACTTAAGATTTGCAAACCCATCATGGATATTAACGCTGCTGAAAAAGAAAAGGTTACTTTTGAATGTGAAGTGTCTCGAACAACTTCGGATGTAAAATGGTTTAAGGTGAGTGACAGCACTGAGATATCTTTTTTTATTGGAACAAGGACATATGAAAAAGCAATACATTAAAAAAATATTGTGGAATCTTCAGGATGACAAGGAGATCACATCTGGAAAGGACATGTCCATCCATTCGCTGGGCAAGAAGCACTCTTTGGTCATCAATAAATGTACTTTTGAACACACTGGGACTTACATCTGCCGCACCCCTGATGACAACACTTCTGCCAAGCTCCAAGTTCATGGTAAGATGTCGTTAATTTGCAGACCTGCAGAATATAATGACCAAATTTCACACCAATGTTTCTTTTCTGCAGCCAGAGAGATAAAGATTGTAAAGAGGCTTGAGGATGTGGAGGTGATGGAAAAGGAGAGCGCGACGTTTGTCTGTGAAGTCTCCCATGAGGAAGTAGACTGTCAGTGGTACAAGGGAAGCAGCAAAATCAAAGCCAGCGACAATATAAAAATGAGACAAGAAGGTAAGGCCCAAATAAATTTTCAGATTAAGTAGTGTAATCCCTCATTGGCCCAGAAGAATTGTCTGGACCGAGTCTTCAGCATAGAAACAGAACTGGAATTTTAAGATTTAAGGTAAAGATAAAGATTTACTCAGTCCGCAGTGGGAAAAATTCAGGGGAATTTAAGGTGTGGTGAGCTAAGGTAGAGGGGAGGAGTTAGAAAGGAAATATCTATTTGTACAGCACATTTCAAACAAGAACTTAACCTAAGGTCAGTTCTTGTTTAAGTTAGCTAATTTTTAAAGTATTTTTATTGTCAAAATGTCCCACGCAAAACTTTGTCCCCACGCGTATTCGTTCTGCGATGATATTTTAATTGAATTATTTTCAATTTTATACAGGCAAGACATATACGCTGGTGTTCAAGTCTGCTTCTGTCGAAGATATGGGGGAGATCAAATTCACTGCAGACAAAGCCTCATGTACGGCAAAACTGAAAGTGAAAGGTAATCCGTGTTCTGCTGATGTAGATGTCCGTGTCTGGCATGTGTCCGTCATTTACATGTGACAGTTTGTTGATGTGGCTGCGGATGGATTCTATTAATCACATGCAAAGTATTGTTGGGTGACAGTAAGTAAGAGCAGGAAAATTTGATTTGGTTTGTATTCGACAAATACCCATATTTTTCATTTCAGTAGAACAAATGCTATTTTTGTAGTCGTTAACAAAACCCTTAAGTATCAAATAAAATACACTACATGCCATTTAATATAAACGAATAGTTAATTATTCCACATCCATAATCTGAACTCAAAATATTTAGTTTGACGAACATTCTAACTTTTCTACAACTCCACTATTTAACCATAATTAACCATCATAAGTAATTGATTATCCAACTTTTCTTACTGTGAATGCCACCTCCCAACAGTGCTTTGGTGAATGATTTCTACAATCCGCCTGAAGTTTACATCTTCATTGTTGTGCCTCATTGAGACCTGAAACCAAAACTTGTCATTGAAAACAAACAAACAAATTATCTAAAGAAATGTTTCCTCGTATGGGAAAAAGTTCTTGATGCACAGCAATTTTACCCACTGCCTTGTGAGCTTTTAGAGGACTGCTTCATTAAATTTTTCCCCCAAAACCATATCATTTAAGTAATTGTTTCATGAATTGTTATTATAGAACTGCCAGTCAAGTTTGTGAAGAAACTCAGAGATAAGATAGCCATTTATAAGCATCGTGGCCATCTTGAATGCCAAGTGTCACGCGCTAGTGCTAAAGTGAAGTGGTTCAAGAACAAGACGGAGCTCAAATCAGGCAAAAAGTACGACATCAGGAGCGAGGACGTGTACCGCCAGCTCACCATCAACGACGTGGACTCTGGAGACGAAGACACCTACGTTTGTGACGCCAACGATGACAAGACCTCATGTAAACTGCTGGTTGAAGGTAACAGGAACATCAAAACACAGAATAGGGTTCAAAATAAAAGGCAAAAACACTCCTGCCATCAGACTGCACTTGCAATGGGGTATTTGTGGTCAGCGTTTCTGTTGTGTCTTAAATGTTTTTTGAATGTATGTACGTCTTGAACAATCTGAATAGACCCACAAGATGAATACTTTATGTAAATTAATTAGTTCCTTTCAAAAACACATTTTAACTGGCAGATTTTAAAGGTAAATATTTTTTTCTTTAGGTCGAATAGAAACATGGGGTGTGGGTAATGCTAATACACTAGTTAGCAATTAGAAAATTAATCTTTTAACAGAAACTTCTAAAATAGCCAGTATTATATTTGTGGAAGTTTTCTTTGCAGTCCCTTTGAAATTATCATTATTTTTTACACTGAATTGTTTTTATTGGGTTTGGGTTTTCTGAAATAAAAAAAAACAGTTATGCATGCATTCAGACAAAACTGGACCACAGGTAAGGCTGGGTACTGTTAACTGTAACAGTACTGAACTGATTTTTTAAAACTTTTTTATTAACTATTGCTATATTGATTTTATTTCCTCCGTACCGTTATCATTGAATATTAAGCTTTTTTGTTTGTTTTTAAACTAAATATCAAATCAACTCATCTACTTATATTTGATGGACATGTAATTAATGTAATAGTAATGGTTATTGATAGTAACATTGATAATAATTCTTATCTTAGCCCTTAACATATAATTCTTTTTCATACTTGATTATATTTCCCACCATCACTGTCTCAGTTTTAACAACCGTGTTCCTCCCACAGAGCAGTCCATCAGCATCGTGCGAGAGCTTAGTTCTGTGGAAGTGACCGAGCCATTCGTGGCTGTGTTTGAGGTAGAGATCAGCATGGAGCTGGTCAAGCCTCCTCTGTGGACTCTGAGCGGAGTCGCAGTGAAGGAGAGTGCGGACGTGGAAATGGAGAAAGAGGGAACGCTGCACCGACTCACGTTTATAAAGACCAAAGCCGACATGTCTGGACCAGTCGTGTTCACAGCAGGGAAAAGCAAGTCCCAAGCACAACTCACAGTCAAAGGTATTGTGTAGTTTAAGGATGTGTTCAACAGAACTGCCACAATAAGTCTTTTGGATGGACGATGATACAATATATATATCATGTAACTACTTTTATGCCCCTCAAACTTAGCAGCATAACCCTTTTACACTATTCTTTAATTACTATTTTATTTAAAGGTCTGGCTGAGAAAATAAACAGTAGAATATAGAATTTGTCATAAAAGTTCTTTAGCTAAAATGTAGCCTTTTGCTATTAAAGAAATAGCAAAAATTTAGAAGAAAATATACAGATGATTAAAATTGAGCACTAAAATGTATTTTTTCTTTCATAAATTATCACATGATGAATTGATATGTGACAGACCTAGTGTTTTCACTTCAATTCAACTGGTCTCATGCCGTCACTGAACTGTTTCAAAGTGAGTGTGACTGAGGTGATTAATAATAATAATAATGATAATTAGTAGACATGGGTGCACTCATATTTCCTGAGTTGGTTAAATAACTTGCAAAGATTCATTAAGTTTAAAAAAAAACATCTAGTGCTTGTTTTTTAACTGCCTTTTTCCAGTGTAACATATATTTTTGTGTAATCCAGAGCGCCCTCTAGAGGTCTCAGAGCCAATCAAGAACGTGAAGGCAAAGGAGAAGAGCTCCGCGATCCTCAGCTGCAAGTTCTCCGCTCCTCCCAAAGACGTTCACTGGTTCAAGGGCGATCTTCCACTGGCCACATCCGACAAGTACAACCTAAAGCAGGACGCCACCAGGGCCCAGCTCACCATCCAGCGGCTCGCAGAGGAGGACACCGGGGAGTACCGCTGCCAGTCTGGACCAGCGGAGACCAAAGGAACGCTCACTGTTGAAAGTATGTGATGACTGGGGTTCCTCAGCAGTTTATACAGTTGTCAGAAACCCATCCATCCATCCATTTTCTACCCTTTAATCCATTTCTGGGTCAGGGGGGTGGCAATCAGAGATGCCACCCAAGTCTCATAGCACCAGCCCCTCACTGACCCTCTGCAGGTGGTGAGTCCACAGGAGGACGGCTGCTGAGTGTGAGCATAGCCTTGATCTTTCAGTGGGGGCTTTGGGCAAAGTGGGGTTAAGTGTCTTGCCCAAGGACACAACAACAGCAGACATCAGTGGGAGTCGATGGAGAAGGTGCAGAGGTGGGAATTGAACCCACAACCTTCTGGCCTTAAGGCCAATGCTCTACCAACTGAGCTACTGTCGCCCTTGTCAGAAACATTTAAGAAAATAATCCCAGGGGAAGACCCAGGACACACTGAAGGGTTACATCCCTCTATATGAAAATAGAGACAAACAACACACAAACATACAATATATGTTTTTACAATTTACAAAATTCTGTGGCTAACACTTAGGCATTGGAGGACGCTCTGCACATCAAATCAAATCAAATACATTTTAGAGTCCTTTACAACACTCAAGGTGACCAAAGTGTTTTACAATAAAATCTCATAAAATCCATTAAAACATTCATGTAATCAAAATAATAAAAGTTAAAAAGCATTGAAAAAGTAATGAGTGTTAAAAGTATTACGGTAAAAGTAAAAGTCAGTGTGAATAAATATGTTTTGGGGCTCTATTTTAAAGAGCCAAAATGACTTGTCTTTGCAGTGCGTGACATCCAGATCACCAAACACCTCGCTGACACTGAGGTGGATGAGGACGGTGACGCAGTGTTCACTTGTGAGGTCAACTACGCCGATGAAGAGGTGCAGTGGCTGCTCAACGACAAAGTGCTCTTCACCAACGAGGTCAACACGATCAGCCACGACGGCAAAGTCCATAAGCTGACGTTAAAGAACCTCGCCCCTCAAGATGGCGGCACTATCAGTGTTCAAGTGCGCAAAGTCAAAGAATCGGTTACGCTTACGGTGAAAGGTAAGGAAAGTGGGAAACATCTGTGAGAAATTGAAACATTACATTTAAAGCTGAGGTATGTAAGTTTCAAACCACAACGATGGAACTACATAATTTAATCCATTAAACTATTTAATTGCTTTATTCGATGTATTCACTTTTTAAAATAATGTTTCTGTTTTCATAAGCAATGGGTTATATATGGAAAAAATAAGTTGGCTTTAATTGCACATGAATCTCACCATTTATTACAGAAAAACTCGCTGTATTCCTCAAGTCTCTGGATGATGTTGTCGGGGAGGAGAAGGGCATGATAACTTTAGCCTGCGAAGCCTCCAAGCCCAGAGTCTCTCCGACCTGGAAGAAGGACGGGAACGTCCTGAAGGCTGGACCTAAGTATGAGCTCCTTCACACGGGCAGATCTCTGGGGCTAATCATCAAAAGTGTGACAAAAGAGGATGCTGGAGAGTACATCTGCGACCTGGGGACAGAGGCCTCCAAAGCAATGGTCACTGTTAGAGGTGAGTTTCCACTTTTATTATGAAACATTATTTTTAAATTATCTTGTTTTTCAAAGACGTGTTCTAAATGAACAACAAAACAGGCCATAACTGATTACAACTCATAAAAGACAAAACAAACAACTTCACACAATATACACAAATACACACACTTGACAATATTTGTATATATTTTAATGCACAAGGATTAACGATCACTAAGACTTTAGTTCACATCTTACAAAAACACATTAAGGAAAATGCATGGACATTATTGTGACATAAAAAAGTATGAATCCATTATAATTTTTTGTAATATGAAGTTGAAATAACAACTTTTTTTTTCTGGCCACACTCACTCACTAACTCCACAATGCTAACAACCTTCAACAAACTTCATATTAAACCATTTTAATATTGTTCAAAGCCTTTTATAATTAGGCTTATTGCTATGTTATTTTGTACTGTAAGTTACCTGCTTTGTAAATTCAAACTTGGTGCTCTCCTAGAAATCGGCATTGGCATCACCAAATGGCTGAAGCCCGCTGAGGCAAATGAAGGAGAGGCCTGCAGTTTTGAGTGCATTTTGTCTCGCGAAAGCTCAGACGAGAGCTCCTGGACTCTGAATGGTAAAAACATCACGAACGGAGGCAGATATAAAATCAGCAGTAAAGGTCGCAAGTACATGTTGACTGTAAGTGATGTCACTCCTGCGGACGCCGGTGAGGTGGTGTTCAGCATCAAAGATCTCAGCTCCAAAGCCACATTAACAGTCGAAGGTATGTATTAAGAATGATTTAATGCTTTGATTTATACATTCAAACTACAGATGTGGTTCTTGGTCTTGCAGGCAAAGCTTCATCTGTTGCAAAAGCACTGGAGAACGTGAGTGTTGTCCAAGGTGAGGATGCTGTTTTCACCTGCGAGGTAACAAAGTCCAGCTCCACCGTCAAATGGGCAAAAGACAGCAGAGCCATCAAGAAGAGCCAGAAGTATGACATCAGCCAGGAGGATACTCTCATGAAGCTGACCATCCACACTGTGACGGCACAAGACTCTGGGGAGTACAGCTGTGAAGTGGTGGGAGGGGCCACCACCAGAGCCACGCTGGAGATCAAGGGTACACTATACGCCAACTACATTTATTTACTTTGACTATTCAACTAAAGAAAAGCAATTAGTGCCCTGGGAGGCTTCAATTTAGTCTTGTGATAATATACTTTTTTTCAATAAACACAAAAGATCTTTTGTGTTAATAAAAAAAGTATATCACAAGACAAGATATTCTTAAATGACGGGTTTATAATGATATTATAAAAATACCTGATTTTTTTTATTTACAACGATAAATTATAGTTTTACATCAATCAGGAAGCAGTTTGTGAAGGAAAGTTGAAATAGTAATTTAGAAAATATTGGAAGTAAAACCAGGTTTATGAATGACATCACAGTTGGCAGTTTTTATGAATCTAACATTTTAAAATCATTTCTACAGAACTAAATAAAAACTTTATATATAAAAAAAAGTATAAAATTAAGAAAAACTTTTGCATTTGTTATAAAATACAAATTATGACTAGTGTTTTGTTCTTTTATTGATTTGAATGAGCCTTCTTACCTCCTTTGTTTAGAGCCAATCCACACGTTCACCAGAGCGCTGCAGGACAGCCAGGCGGAGGAGAAAGGCTCTTTGAGTTTGCAGTGTGAGACGGCTCTGAGTCCCTCCTCAGTGGTGTGGCTGAAGGGCCACACAGAGCTGCGAGCGGGAGGAAAGTACCAAATGACCCAGAGAGAGAACCTCCTGACTCTGACCATCACAGACCTGGAGGAGACAGACACTGACATCTACACCTGTGACGTGTCCACTGCTAAGAGCATGGCCAAGGTCACTGTCAAAGGTATGGATTGCTGCATGTTTTTAGCAGGTTTTTTTCCCTTTGAATTCTTAGATGGCTTTCAAAAATCCCTGCACTTTGTAATTTTATTATTAACTGAGACTCTTACTGTGTGTTCCCGTTAGACTTCAATTTAACAAAAAATACTAATAAAATTGTTTACTTGATTATATTTTTATAATTTGATCACATGCTGCAGCTTTGCCACCTCTGGTTCCAGCCAACTTAAACGCAATGAAGGACCTACAGAGCACTCATAAATATGCCTTGAAACCACATTTAAGTCACTATAATTGTCTTCCTTTGATTATTTATTAAATATATTACAAATGGTTAATCAGTATAAGTAAATCATGTAAAATGGATTGTATACTATTGCTAAACGCTAAAGCTTGGATTGTCCAGCGTTACCCGTCGCATTCACAAAGAAGCTGCAGACGCTGGAGGCTGAAGAGGGTGCCAGTGTGACCCTGTGCTGTGAGCTCTCTAAACCTGGGGTGTCAGTGCTGTGGAAGAAGGGCACACAGAGCCTGAAGTCTGGAGACAGACTCCAGCTGAAGCAGAAAGACTGTGTGAACGAGCTGCTCATCACCAAAGTGGAGCCAGAAGACTCTGGAGACTACAGCTGTGTGTGCGGAGACCAGCAGACCACCGCTAAACTCTGTGTCAAGGGTAGGAAGAGTTTGTACAGTCCTGCCACACTTTGCCCATTTGAAGAGGATTCTGGTTCACTTTGAGCTCAATGCACTTTGTTTGTGAAGACATGAAAGTATCAAACACTTGTCTCCTGTTCTTTTCAACACTTTAGTTAACACTTTATTTGAAACAGTCAGTGATGTCATGAGGACTGTTGTATTTGCTGCTGAAGTGAACCAAGTCCAGCAGATCAATCGATGTGTGAACACATCCTTAAGCACAAAATTCTGATTTGAAATGTTGCCCATTTTCTCCTAATGGCACCTAGGGTCCCTAACTTGTATTTTAATGATTTATGTTCATGTTTGTTCATGTTTCAGAATGTTAATACTACAAATCCAAGCTCCATTAGGCAAACATAATAGTTTTAAACAGAGTATTGAACAATCTCACAGTCAGCTATCAGAGTCTGCCATAAATAACACCCTAACCCAAGAGTTTTGGCTTTAGTCTGTTTAGCTTCTATCTATGTACACATCTGTAATTGCTTTATTGATGTTCTGTCAATGGGCCTTGAGTCTGTGTATGTCAGATTTGTCTGTCTTTTCATTACTTATACTAATTGCTGATAATCACTCAGCTCTACCAGCGGTCTTCACCCAGAAGCTGCAGATGTTGGAGGCTGAGGAGGGGGGCAGTGTGACCCTGTGCTGTGAGCTCTCTAAACCTGGGGTCTCAGTGCAGTGGAAGAAGGGCACACAGAGCCTGAAGTCTGGAGATAGACTCCAGCTGAAACAGAAAGATTTTGTGAACGAGCTGCTCATCACCAAAGTGGAGCCAGAAGACTCTGGAGACTACAGCTGTGTGTGCGGAGACCAGCAGACCACCGCTAAGCTCTGTGTCAAGGGTAGGAAGAGGATCTTTAATTGGCTGTTTTAATATTAATGCTTGCAGTGCCTGTCTGGTGTTTTTTGTACCTATAATTAAATGGCAGTTTTCCACCGCCATATCTCATTATGCTCAAATGGCTCCTGTCTGGAGGTGATCTCAGTCAGTACATTTCTGTTGAAGGTCGTATGTTATACATTATTAACTATTTTAGGACTTTGTAGCGTTGACATTTTGACTCATGATGTTGCAGCTCAAAATATGGTGTCTGAATTCAGAGCATACAAAACATGTTTCCCAGAAAAGGTAGTAATGGACCATCAGATGCATTATTGTGGATGAAAGCGTAAACTGTAATTTTCAAAAGGAAGATGCAATAGTGAAGACAATTGGGGAGTTTAGATGTATATAGCTTTTATAATCAAAAAATAGCTCATCTTAATTTTCTACATTATATTGTTACAAAATAAGAAAAGAGAGGGAACTGAAAAGGGAACCCACCAAAACATGCTAGATTACAGTAGTATAAGTGATAAAACAAATCAGATCAAGTATCTTTTTTACAAAGGATGGTCAGTACTTATCTAAGGATTCATTTAGCATTATATGAATTCTCAAGCATGTTAAATATCTGTACCAATCTGTTCAAACATTTTGAAATGATGGCGTGGTCACTTTTCAAACCTTTGTATTGATTAGGTTGTGCTTTATTGTGCATTATTGTTGCTGTCTGTTCAGTGTTTGTTTGTCATTTTAATTATAACTAACTCACATGCACTCACTCAGCCCTACCAGCGGTCTTCACCCAGAAGCTGCAGATGTTGGAGGCTGAGGAGGGGGCCAGTGTGACCCTGCGCTGTGAGCTCTCTAAACCTGAGGTCTCAGTGCAGTGGAAGAAGGGCACACAGAGCCTGAAGTCTGGAGACAGACTCCAGCTGAAACAGAAAGACTGTGTGAACGAGCTGCTCATCACCAAAGTGGAGCCAGAAGACTCTGGAGACTACAGCTGTGTGTGCGGAGACCAGCAGACCACCGCTAAACTCTGTGTCAAGGGTAGGAAGAGGATTTGTGATGTTTCTACAGACCTGCCACATTTTGTCCATTTGAAGAGGATTCTGGTTCACTTCAATGCACTTTGTTTGTGAAGACATGAAAGTATCAAACACTTGTCTCCTGGTCTTCTAGTCACTTCAGTTAACTCACTTGCTTCTGAAGTGAACATATTTTGCTTCTGAAGTGAACCAAATCAGCAGACCACGCAATATGTGTGAACACATCCTTAAGCGCAAATTTTGATTTAAAATGCTGTCTGTGTTCCCTAATGGCACTCAGGATACCTAATGAATTATGGAAAGAAGATTTTTTTTCATGTTTCAGAATGTTGATACTGCAATTCCAAGCTCCATTACCCAAACATAACAGTTTTAACCAGAGTACCACACAATCTCACAAACAGCTAACACAGTCCGCCATAAATTACTTCCTAATTAACCCAAAGTGTTTTGGCTTGAGTCTGTCCAGCTTCTATCTATGTACACATCTGTAATTGCTTTATTGATGTTCTGTCAATGGGCCTTGAGTCTGTTGTATGTTAAATTTGTCTGTCTTGTCATTACTTACTCATACTAATTGCTGATAATCACTCAGCTCTACCAGCGGTCTTCACCCAGAAGCTGCAGATGTTGGAGGCTGAAGAGGGGGCCAGTGTGACCCTGCGCTGTGAGCTCTCTAAACCTGGGGTCTCAGTGCAGTGGAAGAAGGGGACACAGAGCCTGAAGTCTGGAGACAGACTCCAGCTGAAGCAGAAAGATTTTGTGAACGAGCTGCTCATCACCAAAGTGGAGCCAGAAGACTCTGGAGACTACAGCTGTGTGTGCGGAGACCAGCAGACCACCGCTAAACTCTGTGTCAAGGGTAGGACATTTTATGGTTTTATTTACTTTGATGTAATTCAGTAATTTTACTAATACATTTTGTTCACAATTTACCGTACGTATTTATTGTACGTTTTTAAAACAATTACCCAATTATTACAATACATTTTATTCTCTTATATTAAAAGCGAATAAAATATATTGTAAATAGGTTGTATAACAACTTAGAATGGACATACTGCTCCTAATTCCATACACAATATAAGATGGTGAGTTAATTTATTGAAGAAATTGTTATGTGAAAGATAATCTGTCCTCTAGCTTCCAAGGCAGCAACTGCCACATCAGTCTCTAAAGTTGAACTTCAGGGGCAGGTGACTACAGAAACGACAGGAGGTATGAATAGAGGAAGGCAAAGCGCTTTGTCATGTGGTCACTTAGTCTTTATGTGCATTTAACAACATGGCTTCTGTGAAATTTGAAATTTCTGGCTTTCTTATAAACTTGCACGTTTCATTCGTTGTTATTTTGTTGTTGTCCCTGCTTTTTTCTACTTCATTGTCCTCATGTTCTTGTTGCTTTCAAAGTCGCACTGATTTTGACTATTGTCATGTTTTTCATACTACATATATATTTTTCAGTCAATAAGGTTGAGACAGTGAGTGCAGCGGCCGTAATCTCCAAAGACAAAGATATACAAAAAAAGCAGGAGTTGAATGAGACAGTAGAAGGTAATTCACTGGGATATTTGTTGTTTTGCTTTGGCATTTATGATACATTATACATTATGTGCTGCTTTTAGGTGTTATGTGTTCAGGCTGGCTTTGGCAATGACCATGTGTAGTGTTTTCTTTGTACCAATATGGCTTCTGTCCGTATATTATGGCTTTTTCCAATATCTTGTTTATACTTTTTGCACATGAGGTTTTTTTTGGCGTTTGTGGTGTTGTGTTTAAGAAAACACTGCTTTAGTTTCAAACAAATCTTCTGTTTCAGTCAATAAAAGTGAAGCTGGATCCAAGAAAAATGTACAGGAGGTTAAAGAGACAGTTGAAGGTAAAATGATGATATAATTGTCCTCTGATTTCTTGATCAAGATTAAAAATTTTCTAATACAGGTTCAGTTGGCCCTTGTTTAAAAAAAAAAAAAATGCATTTAGACAATAGAGACACTGTTGTTTCTGAGATATAGTTGACTCAGTCAGAACAATAAGGGTCACAGCATGGACCCCTGTAGCATCCCCATGATGTTTTATACATATAATTGTTGTTTTCAATAGTTCTATTCATCGTGCAAGCCATGACTCCAGACGTTTCAACCATTTATACTTATTATTTTTTATCTTAGCTGTTCTGATCGTACCCACTGGACAGATGCCTATGCAACAGATTTCTAAACAAGAAACATGCGCAACAACAGAAGGTAAAAGAGCTGGATAGATTTTTTTTGCACCGCTTTCCATTCTGCATCTTCCATCTATCTATAGCTGTAAACCATTTATTCTTTTGAGGGTGGTTCTCTGCATCTTGAGCTGATAAAAGTGTGTTTGTTTTGTGGAGTGTATGTGTTATATGTATCAACTTGTTTTTGAAGAAGTCCTGAAATATGTTTGTTAATGAAGTATTTAATGTTGCGGCCTGCGGAGTATTTCTTTTGGACCACTCTAGTTAGGCCGCTGGACTTCAGAAGGCACTTGTTACATGAATGGGGCTAGTGTCGGCTAATGCAGGCACAAATGTACAACAGATGCAAATTAGCCCATGGCTACAATCCGAAGTGATGTGTTCATTAACATGTACTGTCCCAACCAAATAAACAATAAATAAATAATGCGTTTTTTTCTAGGGCTGTCAAAATTATCGCGTTAATTCACGTTAATTACCGTTTTCATTAACGCGTTAAAAAATAGTTTTTTAACGCATTAATTGCATTTCCCGCTATTTTCACGTTCCCAGATGTCTATTGTATCAAATATGTAAGGCTTGAGGCAATATTCTATTGAGCCAGCAGATGGCAGCATTGCTCTATGAATGGTTTGAAAACAGCTAGATGCACATGTGCCTCTTATTTCTCAGCTTTCTGGTGATTTCAATAAAACTTACCTCTACTCGACTGGGGATTACAGGGGAACGAAACAAGCTAGAAACAAAATTATTTTTGCTGATGAAAGTAGACAGTCCATTCTTTCAGAATCTGGTTTTGGATTTTAGATAGTCATAGTACACAATATTCTGTGGGTCTTGAAAATTCAGTAAAAATCATCAGAAACGGCTGGCAATATGGGAGTACCTGTTCTGAAATAGGCTGGCAGAGTCGTTGCTGTTTTGGTCTGTATACAATTCAGCCATGACGGTCAATGTCCAAAATATTTTAATAAAGCTTCCCTTTCACATAAGATGAAAACTGTTTGAGTTAGCAGAAAGTCTTGTTGCTTCTCTGTGTTGTACAGTCCTGAAATATGTTAATTAGTTATTATCATTTTGTAATGTTGCAGTCGTTATGTTGTAGTATTCTGTAGTAAATGTTGGTGGTATGCAGGCTGTTTCTTGTTTCTGGCAGTGCGTGATGATTTTTGTGGAGTCCTGTGTGATAGGGTTAGTTGTTTTGGTCTGTGTACAATTCAGCCATGACTGTCAATGTCTTAGACATTTTAATAGAGCTCCCCCTTCGCATTAAGTTAAATATAGTTGAGTTGGCAATATTTGAAAAGTCTTGTTGCTTCGCTTTTTTGTACAAACGTGTGGCATTGTTTTGAACTCTATGCTTCCATTGTTGCTTGATTTTATAATATTATATACTGTTTGTCATCAAAAGTTTTGCTTTTGCATGTGTGCCTAGCTGTCTGTTTCTAAGCCAGAGCAGTTAAGTTGCATTCTTTGACACTCATGAATATATCAAGCTTCAACTTTGTTGTGATAGAACCGAAGTTGGCATCCCCTGCTTTTAAGACCATTAATGCAGTGGAAGGTATGTTTTGGATCGCATCATTGCTTGATCATATTTTCTTCATATTTGTCCGTTTTGTCCTTCAAATGTGATGATATTGTTTTAGAGAGCATTTTAGACATGGTGTTGTTGCAATTGTGTCTCTTTTCCATACAGCATAGATATGAGAGTATTGAAAACATAAAATGTAACAACTACGGTAGCAACATGTAACATTGATTTTGATTTTGCAAGCCTATTACAAAAAAGCTAATCTACCATACCACAAAATACCACTAAATGATTTTTAGTTACTATGTTGTTTCCATCCTATGATCATACTCCCCTGAGAAGTAAAATTACATTGTGTGGTGCCATTGGTTCTCATTATATTTAGTTTTTAAGTTGTATATTGCTGAAAAAATGTATATACTGATGAATTACTGTGGAGAAGTCTCATGTTCTGAACGAAACCTCTGATGTAGAACCAAAGAAAAAGGAGGCAGAGAAGTTGAAAGTTCAGGGTATGTCCTTTGATTAGAATGTTGAGGGTTTGTGTGGGTTTTCTCAAGCCTTTGTGTGTGATTATAACAGCTGCTGATGTAGCTGTGAAAGAGAGTGAACAGAAGCCAAGGACCACAGAGACTGCTCAAGGTAGAGAAGGCTGTGGGCTGCATGTCTGCTGCTGCAAGGACACATTGTATTACCAAGGCTTTATGTTAGCACCAGCCATGCACGCTTTGCTACAGATTTTAGCATGGGGTATGTTCGGAACAGTCCAGGAGGCTTCCAAAACAGATGCCTGAGCCTCCTCAATTGGCCTATCACAATGGGTAGAAGAGCAGCTCTACTTCAAGCTCCTCCCATGTGACTGAGCTCCTCACCCTATCACTAAGGGTCATTACCCAAAGCCTATGACCGTAAGTGAGGGTGGTAACGTAGATTTATTGGTAAATAGATAGTCTTGCCTTTCTGCTCAGCTCCCTCTTCACCACAACGGTCGATACAGCGACCGCATCACTGCACACGCTGCATAAGTCAATCTCATTCCTTGCGTTACTGTTAACAAGACCCCAAGATACTTGAACTCCTCCACTCGAGGAACGACCTTTCCAACCACCAGGAGAGGGGCAAGGCACCTTTTTCCAGTCGAGCACCATGGCCTCTGGATTTGGAGGCGCTGATTTTCATCCCGGTTGCCTTACACTGTGAATGGTCCCAGTTCATGTTGAATGTCCTGGTATGTTGACAAAATTCTCCACAAACAGCAGAGATGAAATGCTGTGATTCACAAACCAGACTCTCTGGCCCCACAAAGGGGTGGAGTCCAACATGCCGCTGATACAATACAGCTTTTGCTTTTATTGTTGCAAGATGGGATGTACAAAGATATAAAATAGTGAAATTAACTTCAATTACAGCAGTGAAGTCCAAGGGAACCGGCAAGAAAGACGAGAGAAAGGTGACATTTGAAGGTATGTCCATAGAGAGCAATCTGGAGCAAAATGTGCTTTTTTTAATCAGTGTGCTTGCTGCATTGGTTGGTTGAAACCTGCTGGTTTCATATAGCGTCAGAGCTGTTGTCATTCTTGTCACCCCAAAGCCAGTGTTTTTAGATAAAATACTAATTTGTTCAATTATGTGCAGCGTTTGTGGTTGACCATTCTGGAGTAAGTGTAAATCTCTTGCATTTGTCAAAGATCTGGTTCTTTTTTCTCCAGTTGGTTAGTTGGTTGGCATATATCACTGGATCATCATTGTTTCTTCACAGTTTTTTAGGGTTCTGCAGTTGAATTTGGTGACCCATGTGGAAGGTTGATGGCTCTCATACTCTGTCATATCGGATGTGTTTTTTGATGGTGGTTACAGAAGCAACATGTTTTTTATCAGTCTTCTTAAGGTGACAGAGGAGTTTAGGTTGATGCAGTTGTATGGGGCTGTATGTTTACAGGAACTGACACCTGACCACTCATTGACCAAAGAACAGGCACATAATTGTTTTCATTTACTCTACAGTTGTTCCAGTGACAGTGATTGAGGGGCTGCGGAACCAGGAGGCTGAGGAGGGAGGCGGTGTAACTTTTCACTGTATGCTATCGAAGCCTGGGCTGTCTGTGGAATGGAAGAGGGGAACCCATGTACTTGTTTGGGGAGAAAAGTATAGTCATAATCAAACCGGATGCCGTTATGAATTGCAAATATTTGACTTAAAGCCTGGAGATACTGGCAGCTATTCTTGTCACTGTGAGGAAACCAGCTGCTCTGCCTCATTGATTGTAAATGGTAGGGGGCACAGTGTGTGTGGTTTTTTGTGTGTGGTCGTTTTATGTACAATTACTTAACATGTGTTTTCTTTATTTAGCAATTCCAGTCACTTTTATAAAGGAGCTTGAAAGCCAGTCAGCTGATGAGGGAGACAGTGTCACCTTACAGTGTGAGTTGTCTAAAGCTGCCATTTCTTTGGAGTGGAAAAGAGGAGAGCTGGGCCTTTGTCCTTGTGCCAAATATGACATTAGACAGATGGGACCACTGGCTACACTAGTCATCCATGATGTAGACCTAGAAGATGCTGGCTTGTACACCTGTGACACTGGGGACAAGCAGAGCACAGCACAGCTGATGGTTAAGGGTAGGTTCATAGTTTGTGCAACAATCAATTTTTGATCATGAATAGATATTGTTATATACATTTTGTTTTACTTTAAGTTGTACAGTATGTACAGATTGTTTCAGCTTTTGTGACTATATACAAAGCGCACATGTATTCAACACAATTGAGTAAAACCTTTTCAATTATATATGTCAAACCATGTCTGCGTCATCCCACTGCTGCAAAGTGAAAAAGTGAAGAATTTGGTTCTTGGATCCTAACATTTCTTCACATCTCTTTTTGCGCTCAATCTCCTACAGCTCAGCCTGTTCTTTTCAAGACCAAACTGAAGAACATGGAAATCAAGACTGGGGAGAGCGTCACTTTCCGGTGTGAGATCACAAAACCCGGAGCTCCGGTCACATGGAGGAGTGCACACAAGATACTTGAATCTAGCAGCAAGTATCATTTGAAACAAGAGGGAACAGTTGTGCAGCTCGTTGTCTATAAAGTGAAGAGAGCTGATGCAGGAGAGTACTCCTGTGACACAGGCAGCCAAAGGACCTCAGCCGTCCTGACAGTCAAGGGTAGGATTTCAACCTTCTTCATCATTTTGGTCTTCCTCATTTTAAGTTTCTCTTTTACATTTTCTCTCAAAATAACATTTGAGCATGCCATATATGCTCTTCACATTTGTATGCAGTTTTTTCACACAAAGATTAAACTTTTTACTTACTTCATCATCACGTTTTGTTATTAATTCATACAATTCTTTTTGGATAATGCACAATGCAGTATGTAGCATGCACCCTGAGTTTCCCACTTTCCACTTTCCCTTGCACTCCCTTGAAACTCGTTGTTTTTGCTTGTAGTACGTGTGAATTCCTTGTTTCCAACTCTATCGTCCATTTCCCCGTTTCCTTGATTGAATCCTTGAATTCTGATGACTCCTCCAAACAGAAGCTGAGGTTAGCATCCTGAAGTTCTTGGACAGCTGCGTGGTCAATGAAGGAGAAGATGTCCGCTTTGAGTGTGTCGTTTCCCATGACGATGCCCCTGAGGCCCAGTGGACGCTCCAGGACGTCCCACTTCGGAACAATGAAATGAATGTGATTGAAACTCAAGGCCAAGTACACAGCCTCACTTTAAGAGGGGTCACTAATGCAGACTCAGGCACAGTCATTTTTACTGTGGGTAACAACACCTCCACTGCCTCTCTCACTATCAGAGGTAAGGTCAGATACATAAAAAGTTAAATAAAACTCTATTAAAGGAACCATATACAGTATGTGTGTAACCTTCCCTCTTACCAACTTCTACAAGTAATAAAAAACAACTATAACAGTCCTAAATGGATAAAAATAGTTGTTGATGTTGTTCTTGATGATCCTACATCTGTGTGAGCACATTTGGTGATGAACACGTTTTCTTCATATTTGGGGACACAGATTTATTTTTGTATTTTATTAGCATAAAATGGCATAGTCTTGCCTATTAACTCTTTGAGTAGAAAACAAAGTAAATGGAGAAAGGTCTATTTGTCTTCCATTTGTTAAAAGAATTGGTGTTTGGCCTTATTAGTTATTAGTTACTTATAGTTATTATTTTTTATATCTTGGTTTGTATAAGATTTGTTTGTGGTATAAGTTTTGTATAGGTTTTCTCTTGGAAACTGCTGTTTGAAGGCGCACTGTGTGGCTTTTCTGGTGGAGGCTTGTTTGTTTTCCTGATGACACCAGTAATTATGAAATGAATGTGTTTTGCCATACAAGCAAAAAAGTTACACAGCACACCTCTCTTCTTTCTGGCAGCAGCTCCAGTCACGTTCGACAAAGGCCTGGAGAGTCAAGAGGCCACAGAGGGTAGCACGGCCACGCTTTCTTGCGAAACCTCCAGTGCAGATGCCAAAGTGACCTGGCGCAAGGGAACGCAAGTCCTCGATCCTGGCGACAAGTACATCATGGAGAAGAAGGGCGCCTCCCACAATCTGGTTATACGCAAACTTAGCATTGGTGATAATGGAGAATACATATGTTGCACAGGGGATAAACAAACCACAGCTTTCCTCACCGTCAAAGGTAACAAGATCCATTTGTGCCTTCATCAAATTCATCTCATTCTTATTTACGCTCTGAAGATGTGTTTTGAAGTTGAATCAAAGCCAGTACAAAAAGCTCCTTCTTAAACCTATCCCTGATTATGCAGAGCGTGTGCGAATCATCCGAGAGTTCAGAGATGTTACCGTCACCACGGGCCAAGACGCTGTCTTCGAGGTGGAGCTGTCTCACCCCGGCATCACCACCGGGGAATGGTGGCTCGGGGACAACCTTCTCCAGAATAACGACCTGAATCAGATGAGCAGCGAGGGGACAGTGCACCGGCTCTCCCTCAAGATGGTCACCACAGACGAGACCGGAGATGTTGCTTTTGTTATGGGGGAGGAGAAGTGTGTGGCTTATCTTCAGGTGGAAGAGAAGCCCAAAGGTAAAGAACAGGATTTAAAGTAATCTTCAAAGTAGTGATATTGAATTTTCGCACTGCCTTCCTTGAAATCCGAGACATGCATTTTCACATTCACTTTCAATCACCTTGTCTCATATTTTGCCACACTTATCCACAGTATCAATGCAGTTTTATATTTACTCATTTATGAAAGTTGACAATCTAGTCAACTTGTAGACTAGTAGAGTTTGATCAAAGATTATACATGGACTTGTGAACAAACATTTTACCAGACCAAGTCCCAAAATGAGTTACTACAGGTTGCACATATATACCCCTAGACCAGAAACATAAATATATTGAATTGTAATTTTACATGAAAGGCACACACTATTCAAACATTCCTTATAAATACAAAACTGAAAGTGGGTATGCAAAAGTATCTACCCCGCTGAGTCTACTTTGTGGACTCGCTTTTTGGTGCAATTACAGCTGCAAGTCTGTTGGGGTAAGCCTCTAAGAGCTAGAGGTTTTGTCCATTCATCTTTGCAAAACAGGCTCAGTTAGATTAGACGATGACCACTTCTTGCGCTTTAGATGCTCCACCCCAATTTTGAGTGTTTTGCAGAATCCAACTTCTATCTTCCCATCAACTTACAAGTTTTCAATTGAAGCACCCCCACATTACATTTCGATCTCACCTGATCAAAGCACCTTCTTCCCCCGTGCGACTAATACCTGAGCTGTTGCTCTCTGCACTTCATCCTAGGTCATCATGAGCTTCTTGGTCACAGTTGTTATCAGCCCTGGAAATCTCTTTATAGCCTAACCCAGCTATATTCTTGTCCACAACTTGTTTCCAGACCTGTCTGGTGTGTTCCTTGGACTTCATGATGCTGTCTGCTCCCAATATTCTCTCAAGCCAATCTCTGATGCCATCACAGAGCAGCTGTTTTTAAACTGAAATTAGATTACACACAGGTTTAATTATAGATACTTTTGCACACTCTGCATTTAAGTACTTTTTTATCCATAAAAGTTAACTTCGTGATTGTGTTTTCCTTAGTGTGTGATATTTAAATTAAATATATTTATGTTAAAGGGATTATGCCGTCCACTGAACCATAAATCCGACTTGATTTGTATTGCTCCTAATTGCAAACGCCAAAGTTGCTTGACAATAATCTAGTTGTGGGATTTCCATGTTTTCAGTTTTGATTGTGGAGAAGCCTCACAACACAGTGGCTTTAGAAGGGGAGACAGTAACCTTGGCCTGCACAACCTCGGACCCTAATGGCACCGTGACATGGGCGAGGAATGGTACTGTCCTCAAAGCAGGTCTGAAGTATGACTTGAAGAAGAATGGGGCTTTCCACCAGCTTCGCATCCACAGCCTCAAGTCTGATGACTCTGGGACATATACTTGTGACACTGGAGAAGACCAGTGTGAGGTCCAAGTCACAGTGGAAGGTAATGAAGTCTGAAGCGAGGCTGAAAAACATATACCCTCAATAATTAAACTATTTATCCTGCCATCTCAACAACTGGTATTCCTGTCTCAAAATCTTATCAGGTGCCCCGGCCTACTTCCTAAAGGAACTGAAGAACCAGGAAGCTATCGAGGGGGATGATATTGTTCTGCACTGTGAGCTTTCTAAGCCGGGTGTTCATGTGGAGTGGAGAAAAGGAGGTGCGGTTCTCCACTCGGGTAAGAGAGTGAACATAAAGCAGGATGGTGGTGTTCAGGAGCTCCACCTCCTCAATGTAGAGCAAGAAGACAGTGGATTCTACACATGTGATGCCGGCGACCAGCTTACCACATCCTCTTTGACTGTGCAAGGTAGACTTTTTCTTTTATTTAAAGCTCCAATAGTTTTTAGAACACCAAGAGGCTCAGTATCTACTATGTCTGCCCTAACCCAACAGTGAAAGAAGTCTTCATTTTGACTGGTCTTAAGACGACTGATGTCTTTGTGGGGGAGTGGGCTACCTTCTCTTGTCAGCTTTCCGGCAGGGCACCTGATGCAGTGCAGTGGTGGCTAGACGGCACACTACTGGAGAACAGTGCGTTTAGTGAGATAGGAATGAGCCTGGGACACATCCACACTCTGACCCTCAAGAACCTGGCCACAGACGACTCGGGCACTGTCATGTTTAAGACGGGCAGTCTGCTGTCCACAGCCAAGCTCTTAGTCAAAGGTAGAGCATTAAGCTACTCTAATATATGCTGAGACAAACCACTCTGTAGATAGGAACTCCTAACTTCACAGCTTTCTAACAGTTGCTTGACCTAAATGCTTGCTTTTCAGCAATGCAGTTGGCAATATTTTATTCCACCATTTCCTTGCAGTTTTTGCTTGAGCAGATAATCTCAATACTAATGCAGTACATCAATCATGTGCTGGACTTCATGTCAAATGCGGTGGGTGCAGCATCACCTTCCATCAAAAGAAAAAACAAATCTATTAGCTGGGCTGCCAAAATATTTACAGTAAATTAAAAAATGGACATAATCACATCATGTATTTCTGTCTTTTTCCTCAAGATCACACGCTCTTGTTGATTGTGTTTTTTTTTACACCAAAGAATGTTGAAGCAGGAGGATTACGTGGAGATGAGGATTTTGGATGTGTCCCCAGGCCCTGGACACATGCTGATGAGATCAGGATTTAGTCAAGGTCAACATTTGCAAGGCTGAAAAGTTGATACTTTCAACTCTGAGATGATTCTGTGATTCTGTGATTTTTTTCAAATTGAGAACATGGTTTGACTTTTGCTATTGCCAGTTCACTCATGGATCCTGCCCCAGTGCAGTAGAACTTTACTGTTGTAATTCTGAATTATAAATTTACAAAAAGGCATGATTGTGATTATGGTCACCTATGCAGCCTTTAAAATGTTCATTTAAATTTTCAGTCCTGGCTTTGGTGATGACTTTTGGCCTAATTTGTCGCGCTTTCGTGAGTGTATAGTTTTATTTTGTATTTTGGTAATAGTGCTGCTCCACCCATCCACTCTCACCCGCTGCTCCATTCTCCATCTTCATCCAATACGCAGCCCTAACACCAAACTTTGTAACTCAACCTGTGCGTCTGACTATTGCACTAAGGATTGATTATCATTGCTGACAGAAGGGCTTATGTGGGATCCCTATCTGCTCAACTAAAGTGTCTGTTGACATTTTTTTTAAAGTGCGTATGACAGGTTTGACAAATATAATCTGTTTTGCATAAATCAAGAAGCAGGAAGCAAAAGCCAGTAGTTCTGTGATGACACCACACTATGGAGAATAGGAATGTACTGTACATTTTGGGAGATGTAATGAGTATGGCAATAATTGGTATACCTCACAGTACCTTTTTAATGGAGTTGGTACATCTTTTAGGAAAATCTGAAATATAATGATCACAACAATATCAATGTAAAAGTAGCTTTTAAATGCATTCCTCAACCATTTTGTGAAAATCTACCGCAGTGGCTTATTTCTATGACTTGGTGTTAGGCACGTTTACCATCAAACCTAATATTAAAACACTAGGGTTAAAAAAACATTAGAAAATCAAAAAAGAAAAAAATACATTGCATTATCGTTAAAGGGTTAAATTGCATACGCACTTCAAGGTAATGTTTTGGCCTATGAATAAAGCCATAGTGCAAGTACATGCTGAAAGGCCTGAGCTCCTCTGTCAGCAGCCATGTCCTGTGCATGTGGCTCCTCTGCTGGCCTCATGAACTTGGCCTCGCCCTCAGATCCCACAGTGGAGGTCGTGAGCGCGATGGAAGACCTTCGGGTGTTAGAGAACCAGGCGGCACAGTTCATCTGCCAGTACTCCCGGCCGGTCAAAGCCGAGTGGAGAAAGGATGGGCGACCGCTACAGCCGGACGGCAGCAGGGTGGTGGTGGAGCAGGACTGGAATGTGGCGCGATTGTTCATTAGTCACGTGTCCGCTGAGGACCGAGGCACTTATTCCTGTGAGGCTCAGGGCACTTGTGTGGTGGCTACACTGCATGTGGAAGGTGAGCTGCCCTTCACATGAGAGCGGCCATATGTAGGGTGTGTTCACTCAAGTACTGTTTGGGTTCAGTAAACTATAATACTAATTTGTTGCAAGGGTGGTTTCAACTAGCCTGGACTTTCCCATAACCCCCTTCTGTTCTAAATTTAGCCACTAGTAGGAGATTAGAATGGAAACCAGGCTAGGTTTCAACACGGTGTCAACAACTCGTCATTGATGGAAAGAAACACAACACAAGTACTGTATATGTGACCATTACTCTATTCTATTTTTCACTATTCCCAAAGTATTATTCTGGTATTATTCTCTTCAACTGAAAAGTGAGAGGTTAGCAGACAATATATTTGTTTACTCTATAGTGGTGGTCTCAAAACTTGGACAAAGTATGACTTAAAGTTATATAGGAGGATTTTCCCAAGTTTTAGGAAAGAACCACCCTCTCCACTTTTTGAACAAATCTCTCTGGTTTTATCACGTATCACTTGAATGATTGACATTTGGGAGGACCAATAGTCTTGATGATCCACCCGGAATTATAAAATCCTCCTATATAATTATAGGTCTTACTTTAGATTTAATTATCTCTGTAGTAGTTAGTATAGTAAATGTGGGCAAACAGGTGGAATAGAATTATTACAGCACTGTATCAATCTATTATACCATCATTTGGGGAACACCGGTTCCCCAAATGACTAAGGACTAATGTGAACACACCCTAACTCTTTCCTGCTTTACTCCTCATTGTTCTATGACCCGCTTCATGCATATATATGTGATATGAGTGTAGCCTAATACATATCCATCTTTTTTTTTCACAGACAAACCTATCACCATTGTCCAGAATTTAGAAAACATGGAAACGTTTGATGGCGGTGAGGCACTGTTTGAATGCGCCTTGAGTCGGCCTGAGACCAAGGACTGTCAGTGGCTCCTGAATGGGAAAGCAGTGAAGGAGTCTCCAAACGCCGAGCTGGTGTCATTTGAGAGCGGCCTGCGTCACCTACTGCTCCTCAAAGAGCTGCGCGTGGAGGACAGCTGCACCGTGACCTTCAGAGCTGGGGCTGCGTCCACGTCTGCGCAGCTCACTGTCAAAGGTGAGCCGTCATTGTTACTGTCACAAAATAATTATTCATTTTATGTAGTGTATACACTGCTTTGTATCCAGAACCCATGTCTTTGACGATAATTCAGAAATGTGAATTAAGGTCAATGAATGCTGTGGTTACCTCTGCTCAGGAGGTGGTGATCCAAAGCATTATTCTGTCTGTTTGTTTGTTTGTCTGGGATCAACAGACAACTGTGCTTCTGGTCGGTGGTCCCCTTTTGCTAATATTTTATAGTGTACTTATGTTGTTTTATACTTCATCAGGATGCTTAAGCATACAGATTATATTATTAATTTACAGTTATTCATATTGTACTGATAGCCAATTATATACCGTGCGTTGCAACATTGACCTAACCCAAGGGGTTACAAAGGATTTATTTTATCTGCTACTTTTGAAATAATATTCTTTCCTTCTCCTCCTCTGCGGCGGGCAGGTTGGCAGCTGGATGTGGTGAAGCCGCTTGAGGACAAAGTAGCCGTAGTGGGAGAAAAGGTTGAGTTTTCTGTTGAGCTAAATGAGCCTGTGCCGATGTCCGAGGTAATCTGGTATGCCAACGGAGTGGAGCTGAAGCCCAATGACATCTGGGCGATGAAGGCAGCCGGCAACTCTTTTCAGCTGGTCTTGAAAAGGACCCCTCTCTTGCCTCAGCAGGAAATCACTTTTGCAGCCAGAGATGCACTGTCTTTGGCTAAACTCTCCATTATTAGTAAGTACCACAAACGTTTTGTTTCATAAATAATACATGCAAAATTGAAGAAACTCTATAGTTTTTTCAGAATTGGATCCCTGAAACTTTATAGGAGAAATAAATAAAAGAAAAAGGAAGCTATTTGTAAAGTGGCCTTGATTCAGGATCTCATGTAGAATTTCTGCTACTTCAAAATATGCTTTAGATTGAAACTTGATTGACTGAGCAAAGGTTCTCTGATCATCTCTGATGTTTTGAAAGACCAGAACGAGCGAGATGATTTTGAATTCCTAGGACCACTGTTTGTGCCTTGAAGATCAAAAGGTTCTTTAATTGTGTTCCTCTAGCTGTACCGGACCCACCAGAGGATCCTGAGGTCTTTATTAAGAACCATTCTGCAAGCCTGTCATGGTTCACCCCTCTGCACAATGGGGGAAGTCCTATTTTGGGTTATAAAGTGGAAATGCGGCTGGTGGACAGTGTGCTGTGGATGCCTTGTCACACAGAGCCGGTGTGTAACACTGAGTTTGTGGTGGAAAACCTGATGCTCGGAGCGGCGTACAGGTTTAGGATTGCAGCCATCAACAGGGCCGGGACAGGAGAGCCTGTCGAGCTGCCTCAGACGGTGCAGCTTGGTGAGTTAATCAAGATTACAGTATTTTCTTTGGCATTAATATTCATGCACCTTCAATTCTTTTGAAACAATGGTGCTTTACAGACTGACCACAATTATTATATTATATAATATATTGCAACCAAATGCTCCATACAATTAAACATACTTTTCATAGAACCTGAGTTTTTGCAATCAACGGACCTTAACTATGCTAACTATATGACTATATAATTTCTATTAGTATTTGATTTGCCAGGGTGTCTCATTATCATCTAATATATACATAAAGTAACTTATAAAAAAACGCTAATGGAAAAGCTACACAAAAGATTAAACTAATGAAGCTATTGATATTTAATGTTTTGATAAATCAGAATTTCAACATTAAACATGTATTATCACATATACAAGCGAAATTCATGACCCTTAACCATGCACAAAATTTGATAAACAGTGGATTATTCTTTTACAGAGAAACCTAAAAAGCCAAGCGTCTCTGAAGGTAAAACTTTAAGTCATATTTGCTCTAAGGATTTTACGTAATATTATTCCTTATTCAGTACAAAGAAAAATAATTATATTGTGCTGTGTCTAGATGAAGAGCTAAAGAGTCTTCCTTCAAAGCCTGCTAATGAAGAAGAAATTCAAAAGCTTTCTGTGCAAAAGTCTACTGAAGTCGCTGCACAAGAGGTGGTGAAAACTCAAGAGGTTGTGAAAGCTCAAGAGGTGTTCACCACAGCACAGACCGTGAAGACCAGTGAGAAAGAGCAAACTATCACTTCCGCAACGAATGAAGCATCACTCGTGTCGTATCTGAAGAACAGCAGCACGTCTGCAATCTCTGAGGCTCAAGTTATTACCACTGAGAAATCACAAGTTACTCAGACCATCATCCAACAGACAGAAGTTAAAACCGGGTCAACCACCATGACATCGGTTCAGTCCGCCGCGGTGTCCACAGAAGAAGTCATGGAGATCAGTAAAGAGGACGAGCCCGAACTCACCGAGGCCGCCATCAAGATACAAGCCGCTTTCAAAGGATTCAAAGCCCGTAAAGAGATGAAGCCGGTTTTCAAAGGCGTTTTCAAAGACCAGACCAAGGAGCCCAGTGGTACCATCCACCTGGAGTGCCTAGCTGAAGGCAAACCCGAAAAAGTGCGCTGGCTGAAGGACGGCCAGCCCCTAGCGGATGGAAAACACCACCACATCGATATTTACAACGACGGAACCTGCGCTCTGGTCATCACTGCCGTTACCACCAAGGACACAGGCGTCTACACTTGCGAGGCCAGTAACAAGTTCGGCCTGTCCTCTCACAGTGCCAAAGTCACTGTGGGTGCAGCCAGAGAGTCTGGACGCAGGCCTCTGACCGTGGGCTACAGCGCGGACAGCGAGCCGGACAGTTCGTCTGGTAGCGAGATGGACGAGTCGCTGAGGAAAGCCAGCAGACGCCTCCGCAAACTGCTACGCACCCACCTGCCTCCCGACGTGGAGGAGGAACCCTTTGTGAGCGCAGATGAAGGCGAGCTGAAGACCCCAGACCTGCATTCGTACAGGGAGGACGAGAGCTACATCTACATTAAGGTGAGTGTGACAGGTTACAGGTGATGCCCTCTCTTGGTTTAAAACGACAGACCATGCAACAGAAAATCACATCTTTTAAGCATGGTTGTTTTTCCTTGGTATTTACAGCCTTGAAGTTGTTTTTAGAGTGATTCATGAAAGGTTTATACTGGTAATCGCCATTGCTCCTCCTAACTCATCTGACCACTGCCACGGCGACTTGCCCACTGGCTTTGTTCCATGAATTCTCTGTCAGTTTAAACATTCATTAAATACATTTAAGGTCTTACTTATTGCTACTACACCTTTAATTTTGGCACATATGCTGTTCTTGCAGTCCATTAAACGTAACCGATCTAGTATAAGATGTTGAATCAGAACTAAAATGTGTCCTTGATATCTCTGATTTTAGTGAAACAAGGGGTCTAACCTGTTTTTTAGTTCGACACACGAACAGACGCAGAGGTGGCGAAGATGAGGTTCCAGGAGATGTTCACGGTGCACGGGGTCCCGGTGGAAACTGAGATCATAGATGCAGCAGCGCACAAGGTGGAGCTGCGAATCAGGAAGACAGGCTACTCACAGGATGGGACAGAGACACCCACCCCAGACAAACAAGCCCCTGCCTTCATGACTGGAGCTGCTGGTAGGAGTTTATGTTTGATTGATAACATTGATACAAGGGGATTAACTTGATGATCATTTAAGGCTGAAAGGGCCGGGATTGTGGGGCAGCTGTTAGCGCTTGTGCTTCAGGGAAAGAAGGTCCCAGATTTGATTCCTGGGGCAGTTGAGGGCTTTCTGTTTTCCCCTTTTTTAGCCCAAGGATATGATTCAGTGCATTTAAAGCATCTGCTGTTCCTCAATAAATACTGTTCCATACAAATAATAAAATAAAGTAAATTAGGTTCACAATTTAAATAAGACTAGGAAAATCCATAATTGATGAAAAACTGAAATATATACAGGGTTACCTTTTTATTGGTTAATTGTGCCCTTTTAATTTGTTAACAGCCTATTTTCTTAGCTTCAGTCACACAATAACAATCAATATAACAATTAAGACATTTATGAGGAATGATAATAAATTACATACTGTATAACATCAAAACAGAAAAGCACATTCAAAAACTGCACAATTAGAGCATGTGAAAGTGGGTTGCTGTTTGTAATCTTTTATTGCTTAATCTTTTCCTAGCTGCACCACTTTTCCTGACCGAGCTGCAGAGCCAGGATGTCCCGGACGGATACCCAGTGAGCTTCGACTGCGTGGCGATTGGCAAACCCGCTCCTACAGTGAAATGGTACAAAGATGGCAAACTGCTGGAGGAGAACGACCATTACATGATCAACGAGGACCAGGAGGGCCGCCATCAGCTCATCATCACCTCTGTGCTGCCCACTGACATGGGCGTTTACCGCTGCACCGCTGAGAACAGTAGTGGCATTACAGCCACCAAAGCCGAGCTCCGGGTGGACAGTAAGTACAGATTTTCACACATGAACATCATGCTTCCCTGATTATCTTTAAGTCAGACACGCTATTAGTGAACTGTATTAATTTTGACTTGTTGGTCTGCTGCAAGCCATCCTTAGAACTGTCAGATGACTCCATTGAGCGTAGAAAGAAGTGGTTGTTGTGAGTTCTGATGTCACCCATTGCCTTTTCTCATAAGAAACCAATAGAGCTGCTCGAACAAGCTCCATTAGCAGGAATCTGGATTCAAATTCTCTTATGACAACCAAAGAGCCAATCAGGAGCAATGTTAGTTAGACAAAGCCAAATCTAGGAAAAGAATGAGCGTGATGAGAATGCTGATATACAAACACTCAACAAATTCCGTATCCTAAAAAGGTGAGTGTGGCACAAACGGTTAAAGAAGGGGTGTCCGACTGCTCTTCAAAGGACTGGTGTGGCTGCAGGTTCAAGTACACTTTATTCATCTTTATAGGACAATGCGTCCTCTACATTTGACCCATACTTTTGATGCCACTAGGGAATCTATGTCAGGAGGAGTGGTCTCTGGGGACCCATCTCTAGATGTTGATGCTCATCTTGGTCAGGACTACCGGAGCTATAAATTGCATTATGTTTGTGGTTGGTTTTAGTTCCAACCACACACTGGATCACACTAGACTCCACTCATTTTCTCAAGTGAGTCCAGCCTTAATCTGTGGACTTAAGGAAATTAATGGAGGTTGGAACTAAAACCTGCTGCCACACCAGCCTTTTCTGGATCCAGATAGACACTCATGGGTTAGGGGTAGGGTTTGGGTTAGGGTTAGACATTCGGATGACTATAGTTAGCAGCAGAAACATATTAAGGTCAATTCATGTCATAAAGCTGCCAAACTAGAATACATTTAATCTACTGTAAGAAAAGACAAGATACTACTCCACTACTGTCTTCTTTGTTATTGCAGTGTCGTGCAGCTCAGATTATGACACAGCAGCAGACGCCACAGAGACGTCTTCATATGTCAGTGCAAAGGATACATCCAGGTAACAATGTTCATTTAGCACAATATAGGAATGTAAGATTGAATGTGTTGTGATGAAAACAACATTTACCTTCTACTCTTTATATTCATGCAAGAATGCAAGAATATTTGATGATTATTCCTATTGTGTTTCATGCTTAACTCAACAACAGGGAAACTGAAACCTTTGAGTCTGTGACTGAAGACGATCAGCTTCCTCAAGTAGTGGAGGAGCTGCACGACATCCACGTCAGTCCAGGCTCACCGATCGTCAAGATGCAGCTCAGAGTAAAGGGTATGAACTAAATTTTTCTCAATTCCTTTATGCGTGTTTCTCTAAAATCAGCATAAAATACATGTTAATAAAGTATAAAGCAGAATTGACTAATACATTAAATAGCTGTTTAAGACAAAATGGCACTCTAAAAAATGTATATTAAAAGTCTGTCTGAATAGCTACAGTTTCAGCATAGATATGAAAAGGCCAAAGTCTGTGATGGTGCGGAGATCAGGGGGAGGCTTGTTTCAGAGTCTGTCTCTGACTCAGAATGGTTTCATATCTACACAACCAAAGCATGTTTCCTCTAATTGGTTCACTTTGGTCTGGCTCTGGGAACTTTTTCCAGGACCTGATTTGTGGATCTTACTACTTGGGCTTTGGACACACACACACAGCTCCACTGGATAAAAAGGTGCAAGGCCATTGAGAGCTATATGAGATAAACCTTGGCTTGTCTTCTTTAGGTTTCCCCAAACCTCGTGTGTACTGGTTCAAAGATTGCCAGCCTCTGCGTTCGTCCAAAAGAGTGACCGTACTGGCTGAAAGAGACACTCACGGTGTGGAGATCACGGAGGTGGCTAAAGCCGATATGGGAGAATACTCTGCCTTCATCAGCAACGCGGCCGGGTCTGCGTACTCCTCCGCTCGCCTCCTCGTGCTGAGTATAAAAATAAATATCATGATTTATTACCCATCTATTTGCAATTGACATTTCTTATTTTTGTAATAGATCCTGGAGAGAGGCTTCCTCAAGATAAGAAGGACCTCAAGGTACCACTGGTGCCTCCCCGTTTTATCGAGAGGTTCCCGAACCGAAAGGTCAAGCAAGGAACCAGCATTACTCTGTCGGTCAAAGTGGAAGGTTTGTTTTTCTAAAGTACTTTCAAACTTGTTTTGCTTCTCCGGCTTTATGATGAACATTTAAAAGAGAACATTTTTCAATACAGTAGGTCCCATTTCGTTTTGTCGCGTTTCACGCGTGAATCACACGAGACTCACGTGTGATTCACGCGTCTTTTATTTATTTTTTCCCCAGTGATGCTGCAATGACCCAAACAACCACCAGGTGGCACTTGTGAGCAGGGTTAGGAAAATTGGCTTCTCATCGGTCTTTGTTCTCTGTTCACGGGACAACTTTCTGTGGCTTTATAGCTCAATGATAAGGAGATGGACTCTGGTGTGAGAGGACCCGGGTTCAAGTCCAGGCTATGACACTTTTGATTTTGTTGACGTTTACATGTTTTCTAAAACATACTTAGTAATTAGGCCAACACATTTAAAATAGTTGCTAGACGGTAGTAAACTTCACAATCTGCACCAACCAAACTGCAGGAAAAAAATGCAACTTTATTCAGTAACGGAGTAATCTGATTCATATACTCCCCCCGCTAATAAAAAATTGAGGATTGGCCGGGGCTTGAACCCCGAACGTCCACGGGAAAGTCTTGTACAATCCCGCTACACCACACAGGCGCTGGAGAAAACACTGGATCTAATAGTAAAGACCGCTGAGTAAATGAGCAGTGCGGATGTGCGGGACGCTTAAAATGCCTCCCACTCAGAAAAAAAGCAGACGCCTTTTCTCTGGCATCTCTAACATTTATAATAAATACATAAATATAACAATCATAATGAAGATGCTTTCAAATAATTTAGCAAGCTGAAATTCATTTATTTCAACTGCCAAACTTCTCTCGCTGCTCCTCTCCTCTCCTCCGCAAATCACTAAATGAGGAAAAGGGAATATTCACTCAATCTATTTTGAATGTTACACATACAATATTAATATAGTCTAAGCACGTGAGTAGCCGTGTATTTACCACAGACTGTAAGTATTAAAGTAATGAGGCCCCTGCTTTAGGCCTCTGCTGTGAGGCCCACAGTCATCAGTCTCGGTGCCTCTGTGTAGATCACACGTCTGTCCTCGGGCTGGAGTGTTCTGAGGCTTTAAGCGGGGAGTCAGGAAGGAGCGATCCTGTTTGTCAGCATGATTTTTTTGTTTAACAGCCTCCCTGCGCGATTGCAAATGTACTCAAGGGACTCTCATACCGTGGCTCACATATATAATATTATATAGGGATCAGGAGCTTTCTGACCCGACCCACCCGCACCTGACATGACTCATATTTTTGAGGCATCCAACCCGCCCGAAACCGCGGGACCCGCGGGTTGACTGCGGGTTTCGGGCCGACCCGCGCACCTCGCATGTCCTGTTCAGGGCTGCAGGAGCAATTGTCCATTATTTTAATTGGACTTCTGGTCCATGCACACTGTAAAAAAGATAAAGTTAGTTCAACTCAAAATTTCAAAGCAACCAGCTGCGAAGGATTTTTGAGTTGAAGGCATTAACTTAATTCTTCAAGTTTTGAAGAACTACACTTATTAAGTTGTGTCAGTTAAGTTTTCCAAGTTCTGCCAACTAAGTGTTTAAATTCAAGTTACTGGAAATTTCAAGTCTGTAAAAACTTACTTTTTTAAGTTCAGATTACTGTCGCGAGCAGAGAGAGAGAGAGAGAGGTGAGCAGAGAGAGAGAGACGCGAGCAGAGAGAGACGTGAGCAGAGAGAGAGAGACGTGAGCAGAGAGAGAGAGAGAGAGGTGAGCAGAGAGAGACGTGAGCAGAGAGAGAGAGACGCGAGCAGAGAGAGAGAGACGCGAGCAGAGAGAGAGAGCAGAGAGAGAGAGAGACGCGAGCAGAGAGAGACGTGAGCAGAGAGAGAGAGACGTGAGCAGAGAGAGAGAGACGTGAGCAGAGAGAGAGAGACGTGAGCAGAGAGAGACGCGAGCAGAGAGAGAGAGACGTGAGCAGGAGAGAGAGAGACGTGAGCTGAAAGAGAGAGACGCGAGCAGAGAGAGAGAGGCGTGAGCAGAGAGAGAGAGAGAGAGGTGAGCAGAGAGAGAGAGGGTGAGCAGAGAGAGACGTGAGCAGAGAGAGACGTGAGCAGAGAGAGAGAGACGTGAGCAGAAAGAGAGAGACGTGAGCAGAGAGAGACGCGAGCAGAGAGAGAGAGACGTGAGCAGAAAGAGAGAGACGCGAGCAGAGAGAGAGAGGCGTGAGCAGAGAGAGAGAGAGAGAGGTGAGCAGAGAGAGACGTGAGCAGAGAGAGAGAGACACGAGCAGAGAGAGAGAGCAGAGAGAGAGAGACGCGAGCAGAGAGAGAGAGACGTGAGCAGAGAGAGAGAGACGCGAGCAGAGAGAGAGAGAGAGAGGTGAGCAGAGAGAGAGAGACGCGAGCAGAGAGAGACGTGAGCAGAGAGAGAGAGACGTGAGCAGAGAGAGAGAGAGGTGAGCAGAGAGAGACGTGAGCAGAGAGAGAGAGACGCGAGCAGAGAGAGAGAGACGCGAGCAGAGAGAGAGAGAGACGTGAGCAGAGAGAGAGAGACGCGAGCAGAGAGAGAGAGACGCGAGCAGAGAGAGACGTGAGCAGAGAGAGAGAGACGTGAGCAGAGAGAGAGAGACGTGAGCAGAGAGAGAGAGACGTGAGCAGAGAGAGACGTGAGCAGAGAGAGACGCGAGCAGAGAGAGAGAGACGTGAGCTGAAAGAGAGAGACGCGAGCAGAGAGAGAGAGGCGTGAGCAGAGAGAGAGAGAGAGGTGAGCAGAGAGAGAGAGAGAGAGGTGAGCAGAGAGAGACGTGAGCAGAGAGAGACGTGAGCAGAGAGAGAAAGACGTGAGCAGAAAGAGAGAGACGTGAGCAGAGAGAGACGCGAGCAGAGAGAGAGAGACGTGAGCAGAAAGAGAGAGACGCGAGCAGAGAGAGAGAGGCGTGAGCAGAGAGAGAGAGAGAGAGCTCGGTGAACTGTAAAAACGACAACTCAAAATTGTTCACCTTACAGTTTTGTATGTGATGACCAAAGCGATGAAATGAGGACTACTGGTTTTACAGAAACTATTCAGTCGTGAAAAGTATGTTTCATTCTGATTGACAAGACAGAAGCAAATGTTAATGTTATAAAACAGCAGAGAACTGTATGAAAGTAACTGATACATGTCCAAAAGCATTTGTAAAGTGTTCAAAGGAGAAACTGCCGCGATGATGTCACACACGACTCAATGTTGTGGAGGTTCTACCGTAATGATTTTTTGTATGTTTTTCTACGTAAATACTGTATGTGTACTATTTTTGTTGCAGAATGCTGTAGAATTGCAAAGAGCATAAGCAGTAAATATGTGAACATACAGTACATACATATGTATCACTAAATACAATCACAATGAAAACATGACTAAATCATTTGACTGTTGTTCATAAACACTGATGTCAGGACACAGACACAGACCGTCATGAAGACTTTCTTTTGGACATTTTGAGACAGAAGCAGGTTATCCATGAGGTTTTGCAGACTCATTTTCATTGACATGAAGGTCACAGACTTGGAAATTGCTTTGGCTCAGTGCAACAGTCAAAAAGAGATTCATTTAAGAATAAAAAACACTTCTAAGAATAAATTTAAATTTAAAATAGAGTTACAGTTACTATTTACAATATACAAGTGCACATGGTGCACTCAATGTAAGGTGACAGCAGTACAGTGAAGTAAAGTGACGTATGATGGGCAGTAAAGTGACTTTATAAAGGGCGGGGGGACAGGTTAAGAAGTGTTCAAGAGTCCAACAGCAGAGGGGAAGAAACTGTTCTTGTGGCGGGAGGTTCTAGTCCTGATGGACCGCAGCCTCCTGCCTGAGGGGAGTGGTTGGAATAGTCCATGTGCAGGGTGAGAGGGGTCGGCTGTGATACGACCAGCCCGGCCTCGAGCTCGGGCGACGTACAGGTCCTGCAGCGATGGAAGGCTGCGGCCGATCACTTCCTCTGCAGAGCGCACAATGCGCTGTAGTCTCTGTTTGTCCCTGACTGTGGCTCCAGCGAACCACACGGTGATGGAGGAGGTGAGGATGGACTCGATGATGGCCGTGTAGAACTGCACCAACATCTGTGCAGGCAGCTTGGCTTTCCTGAGCTGCCGCAGGAAGTACATCCTCTGCTGGGCCTTCTTGATGAGAGAGCTGATGGTCGGCTCCCACTTGAGGTCCTGGGTGATGGTGGTGCCCAGGAAACGGAAGGACTCCACAGAGGTGATGGGGGAGTCCATCACGGAGGGTGGGGGCGGGGGGACAGTGCTCTTCCTGAAGTCCACAATCATCTCCACTGTCTTCTGGGCGTTCAGCTCCAGGTTGTTACCACTGCACCAGGACACCAGCCGGTCCACCTCCCCTCCTGTAGGCGGACTCATCGTTGTTGGAGATGAGTCCAATGAGGGTGGTGTCGTCCGCGAACTTGATCAGCTTCACGGAGTCGTGGCTGGAGGTGCAGTGGTTGGTGTACAGGGAGAAGAGCAGGGGAGAAAGAACACAGCCCTGTGGGGCTCCTGTATTTATAATCCGAGAGTCCGAGACATTCTTCCCCAGACGCACTCGCTGCTTCCTGTCCGTCAGGAAGTCAGTGATCCACCTGCAGGTGGAATCGGGCACGTTGAGCTGGGAGAGCTTGTCCTGGAGCAGGGATGGCAGGATTGTGTTGAAGGCAGAGCTGAAGTCCACGAACAGGACCCTGGCGTAGGTCCCCGGGGAGTCCAGGTGCTGTAGGATGTGGTGGAGGGCCAGGTTAATGGCGTCGTCTACAGATCTGTTGGCTCTGTAGGCGAACTGCAGGGGGTCCAGGAGGGGGGAGGTGAGGGACTTGAGATGGGAGAGAACCAGGCGTTCAAATGACTTCATGACGACAGACGTAAGTGCTACAGGTCTGTAGTCATTGAGTCCTGTGATCCTGGGCTTCTTCGGGACGGGGACAATGATGGAGGATTTGAAGCAGGCCGGGACATGGCAGGACTGCAGAGAGGAGTTGAAAATGTCCGTGAACACAGGAGTAAGCTCACTGGCGCAGTGTCTCAGAGTGGCCGGAGACACGTGGTCCGGGCCAGGAGCTTTGCGGGGGTGCAGCCTCAGGAAGAGTTGTTTAATCTCTTTAGCGGCTATTGTTAGGCTGGGGGCAGGGCTGATGGGTGGGTCGTTAGATGGGGAGAGGTGTCAGGGGCAGCATCAAAGCGACTGAAAAATAAGTTCAGATCGTCAGCTAGCTTGTGGTCATCAGCACAGGGGGGGGCTTTGGGTTTGTAGTTGGTGATCTCCCGTAGGCCCTCCAGACAGAAGCAGTATCGTTGTTACCAAACTGCTCCTGTAGTCGTTCTCTGTGCCGGGACTTGGCTGCTTTCAGTTCTTTCCTGAACTGATATTTAGCTGCTTTGTAGCCGCTGCGGTCCCCCTCCCTGAAAGCAGACTCCTTTGCTTTCCTGAGCTGCCGGAGTTTAGCAGTGAACCAGGGTTTGTCGTTGTTATAGATGACCCTGGTCCTTGTTGGAATGATGCTATCCTCACAGAAGTGGATGTATGACGTTACAGTGTCCGTGTATATTCATCCAAACATATCTGTGGCAGCTCTGAAAAGGTCCCAGTCTGTAGATTCCATGCATGCGCGCAGCTCTTCCACAGCTTCATCAGACCACACTTTGGAGCTCCTCATTGCAGGTTTCGAGAGCTTTAGTCTCTGTCTGTAAGCAGGAACCAGATGTATCATGGAGTGATCTGAGAAGCCGAGGGCTGGCTTGGGAACAGCGCGAAAAGCTCCGCGCACGGTGGTGTAACAGTGATCCAAAGTGTTCTCCTCTCTGGTCGGGCATTTGATAAACTGTCTGTATTTGGGTAATTCCTGGCTCAAGTTTCCCTTATTAAAATCCCCCAGGATAATAATCAGAGAGTCCGGGTATAAGCGTTCCATACACAGTACTTGCTCTGCGAGTGCGCGCTGAGCCTCGCGCGCGTCCGCGCATGGCGGTATGTAAACAGAGGCAAGAATGAATGAAACAATTTCCCGCGGGGAGTAATATGGTTTACAATGAATGAAAAGATATTCCAGAGCAGGAGAGCAGTGCTTGGAGATCACTGTCACATCGTTACACCAGTTTGTATTGACGTAGAAACAGAGCCCTCCGCCTCTGCTCTTCCCTGAGAGCGCACAATGGCGATCCGCGCGAAACAGCCCAAAGCCCTGCAGCTCCAGAGCGCAGTCCGGGATCCGCTCATTTAGCCAGGTCTCAGTGAAGCAGAGGACACAGGATGTGGCGAAGTCCTTGTTTCTTCTCATGAGCAGGCTGAGTTCGTCCATCTTATTGCCCAGTGAGCGTACGTTGGAGAGAAAAAATGCCGGGGAGAGCCGTGCGCGCTCCTCTCCTCCTAAGACGCACGAGCAGGCCTCCTCGCTTTCCCCTTTTACGGGCCCACACTTTTTTGGCTAGAACATGAACTAAATCAGCCGCAGATGCCAAGAAAACAGGCAATAGGTCCATGGGAACGGTGGGTCGGATGTTCATAAGTTCCTCACGGGTGTAGGAACAGCCAGATGCACAGTTAAAAAGTAAAAACAAAAGAAAAAGTGAGCAGCAAAGAGCCATGTCGACCGTACGAGGCGCCATCTTGTGTTCTTGTCTTCACTCAGCCAATCAGCTCTTAGCCAAAGTGTCAAATACTGCCTCCTAGGGCTCTATTTATGTGTACTCATAAGCAGGTTGAGGACTGATTTGACAACGTTTTATTTTTACAAAACCTATTACTTCTTTTTTAATGAATCAAAATGGGAAATACCCCAGATTTAATGAGCAGAGAGAGACGTAGGCAGAGAGAGACGTGAGCAAGAGGAGTGAGACGAGCAAAAAGAAGAGTACCGTGAGCAAGAGAGACCGAGCAGAGAGAAGAGAGTGAAAGCGAAAGAAGAGACGCGAGCAGAGAGAGAGAGAGGGCGTGAGCAGAAAGAGAGAGAGAAGAGCTGGTGAACTGTAAAAACGTACAACTCAAAGTGTTACAACTTACAGTTTTGTATGTGGGATGACCAAAGCGATGAAATGATGACTACTGGTTTTACAGAATCTATTCAGATCGTGAAAATAGTTTCATTCGAGTGACAGGACAGAGGCAAATGTTAATGTTATAAAACAGCAGAGAACTGTACGAAAGTAACTGATACAATGTCCAAAAGCATTTGGAAAGTGTTCAAAGCGAGAACTGCCGCGAGGAAAGGCCACAACACGACTCAACGTTGTGGAGTGTCAACCGCATGATTTTTGTATGTTTTTCCTACGTAAATACGGTATGTGACGAGTTTTGTTGCACGAATGCTGGAGAATTGCAAGATCAAAGCAGTAAATATGTGAACAGCACAGTCATACATATGTATCACTAAATACAGTCACAATTGAAAACTTGACTAAATCATTTGACTGTTGTTCATAAACACTGAGTCAGGACACCAGACACAGACCGTTTCATTGACATGAAAGACTTTTTCTTTTGAGGAATTATGTTCTTTTGAGAAGAGTGCTCTTTAGCGGTTTATCCATGAGTTTTGCAGTTTGCACCATTGTTCGAGAAATGCCCAACAAACTGTTTTGTTAAAATGTGAAGAATTATGTGAAAATTGCACCAAAGACACTGAGAAAAACTGATTACAAAAGATATAAAGCGCATTCTCAGGTACACCCAGCACTGCCATGCAATCTCATCCCTGCTTGCAGTCTCTCCCTTCCCCCACACGAATAACCCAAAGCCCACCCCCAGCCCCCCTGCTGTTTATAAGTCGTACCTACATTTGCAATCAATACATGCAAATGTTTAGCAGCCAACCTAGCAAGTTAGCTCCCTGTTCTCAAAACAGGGCCAATTTTCGGTTGGGTTTCTAGTGTTAAGAAGAACAGGTGCGAGAGACGTGAGCAAGAGAGCAGAGAACGTGAGCAGAGAGAGAGGAGACGTGAGCAGAGAGAGAGAGCAAAGAGAGAACGGGAGCAGAGAGAGAGAGACGTGAGCAGAGAGAGAGAGACGTGAGCAGAGAGAGAGGAAACGTGAGCAGAGAGAGAGAGCAGAGAGAGACGTGAGCAAAGAGAGAGACGTGAGCAAGAGAGGAGAAGACGTGAGCAGAGAGAGAGAGCAGAGAGAGACGTGAGCAGAGAGAGAGAGATGTGACAGAGAGAGAGAGACGTGAGCAGAAGAGAGAGACAGAGAGAGACTGAGCAGAGAGAGAGAGACGCGAGCTGAGAGAGACGTGAGCAGAGAGAGAGAGACGTGAGCAAGAGAGACGTGACAGAGAGAGGAGACGTGAAGCAGAGAAGAGAGACGTGAGCAGAGAGATAGAGAGAGAGGGAGCAAGAGAGACTGAGCAGAGAGAGAGAGTCCGCGAGGCCACAGAGAGAGAGAGACGTGAGCCGAGAGAGAGAGAACGCGAGCAGAGAGAGAGAGAGAGAGTGAGCCAAAGAGAAAGAGACGCGAGCAGAGAGAGAAGAGAGGTGAGCAAGAGAGAGAAGACGTGAGCAGGTGAGAGAGAGACGAGAGCAGAGAGAAGAGAGAGAGTGAAGCAGAGAGAGACTGAGTCAAGGAGAGAGAGACGCAGCAGCGAGAGAGAGACTCGAGCAGAAGAGAGAGAGAGACGTGCGCAGTGAGAGAGAGACGCGATCCCGCAAGAGAGAAGCAAGAGAGAGAGACGCAGCATGATTTATTTACCCATCTATTTGCAATTGACATTTCTTATTAGAGAGAGAGAGAGAGCTTTGTAATAGATCCTGGGAGAGAGGCTTCCTCAAGATAAGAAGGACCTCAAGGTACCACTGGTGCCTCCCCGTTTTATCGAGAGGTTCCCGAACCGAAAGGTCAAGCAAGGAACCAGCATTACTCTGTCGGTCAAAGTGGAAGGTTTGTTTTTCTAAAGTACTTTCAAACTTATTTTGCTTCTCCGGCTTTATGATGAACATTTAAAAGAGAACATTTTTCAATACAGTAGGTCCCATTTCGTTTTGTCGCGTTTCACGCGTGAATCACACGAGACTCACGTGTGATTCACGCGTCTTTTATTTATTTTTTCCCCAGTGATGCTGCAATGACCCAAACAACCACCAGGTGGCACTTGTGAGCAGGGTTAGGAAAATTGGCTTCTCATCGGTCTTTGTTCTCTGTTCACGGGACAACTTTCTGTGGCTTTATAGCTCAATGATAAGGAGATGGACTCTGGTGTGAGAGGACCCGGGTTCAAGTCCAGGCTATGACACTTTTGATTTTGTTGACGTTTACATGTTTTCTAAAACATACTTAGTAATTAGGCCAACACATTTAAAATAGTTGCTAGACGGTAGTAAACTTCACAATCTGCACCAACCAAACTGCAGGAAAAAAATGCAACTTTATTCAGTAACGGAGTAATCTGATTCATATACTCCCCCGCTAATAAAAAATTGAGGATTGGCCGGGGCTTGAACCCCGAACGTCCACGGGAAAGTCTTGTACAATCCCGCTACACCACACAGGCGCTGGAGAAAACACTGGATCTAATAGTAAAGACCGCTGAGTAAATGAGCAGTGCGGATGTGCGGGACGCTTAAAATGCCTCCCACTCAGAAAAAAAGCAGACGCCTTTTCTCTGGCATCTCTAACATTTATAATAAATACATAAATATAACAATCATAATGAAGATGCTTTCAAATAATTTAGCAAGCTGAAATTCATTTATTTCAACTGCCAAACTTCTCTCGCTGCTCCTCTCCTCTCCTCCGCAAATCACTAAATGAGGAAAAGGGAATATTCACTCAATCTATTTTGAATGTTACACATACAATATTAATATAGTCCCTAAGCACGTGTATTTACCACAGACTGTAAGTATTAAAGTAATGAGGCCCCTGCTTTAGGCCTCTGCTGTGAGGCCCACAGTCATCAGTCTCGGTGCCTCTGTGTAGATCACACGTCTGTCCTCGGGCTGGAGTGTTCTGAGGCTTTAAGCGGGGAGTCAGGAAGGAGCGATCCTGTTTGTCAGCATGATTTTTTTGTTTAACAGCCTCCCTGCGCGATTGCAAATGTACTCAAGGGACTCCCATACCGTGGCTCACATATATAATATTATATAGGGATCAGGAGCTTTCTGACCCGACCCACCCGCACCTGACATGACTCATATTTTTGAGGCATCCAACCCGCCCGAAACCGCGGGACCCGCGGGTTGACTGCGGGTTTCGGGCCGACCCGCGCACCTCGCATGTCCTGTTCAGGGCTGCAGGAGCAATTGTCCATTATTTTAATTGGACTTCTGGTCCATGCACACTGTAAAAAAGATAAAGTTAGTTCAACTCAAAATTTCAAAGCAACCAGCTGCGAAGGATTTTTGAGTTGAAGGCATTAACTTAATTCTTCAAGTTTTGAAGAACTACACTTATTAAGTTGTGTCAGTTAAGTTTTCCAAGTTCTGCCAACTAAGTGTTTAAATTCAAGTTACTGGAAATTTCAAGTCTGTAAAAACTTACTTTTTTAAGTTCAGATTACTGTCGCGAGCAGAGAGAGAGAGAGAGAGGTGAGCAGAGAGAGAGAGACGCGAGCAGAGAGAGACGTGAGCAGAGAGAGAGAGACGTGAGCAGAGAGAGAGAGAGAGAGGTGAGCAGAGAGAGACGTGAGCAGAGAGAGAGAGACGCGAGCAGAGAGAGAGAGACGCGAGCAGAGAAAGAGAGCAGAGAGAGAGAGACGCGAGCAGAGAGAGACGTGAGCAGAGAGAGAGAGACGTGAGCAGAGAGAGAGAGACGTGAGCAGAGAGAGAGAGACGTGAGCAGAGAGAGACGCGAGCAGAGAGAGAGAGACGTGAGCAGAGAGAGAGAGACGTGAGCTGAAAGAGAGAGACGCGAGCAGAGAGAGAGAGGCGTGAGCAGAGAGAGAGAGAGAGAGGTGAGCAGAGAGAGAGAGGTGAGCAGAGAGAGACGTGAGCAGAGAGAGACGTGAGCAGAGAGAGAGAGACGTGAGCAGAAAGAGAGAGACGTGAGCAGAGAGAGACGTGAGCAGAGAGAGACGCGAGCAGAGAGAGAGAGACGTGAGCAGAAAGAGAGAGACGCGAGCAGAGAGAGAGAGGCGTGAGCAGAGAGAGAGAGAGAGAGGTGAGCAGAGAGAGACGTGAGCAGAGAGAGAGAGACACGAGCAGAGAGAGAGAGCAGAGAGAGAGAGACGCGAGCAGAGAGAGAGAGACGTGAGCAGAGAGAGAGAGACGCGAGCAGAGAGAGAGAGAGAGAGAGAGGTGAGCAGAGAGAGAGAGACGCGAGCAGAGAGAGACGTGAGCAGAGAGAGAGAGACGTGAGCAGAGAGAGAGAGAGGTGAGCAGAGAGAGACCAGAGCAGAGAGAGAGAGACGCGAGCAGAGAGAGAGAGACGCGAGCAGAGAGAGAGAGAGACGTGAGCAGAGAGAGAGAGACGCGAGCAGAGAGAGAGAGACGCGAGCAGAGAGAGACGTGAGCAGAGAGAGAGAGACGTGAGCAGAGAGAGAGAGACGTGAGCAGAGAGAGAGAGACGTGAGCAGAGAGAGACGCGAGCAGAGAGAGAGAGACGTGAGCTGAAAGAGAGAGACGCGAGCAGAGAGAGAGAGGCGTGAGCAGAGAGAGAGAGAGAGGTGAGCAGAGAGAGAGAGAGAGAGGTGAGCAGAGAGAGACGTGAGCAGAGAGAGACGTGAGCAGAGAGAGAAAGACGTGAGCAGAAAGAGAGAGACGTGAGCAGAGAGAGACGCGAGCAGAGAGAGAGAGACGTGAGCAGAAAGAGAGAGACGCGAGCAGAGAGAGAGAGAGCGTGAGCAGAGAGAGAGAGAGAGAGAGCTCGGTAAACTGTAAAAACGACAACTCAAAATTGTTCACCTTACAGTTTTGTATGTGATGACCAAAGCGATGAAATGAGGACTACTGGTTTTACAGAAACTATTCAGTCGTGAAAAGTATGTTTCATTCTGATTGACAAGACAGAAGCAAATGTTAATGTTATAAAACAGCAGAGAACTGTATGAAAGTAACTGATACATGTCCAAAAGCATTTGTAAAGTGTTCAAAGGAGAAACTGCCGCGATGATGTCACACACGACTCAATGTTGTGGAGGTTCTACCGTAATGATTTTTTGTATGTTTTTCTACGTAAATACTGTATGTGTACTATTTTTGTTGCAGAATGCTGTAGAATTGCAAAGAGCATAAGCAGTAAATATGTGAACATACAGTACATACATATGTATCACTAAATACAATCACAATGAAAACATGACTAAATCATTTGACTGTTGTTCATAAACACTGATGTCAGGACACAGACACAGACCGTTTCATTGACATGAAGACTTTCTTTTGAGGAATTAAGTTCATTTTGAGAAAGTGACTTTTTAGCAGGTTATCCATGAGGTTTTGCAGTTTGCACTCATTGTTCTGAGAAATGCACTAACTGTTGTTAAAATCAGAATCAGAATCAGAATCATTTTTATTGCCAACGTAAGTAACGGGAGGTCACAGACTTGGAAATTGCTTTGGCTCAGTGCAACAGTCAAAAAGAGATAGTAAAAATAAGAATAAAAAACACTTCTAAAGAATAAATTTAAATTTAAAATAGAGTTACAGTTACTATTTACAATATACAAGTGCACATGGTGCACACAATGTAAGGTGACAGCAGTACAGTGAAGTAAAGTGACGTATGATGGGCAGTAAAGTGACTTTATAAAGGGCGGGGGGACAGGTTAAGAAGTGTTCAAGAGTCCAACAGCAGAGGGGAAGAAACTGTTCTTGTGGCGGGAGGTTCTAGTCCTGATGGACCGCAGCCTCCTGCCTGAGGGGAGTGGTTGGAATAGTCCATGTGCAGGGTGAGAGGGGTCGGCTGTGATACGACCAGCCCGGCCTCGAGCTCGGGCGACGTACAGGTCCTGCAGCGATGGAAGGCTGCGGCCGATCACTTCCTCTGCAGAGCGCACAATGCGCTGTAGTCTCTGTTTGTCCCTGACTGTGGCTCCAGCGAACCACACGGTGATGGAGGAGGTGAGGATGGACTCGATGATGGCCGTGTAGAACTGCACCAACATCTGTGCAGGCAGCTTGGCTTTCCTGAGCTGCCGCAGGAAGTACATCCTCTGCTGGGCCTTCTTGATGAGGGAGCTGATGGTCGGCTCCCACTTGAGGTCCTGGGTGATGGTGGTGCCCAGGAAACGGAAGGACTCCACAGAGGTGATGGGGGAGTCCATCACGGAGGGTGGGGGCGGGGGGGACAGTGCTCTTCCTGAAGTCCACAATCATCTCCACTGTCTTCTGGGCGTTCAGCTCCAGGTTGTTACCACTGCACCAGGACACCAGCCGGTCCACCTCCCTCCTGTAGGCGGACTCATCGTTGTTGGAGATGAGTCCAATGAGGGTGGTGTCGTCCGCGAACTTGATCAGCTTCACGGAGTCGTGGCTGGAGGTGCAGTGGTTGGTGTACAGGGAGAAGAGCAGGGGAGAAAGAACACAGCCCTGTGGGGCTCCTGTATTTATAATCCGAGAGTCCGAGACATTCTTCCCCAGACGCACTCGCTGCTTCCTGTCCGTCAGGAAGTCAGTGATCCACCTGCAGGTGGAATCGGGCACGTTGAGCTGGGAGAGCTTGTCCTGGAGCAGGGATGGCAGGATTGTGTTGAAGGCAGAGCTGAAGTCCACGAACAGGACCCTGGCGTAGGTCCCCGGGGAGTCCAGGTGCTGTAGGATGTGGTGGAGGGCCAGGTTAATGGCGTCGTCTACAGATCTGTTGGCTCTGTAGGCGAACTGCAGGGGGTCCAGGAGGGGGGAGGTGAGGGACTTGAGATGGGAGAGAACCAGGCGTTCAAATGACTTCATGACGACAGACGTAAGTGCTACAGGTCTGTAGTCATTGAGTCCTGTGATCCTGGGCTTCTTCGGGACGGGGACAATGATGGAGGATTTGAAGCAGGCCGGGACATGGCAGGACTGCAGAGAGGAGTTGAAAATGTCCGTGAACACAGGAGTAAGCTCACTGGCGCAGTGTCTCAGAGTGGCCGGAGACACGTGGTCCGGGCCAGGAGCTTTGCGGGGGTGCAGCCTCAGGAAGAGTTGTTTAATCTCTTTAGCGGCTATTGTTAGGCTGGGGGCAGGGCTGATGGGTGGGTCGTTAGAGTAGTGGGGGGTGGGGGAGGGAGAGGTGTCAGGGGCAGCATCAAAGCGACTGAAAAATAAGTTCAGATCGTCAGCTAGCTTGTGGTCATCAGCACAGGGGGGGGCTTTGGGTTTGTAGTTGGTGATCTCCCGTAGGCCCCTCCAGACAGAAGCAGTATCGTTGTTACCAAACTGCTCCTGTAGTCGTTCTCTGTGCCGGGACTTGGCTGCTTTCAATTCTTTCCTGAACTGATATTTAGCTGCTTTGTAGCCGCTGCGGTCCCCCTCCCTGAAAGCAGACTCCTTTGCTTTCCTGAGCTGCCGGAGTTTAGCAGTGAACCAGGGTTTGTCGTTGTTATAGATGACCCTGGTCCTTGTTGGAATGATGCTATCCTCACAGAAGTGGGTGTATGACGTCACAGTGTCCGTATATTCATCCAAGCTGTCTGTGGCAGCTCTGAAAAGGTCCCAGTCTGTAGATTCCATGCATGCGCGCAGCTCTTCCACAGCTTCATCAGACCACACTTTGGAGCTCCTCACTGCAGGTTTCGAGAGCTTTAGTCTCTGTCTGTAAGCAGGAACCAGATGTATCATGGAGTGATCTGAGAAGCCGAGGGCTGGCTTGGGAACAGCGCGAAAAGCTCCGCGCACAGTGGTGTAGCAATGATCCAGAGTGTTCTCCTCTCTGGTCGGGCATTTGATAAACTGTCTGTATTTGGGTAATTCCTGGCTCAAGTTTCCCTTATTAAAATCCCCCAGGATAATAATCAGAGAGTCCGGGTATAAACGTTCCATACACAGTACTTGCTCTGCGAGTGCGCGCTGAGCCTCGCGCGCGTCCGCGCATGGCGGTATGTAAACAGAGGCAAGAATGAATGAAACAATTTCCCGCGGGGAGTAATATGGTTTACAATGAATGAAAAGATATTCCAGAGCAGGAGAGCAGTGCTTGGAGATCACTGTCACTTCGTTACACCAGTTTGTATTGACGTAGAAACAGAGCCCTCCGCCTCTGCTCTTCCCTGAGAGCGCACAATGGCGATCCGCGCGAAACAGCCCAAAGCCCTGCAGCTCCAGAGCGCAGTCCGGGATCCGCTCATTTAGCCAGGTCTCAGTGAAGCAGAGGACACAGGATGTGGCGAAGTCCTTGTTTCTTCTCATGAGCAGGCTGAGTTCGTCCATCTTATTGCCCAGTGAGCGTACGTTGGAGAGAAAAATGCCGGGGAGAGCCGTGCGCGCTCCTCTCCTCCTAAGACGCACGAGCAGGCCTCCTCGCTTTCCCCTTTTACGGGCCCACACTTTTTTGGCTAGAACATGAACTAAATCAGCCGCAGATGCCAAGAAAACAGGCAATAGGTCCATGGGAACGGTGGGTCGGATGTTCATAAGTTCCTCACGGGTGTAGGAACAGCCAGATGCACAGTTAAAAAGTAAAAACAAAAGAAAAAGAGAGCAGCAAAGAGCCATGTCGACCGTACGAGGCGCCATCTTGAAACGTGAAGAATTATGTGAAAAATGCACCAAAGACACTGAGAAAAACTGATTACAACATATATACAGCGCATTCTCAGGGTACACAGCACTGCCATGGCATCTCTTCTGCTTTGCAGCTCTCCCTCCCCCACACGAATAAACAAAGCCCACCCCAGCCCCCTGCTGTTATAAGTCATTACCTACATTTGCAAATCAATACATGCAAATGTTAGCAGCCAACCTAGCAAGTTAGCTCCCTGTTCTCAAAACAGGGGCCAATTTCGGTTGGGTTTTCTAGTGTTAAGAAGAACAGGTGCGAGAGACGTGAGCAGAGAGAGAGAGACGTGTGCAGAGAGAGAGAGACGTGAGCAGAGAGAGAGAGCAGAGAGAGACGTGAGCAGAGAGAGAGAGACGTGAGCAGAGAGAGAGAGCAGAGAGAGACGTGAGCAGAGAGAGAGAGACGCGAGCAGAGAGAGACGTGAGCAGAGAGAGAGAGACGTGAGCAGAGAGAGACGTGAGCAGAGAGAGAGAGACGTGAGCAGAAAGAGAGAGACGCGAGCAGAGAGAGAGAGAGAGAGGTGAGCAGAGAGAGACGCGAGCAGAGAGAGACGTGAGCAGAGAGAGAGAGACGTGAGCAGAGAGAGAGAGAGAGAGAGGTGAGCAGAGAGAGACGTGAGCAGAGAGAGAGAGACGCGAGCAGAGAGAGAGAGCAGAGAGAGAGAGACGCGAGCAGAGAGAGAGAGAGACGTGAGCAGAGAGAGAGAGACGCGAGCAGAGAGAGAGAGAGAGAGGTGAGCAGAGAGAGAGACGCGAGCAGAGAGAGACGTGAGCAGAGAGAGAGAGAGAGAGGTGAGCAGAGAGAGAGAGATGCGAGCAGAGAGAGAGAGACGTGAGCAGAGAGAGAGGGACACGAGCAGAGAGAGAGACGTGAGCAGAGAGAGAGAGACGTGAGCAGTGAGAGAGAGACACGAGCAGAGAGAGAGACGTGAGCAGAGAGAGAGAGACGCGAGCAGAGAGAGAGACGCGAGCAGAGAGAGAGAGACGCGAGCAGAGAGAGAGAGACGCGAGCAGAGAGAGAGAGACGTGAGCAGAGAGAGAGGGACACGAGCAGAGAGAGAGACGTGAGCAGAGAGAGAGAGACGTGAGCAGAGAGAGAGAGACACGAGCAGAGAGAGAGACGTGAGCAGAGAGAGAGAGACGCGAGCAGAGAGAGAGACGCGAGCAGAGAGAGAGAGACGCGAGCAGAGAGAGAGACGCGAGCAGAGAGAGAGAGACGCGAGCAGAGAGAGAGAGACGCGAGCAGAGAGAGAGACGCGAGCAGAGAGAGAGAGAAGCGAGCAGAGAGAGAGAGACGCGAGCAGAGAGAGAGAGACGTGAGTCCGCGTGTCTATGGTCCGCGCTCGGAGCCCAGACGGCAGTGCGTTCACTGAGCGGAGGATGTAACGTAACGTTCGGTTTATCAAAACATATCACAATATTTAATGTATATTAAATAAATTCTAGTGAATTTCACCTAGATTTTTTCAGACATTAAAGACAAGATGTTATATAATAATTGTTTAATGAAAAAACAATTTTGCCACAAGCAACCAAAAGATGTGCCTCAGACAAGAATCGAACCTGGGTTCTCCAGGTCCCAGTCTTTGATGCTAACCATTGGGCCAACATAGCACCTTTGGGCTAGACAGGTTTGCACGCAGTCTTATACCTGAGCGTCTAACTGCTAATTTACACATCACGCGTTACAGCACGTACGCGCTGTTTACGCCTACTGTGTAAATCCCCCGTTAGTCACTGGCAGAGCTAAAGTGGACTTAGCCTGCCACCTTGTGGCGATAAGATGTACTATTTTTCACGCAGCTGCGTGATTCCCGAGAAGCGTGAATGAAGACGACAAAACGGAATGGGACCTACTGTATATTGCTCAGTGCAAAATTCTACCTTTTTAGAAACCCAATAGCTTTGTAAGTGTCCCATTGAGGATTTGGCAATGATTATTGGCCTGGTGACTGGATTAAACCTATTTAAAATGTTTTTATTGGAACTAATCAGTGTATTGATTTGAACTGTTTCAGGTTCTCCCACTCCTACTGTTAACTGGCTCAAAGAAGAGTCTATTGAGGATGTGTTGTGGATCAAGCCGGACACCAAAGGGTTTAAAATAGCCAGCTCTGGGCGCCAGCACAGTCTCATTTTAATGGATGTGGGCACAGAATACACAGGCGCCTACACGTGTATCGCCACAAATAAAGCAGGACAGTCTATCTGCACAGCTCACCTCGAGGTGGATGACTGTAAGTTTCAGTTGTGTTGTTTATAATATGTTCATTTTTATGTACCTGATTTTTGATCTTCTTTTTGCAGCACCACAACCAAAGAAAGAAGTCAAAGCAACAGAGTAATTGTTACTGTTTTTTCTAAACCAATGTTTTTGAGTCATTGTCAAAAATAATGATAATGTGTCTATAAAGTCAATGAGGAATGCTTTGTTGAAATCTTTGTGGTTCATAGGGTCCTTGGAATTACAGTAAGTCCACCAGCAGTGGAAGCAGTCAGAGCAAAAGGTAAATCCTCTAGAAACCAATAACAAAACCTATTATAATGTATAATTTCCTTTCTTTCTGTCTTTAGAGACCAGAATACCGTACCTTGGTGAAGTCGGTTCGGAAGAGTTCCTCATGAAACTGACCTCCCAGATCACTGAAATGGTTTCGGCCAAAATCACACAAGGTACATTCTTAAACTCTCTTCTTCTATTGATTATCATCTGACTCCCCCTAACACGCTCCATCTAAATGTAAATAACGTATATTATTGTATTTAATTTGTGATGCGATCTGGGAAAACCCATCACATGGTGAAATTTGACCAACTAAATGGGCAAGCACATATAAAAACTTTGGAAAAAGAATTAATTGCTATTTTCTAATGTTTCTAGGCTAAAATAACACAATTTCATGATTTTTTTCAGAATATGAACTTTATTTTTCATTTTAAAGTTTGTATCTCCCAGGATACATTGCCCGTTTAGGGTAAAAATTTAACATTTTCAAATATTTCATTTGTAAACTTTTAAAACATATTATAAGCAATTAATTAGTTACTTTTTTCATGTCTTGTAAACAAAGTTTAAAAAAGTGGGGGAAAAACTGAACACAAGTCATTGGAAACAAATCTAACTTTGAATAAACAACGAGCTACTAACACTGGCAGTGGAAGCTGTGGAAACAGTTGCGAGGGTTTTGGCCTGTGACAATGCAAAGCCTCACTTTGCACTTCTGACACACGATGGAGGTCTGTCCATCCTGGCACATCCTGCATCGGCCTTTCACTGACACGATAGGGAAGTGGTCAATCCTGTCATATATCATATCATCCACAGGCCTGGGGACTTTTGGCTGTTTGATTACTCTTGGTGGTGTGTTGTCTTCGTTTCCTTTGGAGGGGCGACCCCTTTTTTGCTTTTCAGGGTAGATGAGTCCTTTGGCAACATCCAACCTAAAGACCTTCAGGCAATGATGTTTCTGACCCAGTTGGGCTGCATCACGACGATGGAAAAGCCAGGCATTATTGACAGCAATGTCAACCATCTGCCAAAATATGGCCAGGTACCATCGATGTGACTTGGCTGGAGTGCGATAGAGGGACGCTTATCTTCTTCTTTTCCTCTTTGGAGTAGCGTCTCACTTGGCCAACTGGGCTGACAGAAGCACAGGAGCTCACCAAGGTGACAGTTTTGTTGTCTGCCCATTTGACCACAGCAAGCTTTGCATCGTTGTCTCTACACGAAAGTCAAAGCTGCCTCTTCCTCTTCGTAGGAGGTCTCGATCTTCTTCCAATGTGCAACCCATCAAGCGGTTCTTTCGTATGGTACCCAAACTTCTGAGGCCCATAGACTCCTTTAGATGAGTTATCAATCTCAGGGATGTGAAAAAGTTGTCAAAGTAGACAACGCAGTTGGAGGGATTTCTGATGGTTCTGCACAGCTGCAGAACCACATTTCCACATAACCCAAACTCTTTGTCTAGAGAAGCACCATCAAATGTAGACTTCCCTGTGTAAACCATGAAGTCATACACAAAGCCAGACACACCAGCTCGCACAAAGATCTTGAAACCCCATTTCTTGGGTTTGCTGGGTAGATACTGCCGCAGACTTCCAGCTTTTTTGCCTTTGTATGGTACCATCATTTCATCAATTGAGAATTGGTTTTCACTCTCAATTTCCATACACTGCCCCCTCATGTGGTCAAGTACAGGCCTTATTTTCACCAGGCGATCTTCACTGGAATCAGAGCTCATGTTATCTTGAAAGTGGAGCATCCTGGACAAACATTTATACCTCTTGAGTGGCATGACATCTGCTACTTTGTCATATCTAGTATCTGTTGCCCAGTAGTTTTCCACTGCAGGCATTTTCACTACACCCATCATCAACTTCATTCCAATGAATGCTTTGATTTCAGAAGCATCAGTGTTGATGCTACTTCCAATGAGCTGACATGAATACAAGTTCGTCTGGTGAGCAATGGTCCCAAAGATGTCCTCATCAAAGAATTTGGAGAAGTATGTTAATGGCGTGGATAGCTCATCTGGTGTAGTGAAGCAACTTGGTGTAGCAGTAGACTGGTGCTCAAATTTAGTTTTTCTCCACCTATTGAAAAGGAAAAAAATATCTGTGAAAAAACAGGCACCCCCTTCCCCCAATCACCAATACAAACCACCAAAATCTTTATATTTTTAAACTCCTGTGTGTGTGTGTGTGTGTGTGTGCGCTTATGTTAGTGTGTGTGCGCACGTTCGTGCGTGTGTACATGCATTCCTGCGTGTGCGAGTGAGAGAGACTAACACACATGACCATACAACACATCATGTTTTGCTGCAGACAGATGCTGTACGTACAATATCTACACCAAAATAGTTGGATCTTTTACATAACAATTCACTATACTACTCTAATCATTACCTGAACATCCTCCCTCTTTTACTGTGGTTTGCTCCCTCTTCTGCCTCATCGTCACTGCTGCTGCTGCTGCTGTCCTGACACTGGCCCTCTGTATACAATTCATCTTCCTCATCTTCACTGGTTCCCTCATCTTCATCTGAATCAGATGAACCATCAGGTGGCAACACAACAGATGCCACGTCTCTCTTTCTTGTACCATAGAAAGTACTGGTAGAAATTCCCTGAAAACATATGTACGCAGGTAAATTAATCAGTAATACACATTTAAGAGTAAAATGTAGTGTAATCAACATTTAACACCTTTAAATTATTGATTATCTGTAGAGTATAGGCTTCAAAACATAAGTATATCTGAGAGTGATTATGCCTGTTTATATACCCCTATCTGGGCAACGTATCCCCCAGGATACAGACATTCAATGCCTGTTTATCAAAGTTGTGTAAATGTAATTCATTATTTTTCAACAAGAATACATAAAATTATCCTTAAAGAACAATATTTTCAAAAACAAATCCCCCCAAAACATAATTAACAAGAAAAATAACAACACTTACCTCATGCCCAGTGTCTCTGTCCATGTAGGCAGCCATTTTAGAGTGTGACATAAATGTATCAATTTAGTTTTGAATGCTGCAAAAAAGTCACATGACCTGGGTACTTGACCCATCCCCCCTTAAGACTTTCTCATGATATTTAGTGCAGATACTTAATGCCCCTCCCCCCTACAGCCTGCCAAATGTCTGTATCTCCCAGGACACAGAAACCATTTAAGGGTTAAGATTCTGATACCATCTTAAAGCTGCTTTCAATCTCTTTACAAATCTGTTTTCCTTTTTTCCATAGCATGTATGTAGCAAAAGTTATCATTATTTGAAGTGGGCTTATTAACACGGTTTTATAAAACAGAATTCTGAGAAAAACAGGTTTAAAGATAGACATTCTAAAAAGAATCACCACAGTCAAATATAACATGTTAGATTTGAATTACTCTGTTATGGCACACACTAATTTTAGTCACTATGTTGTAAAAGATAAAAATATGTTACTTTGGCACCAATTAAACACACAACAATTATTAATTAGATGAAAATCAAGAATGTATTTATTCTTTCAACATTCAATTAATTGAATTTGTTTTACGTAACTTTTCCTCTTCTTATTTTGTTTCTTTCTCTTTATAAGTTACTGAACATTATATATGTATTAGACAATGCCAGTATTATTCTATCAAACCACGCAGTATAAATATCCACGCACAACCACCAAGCATTTTTAATGCAAGGAGAAAATTAGGTATGGTATAGGAGACACGGGAGAGATCTGGACTTGCAACAAGCTGGGGATTGTCTGAACGCGTGTCAATGGTTCTGTCTATGGTCCTGTCCGAGTGTCTATGGTCCGCGTGTCTATGGTTCTGTCCAAGTGTCTATGATCTGCGTGTCTCGCGTGTCTATGATCCGTGTGTCTATGGGTTCTGTCCGCGTGTGTCTATGGTCCTGTTTGCGTGTCTATGGTCCTGTCTATGGTCCTGTCTATGGTCCTGTCTATGGTCCTGTCTATGGTCCTGTCCGCATGTCTATGGTCTACACTCGGAGCCCCGACGGCAGTGTGTTCACTGAGCTGTCAGAGCGGCTGTCACAAAGTGGCCGCAGCTGTAACGTAACATTCGGTTTATCAAAACACATCACAATTTTGTATGTATAAAACTAGTGAATTTCACCTAGATATTTTCTGAAATTAAAGACAAGATGTTATATAATAATTATTTTATGAAAACACAATTTAGCCACAAAAATGACACACTTTTTACTCGGAACGGGCCAGCGCGACATACAACGGGTTTTTCCAGATCGCATCACATTTGGTTTTAGCAGAACTATGTGTGTAATAAATATTGACTCTTGTGTTACTCGAACTGTTACTGTTTAAGTTACAGACATTGGTCATTTCTGATGCATATATAGAGATTGTATATTGTTATTGAAGTCTGCATGAATAGCTTTGCTTCTGGCACAGCTACATGCAATCAATATGCATCACAGTGCTGTCATTCAAAAACAGATGTTTAATGTTTGTTTTTGCAAGGAATAGTTCACCCTCCCATAGAAAGGTTACAGTTTTGAAAGACTACTGCATTCATATGGTCCTTTGATGATTGGAAAAATTACAAGAATAACTGAAAGCCTTAATTTAGCATTTTAATTACAGAAGGCCAATCTCGTTATTTAAACACAAAGCTGTTTTCAAGTTATTTATATCCTCATATGGGCTCGCAGCCATTGCTCTCTCCTCAGTCCTCTGACTACTGAGTTTTACTTACTGTTTTCTTATGTGGCACAAGAAGATTTAAGGTGGAGCTATGCAACTTGTTTCTTACAACATTTATATTTAACAATGGGGGATTATCATATTATAGAGAACAGGTTAGTTTAGAGCCAAAAGAAGAAAACACAAAAAATATCTCAAGGGTCTAAGGATCAGTAAAATGCAGCAACTTAAAGCATGTAAGAGTGAGTGCTTCATTCACCATTCATCCTTTAGTTTTCAAGTCAACAGCGACTCATTGAATCAATGTGTTATTCAGACAGTGCACAGAATCAGGACGTTCTACAGTGGATGAAATCCTGGCCCAAAAATACCAGTATGTATACCAGTGCAGACAAACTTTGATTAAAAGGAGATGGTAACTGAATAAAGTAATGCTATCATTACACTTTTACGTCTGTGCACGGTTTGCATGCTAATGTTGTCTTTATATTTTCACATTGGAGTGACCAGCCTGATTATATGCAAAAAGGCATGTGTGTTTCTAATATCTACTCATCTATTGCTACTATTGCATGGGATAAAGACATCGAAACCCTACAGTTGTTTTAACATCTGCTTAAACCAGTCTCAAAGCAAAATAATACTATTTAAAACTTGGCCAGGCTCTAATTGCAATTGCTTTGCTGGAAATAGCATAACATTTGTCCCACATGACTCTATACCTCTGTACCACGCAGCCTCTTTGCGAGTCCCCGGTGCCGACAGTGACGATGAGACCAAGACCCCCTCAGCCACTCCTCACCACGGCCGCTCCAGACCCCCCTCCCTCATCGCAGACTCTTCCTCCGAGTCAGACGAGGGCGACGCCCGTGGAGAGGTGTGTTTAGACCTGAGGTGTACATCTTAACAAAACCCAGCAGAGCAGTAATCTTGTCAACTGTTTTCCAGATGTTTGATATCTACGTGGCCACAGCGGACTACAACCCGACCATGGCGAGTAAAGAGTCCATCTCACTGAAGGAAGGCCAGTATGTGGAGGTCCTGGACTCGGCTCATCCTCTCAAGTGGCTGGTCAGGACCAAACCAACCAAAACAACGCCTTCCCGGCAAGGCTGGGTTTCTCCTGCCTACCTGGACAAGAAGCTCAAAGTGAGTCCCGAAACAAAACAGAACATACTTTGTGTATCAGAATACTAACAATGGGACTATAATGAGTACAAACAGCCAGGGAGTGTACCATAAGGGCTTGTCAGCTGGTGAGACATTGTGTGTCTGAGGCTGTCAAGAGTACGATTTTACTGTAACAACCATTGCACTGAGGAATGGGTCAAATGCACTTAGTCATGAAAATTCACTCCCGGGTTTTTTACAGACACTAAATAAGGTAATATATACTTTATTGATCTTGAAAATGACAATATTAGATTATGCAAACACATGTGTCCTTCATCCTTTAATTGTATATCGCCTAAGAAAGAAAAAACAATTGTATATTGGTTATAACTGGACAATACTACTACCAGATAAACCACGTATGGCTGCTTGTGATCTTAGTTAGTAACAATTGTTAGGATTCAATTCAGTTTGTAAACTGGTTCATAAATCTAAATGTAAGTATGTTTTGTGTCTAGCTCTCTGCTGATAGTGGCGATCTCCCTGAAGGCCATGTGGAGGAGGTCTCTGAGGGTGAATACAAGAGGAAGCTGGTGTAAGTTATATTTACTGACTTTATAGACTTTTAAACCAAATAGCACAGTAAAGAAAATAATATATGCTCTCTTTTCAGCCAACTGATCCAGGACTTGATTAACTCCGAGTCTCAGTTCATCAAAGAGGTGGACTTCTTCACCTCACACCACCTGACTCACGCAGAAAGCCCAGGTGCCCCTCCTGATGTCACTGAGAACAAAGACACAATATTCAGGAACATCCAGGACATCAAAGTCTTCCACAACAGGTAACTCTACTCAGCCTCAAAAGCACAAAGAAACCAGCGCACTCTCAAATGTACATTTTACATTCCTTGACCTTCTACCTCATAGTTTTTAGTTGAGTAGTTTCAGCTACTTTATCTCTTTAAAACTGTTCAAGGTGTTATTACATGATAATTTACTTTCTCTTGCGTATTTCCCCAGAGCATTCCTCCCAAAGTTAACCGATTGTGAGACTGACGATGATGTGGCCATGTGCTTCCTGAAGAACAAGGAGGGCTTTGAGAAGTACCTGCAGTACCTGGTGGGCCAGAGCCGGGCCGAGGCCACTGTCAGCGAGAAGACGGTTCACCGCTACTTTAAGGTACGTATACAAATAAAATTAGAAATCCTTTCTTATTTTCATATTTCCTGCAGAAGATCATCATATTATCTTTGACACACATTCAGTAGATCATTATTACCAGGGATTTCTGTATGCTTGAATATTTTAATTTTTTGCATTTTCTTTAAACAGTGAAATAAAATAAACAAGTTCTCTGACTTCCATATTTGCCGTATTGATTTGGCTGAAGATAATTTTAAGACGACCACTGGAATATTAACAGCAATTAAATGGTATCCCAATTTCATCACAGCAAGTGCAACGTACCTCAGATCATGGGGTTTCCATTCGTGCCAAAATATCCATATGACAATACTGACTCATACATGTATCACAGATTAATACATTAAAATTAAGACAAAAATTCAAGCAGGAAGACATTACTCTAACAACAGTCAAGAGAAGTCAAAATAATATAGTTATAGATAATATATATGATGATAATAATAATACATTTTATTTATATGACGCCTATCTGGGCACTCAATGTCGCCTTACAAAAGGCACAAAGTATATAGGATTTTGCGCAGTCCGACCTCTTGTTCTAGTGGCTCTATTCCTGAAGAGCATTTAGTTATAGTTCTTATAGTTCAATGTGACATCTTACCTGTTTCCTTTAGGAGTATACCGAAAGCGAAAAGGTCAATGCCGACCCGAACGGCCCTCAGGTGCAAAGCATCAACGCCCATCTCCAACAGCCCCAGGAAAGGATTCAGAAATACAAGGCTCTGCTCAAGGTGACAGCTACAACCACCAACTTGCACGGTATATTTCTGTTTAAGTGAACTTCACTTAGCAAATCTTTTTGTTGTTGTTTCAGGAGCTAATTCGAAACAAGGCAAAGAATGGTCAGAACTGCTGTCTGCTGGAGGAGGCCTACGCGATGGTGTCTGCCCTGCCCCAGCGCTCAGACAACACTCACCACGTGTCTTTGATCGAGAACTACCCCGCCACGCTGGAAGTGCTGGGAGAGCCCGTCAGACAGGTACAAACTCTTCTGTGCGATGCATGCATTCATTCATTCATATACATAGGAATGGGACAATTATCTTTTGTATATTCTGATATTAAAACAATATGATCTGGATGGAGTTCTGATGGAAGCTCCTGCATTTCAAGCAGAAATACACAAAATATCTCCCTGGTACCTTATAATTATATCAACCACAAACAACATGAACAATTTTCACATTCACATTTTCTTGTCCTAAATAAGTGAATAATAAGTCCAAAATTGCATACATTTGGCAACGTGTATCTTAATTTTCAGCACATTTTGACTGCCTGAAAACAATATTTTCCAATGGGATAAAAGCAACATTATCTTCTTTTAAAAAGATACAAGAAATGTCTCCCTGGGAATGAGAAAAATAATGCAACAGTTTTTGAAATAATTCTTTGTCCCATTGGTAAATCTTGTTTTAATCAACCACATGATTTAAGCATTTATTACTTATTTTATATATTTATTTTTTTGCAGTGTGGCTTCATAGATCTATACTTTGTTGGTAACTTTTTGTTACCAACAAGTGTTTTGTTTTTGTGATCCTCACTGCAATATATCACCACACTGCAGTATTTTGCAGGAAATTATACTATGTCCACTTTTTCATTAAACCTTTGCATCCTTGCCGTCCTCTATAGGGTCCATTCCAAGTTTGGGAAGGAGCGCCCGGTATCAGGTCGTCCTCTAGGGGTCACCATCGTCACGTTTTCCTCTTCAAGAACTACTGTATCATCTGCAAGCCCAAGAGAGAAAGCAACACTGACACGCAGACCTACGTGTTCAAAAACATGATGAAGGTAAAACACTGGTGAAGTTTCCTGCAGTGTCAACTTCCTGGTTAAATAAAGGTTAAATAAATAAAAGTGTTTTGATGGTATTAAAGTAGATTGTGATATAAAGATGCCACTCTACTCAATCCTGTTTGTGATGAGGTGAGACGAAGAAGGAGCCAAAATGCAGGAGTGAAAAATTAAGATTTAAAGAACATAATAAAATAAAAGCCAAAGGTACAACAAACTCAAAATTCAAACGGAACCAGGGACATAGACAGACAAAGACAGTGGACCAGCAACCAGTGGGTATGAGCGTTTGGTACATATAGATACAGAGACACAGGTGAAACACATGAGGGCAAAATCAACAGGGGAACAGGACATGAAGTAAACCTAATGAAACCACAGGGAACAAATGTGGAGTGGAGTTTACATGTTCTCCTTGTGTCTGCCAAGGTTTCCTCTGGGTGCTCCAGTTTTCCCTACCACTAAATCATGCACAATAGGAATGAATGTAATGAGTGAGTAAATAGATGGTGTTGATTCGATGGGTCAGTGTGTTTGGGGTCTTGTTTCTGTCATCATTGTGTTGAGAGTATGAAATAATATATGGAAAATGTAAAGCACTTTGGGTGACCTTGGTCTGTATATAGATATATAGATACTTTATTGATCCCTGTAGGAGAAATTCAGCTGTCCAGAAGCAGCAAAAATAAAAAATAAAATTGATCATTCTAAAAAGCTAACCACAGTAATAATCAGCAACAGCCCTTCAGGTCACAGCAGCCGAGGTGGAGTAGCTGCTGGGTGGAGCAGGACAGGTGACAAGGTGGAGTAGCCGCTTGGTTCGGACCATTTTCTCTGCTCTAGTCCAAAGTAAAATGCTAAATGTGCAAAATGTGTAAATTCAAAAAGTTAGCATTCCTCCAGTGGATTTTCACCTGATCCACTTGGTTCGGACCATAAATCTTTTCTGCTCCGGTCTGGACTAGTGTAAAACAATGTACAATGTACTGCAGCAACGTCTCAGGTAGAAAAAAGCAATACAAATTAAAATTGTAAAGCACAAAACAAAACAACGCGTAAAAATGCGCTATTTCAATAAAAAAATCTTTCTTATTTACTTTTTTTTTCTTACATTCCATTCTTATTTGGGAGAATTGTACTATAGATTCCCATCCTTACTGCTGTGTACATTTCTGCGTGTTCCCAGCTGAACAACATGGACGTGAACGAGACCGTGGAGGGAGACGAGCGTGCCTTCGAGATCTGGCACGAGCGCGAGGACTCGGTCAGGAAGTACACTCTGCAGGCGCGCACCGTCAACATCAAGAACTCGTGGCTCCGGGATCTTCGCGAGCTGCAGCAGAGATACAGCCTGCCCACGTGGAGTGAGTGCAGTTGCTTCAGACTCACCCCGCACTGATGACATGTAGGTGTTTGAAGCTTGTTTTTGTTCTGCAGGTCCTCCTGACTTTGAAGAGATCCTTGCCAACTGTACGGCAGAGCTGGGACAGACTGTCAAACTTGCGTGCAAAGTGACCGGGGCGCCCAAACCTGTGGTCACCTGGTACAAAGGTACAGTTCACAGTACAGTATGAAGGTGACGAGTCTGTCTTGGACCATTGTCAGTTATAGCAACTATCGATCAATCCATCAACCTTTATTTACAAATCGCGTTTTATACAAAAGCACCATAAAAACATTAAAATCACACAGGGCATTAAATATAGTGAATATTCTTCTGTTGTATTCACTACTAAACAGGACTGTTTTAACCTGGATTTGAAACATCACATTGAATTATCGTTTCTAAGCATAATTGTTTTTTGTAACTGTAATATAGAAATGTTTCACAGATTCATAGATTTTGCTAACATAAGTATGTTGTCTAAGCACTACAAATATGGGCAATTACATCCGAATAAATATCTGTTTAATGTGGTGTTCTATGCTGGAGAGAATGTACCTGGTGCTGTACTACGGCGACCACTGCCCCTGATAGAGGCCCTAGTGGCATTTGCAGGATGGGTCAAATGCAGAGGGCAATGTTCTCTACAGGGATAGATGTAGTGTTTTTACATTTATTCTTACTAATCATTGTGTAACTACATATCAGTGAAATTGCTGATGATTTACAGTATCAGTGGATTACATTAGAAACTGTTTCTATCTTTTGTACACTTCCTTTGCAAACAACAGACAGTGGTTGTAAAGTACACATTAAACAGCTGTGACCCTGTGGTGCAGACGGCCGCGCGGTGGGAGCTGACCCCCACCACATCGTCATCGAGGACCCGGACGGCTCGTGCACGCTCATCCTGGACAACATGAGCGCTGACGACTCAGGACAGTACATGTGCTTCGCCTCCAGCGCCGCCGGCAACGCCAGCACGCTGGGCAAGGTCACAGTGCAGGGTATGTCCCCAACACACACACACACACGCACACAACACACACAGACAAAAACACAAGACACGCACACAGACCAGTGATGTGCAGACTGAGATTAAACATGCAGGTCCCGCAGATAACCAACAAGCTGGCGCGGTGTGATAAGGAGAGGGAAGTAAGGGGAACGACACTAAAGCAGACTCTCTAATATTTGCTCTGTCAGGCCAAAAAAAAATGTCTCGCTTCGCGAAGTATTTTCTATTGTTACTTCCTATTACTTACTATTGCCATTGTAAGTAACAGGAAGTCACAAACTTGCTTTTGCCCATTGTGCAAACGAGTTATAACAGGGAGTAATACATTTAAAGGCATGCATATAATATATTCATAAAATGTCTATTATATTCATATCATGCCAAGTAAACACTGCAGGTTAAAGTGACAGTAGCATAAGTAGTATAAGAGAGCCAAAATGGCAAGACCCTGGCATAGACACACACACATGCACACACACACACCGTCTGGTTGAGGAATGACTCTCTTGCTTGTCTTTGCAGTCCCTCCTCGCTTTGTGACCAAAATGAGGAATGCAGTGTTCTATGCTGGAGAGGACGCCCAGTTCACGTGTGTCATACAGAGCGCGCCGTCCCCTAAGATCAGGTAGACTCTGCGGGTCCCAAGCACTTTCACTTTTTAGTTTGAAATAGTTTTACCTCTCGGAGTAGATTAGAGATATATATTCTTTACAGAAGGACATTTGAGTTTAGAGTTTTGCTTGAACAATGAAAATTTACATTTTAGAGGTAAATTTTGCACAATACTGTACATACGTCTCTCTTCATGTTGTATCCTTTTGGTGGCTGAGTGGATATCACTCTTGCCTCTCAGCAAGAAGGTCCTGGGTTCAAATCCCGGTCGGAGCGGGGTCTTTCCAAGTGGAGTTTGCATGTTCTCCCCGTGTTTGCGTAAGTCTCCTCCAGGTACTCCGGTTTCCCCTACCACTAAAAACATGCACACTAGGTTAGTCTCTGGTAGCCCTGACCAAGCCGAGCATCAACATCTGGAGATGGGTTCCCGGGCGCTGTTACTACGGCGACCACTGCTCCTGACAAAAGCCTTAGCGGCATCAGGATGGGTCAGAGGATGAATTGCGCAACGGGCAATTCATCGATCAATGAAGTGTACCTTTACCTTTACTCTTAAATACTTTTGAAACAGAATACTGTTTTGGTCAGGGTCAGGGTTTAAGTGAAGCCATTTGTAGAAAGTAGAAAATTTCAGATTTGACAATTATTTATTGAAAGTAAATACAGTTTGTTTGTTTTTTTTTCATCAAAATTTACATCATCCTATTGCCATGGAAGTATACACTGGCAGGATATCTTGCAATTTCAATGTAATTTTGTACAGCTCTAAATCACGAGAGGATTTTACAAATTGATTCCTCAACAACAGATCAGAGAATCAAAGAGATGCAACACAGGAAATCCAATAACAACAAACAAATTGGAGGCATTGGTCCATAGGGAGCAGGATGATCAATGTCTATAAATAGTTTTCATTTATATCTTGTCCATGTTTCAATAAAATAACTTCAACTTCAGGATTTTCTTCTTGGATATTCAACCTTACAAGTCACTACTGCGTTCATTCACAATTCCCCGTTGCTCATTCTGCCACTCCTGTGTGATGTAGGTGGTTCAGAGAGGGCCGGCTGCTGACCGACCAGGAAAAGTACCAGACATACAGCGAGATGAGGAGCGGAGTCGTGGTTCTCGTCATCAAAAACCCTTCAGAGAGAGACCTGGGACATTACGAGTGCGAGGTAAGTCCTTCACACTTCTCTTCTTAGCGCTGTCATTGTTAAGTTTTCAATCATGTTCCTTCTTCTCCCAGTTGTCTAATCGCCTCGGCTCCGCTAAGTGTGCAGCCGATTTAGTCCTTCCTACCGTGGTGGCCCGCCCTGCAGAACAAGCCATTGCTATTGAAGGTAAAAAAAAATTATATGATGTTTTTGACAATTCATAGACATTAGTTTGTCCTCTAACTTGTGTCTGTCTCTTGCAGTCACCGAGCAGGAGACCAAAATACCCAGAAAGACTATTATCATGTAAGTGTGAAAGCAAGCGTGTATATACTGTTGCGTACACATGAGATTTGACTTAAGCCTGTGAAGGAGATTTACTACAAGATGATGAGGAGAGGAGCTGGAGTCGTCTGGGTTCTGGGAAATTAGTGTCACTGTCAAATGATAGGGATTTATACTTTCCATGATGTAGTAGTAGTAGTAATAGTAATCTTTATTTATATACCGCCTTTTCACTGCGCATCGGAGTCTCAATGCGAACCAGGAAGAAACTCAGAGGAAAAGATATTCTATTGATAATGTATTTGTATGAGAGACATAGAATGGGTTATTCCAGCCTTGTGAAAAAATGAGCCAATACCGTGAGAAGAATTTAAGACTTTTAGAGAAAAAAAAAAACGTTTGCCAAACAGAAAGTATTATGAATAATATTTTCTAGACAGCCAAATATCTAAGTGCGTTTTTTGAGATTGCGATTGGATTTGTGTTTTTATTAGTAGGAACAGTAGACTAAAAGGAAGGCTTTGTTTTGAGCTAAATTAGTACAGTATTATATAAGAACAAAAGCAAAGAGGCAAAAAAGTAAATAGAAACAAAATAACAAAATGGGGGGAAAAACCCCAAAAACCCTAATCTAAACATGTTTGTTTAGGATTTACTGGGTGAACTGGTTTGATTTTAAGAATCACAGTCCTTACTTTTGGGGCCACCAAATCAGCAATTTTGTCTCATTTAATTTTGCAATTCACCTGCAGCACTATCCGTGATTGTACCTCTACTTTAGCTGGAGTTATAAATGAAAAGGTTGTATGTGTGTTGTCTTTCTCACAGCGAGGAGACCATCACCACGGTGGTGAAGAACCCCCGCATGAGGAGGCACCGGTCCCCAGGGGCTGCCCTTGTGGCCGGGCACCGCTCTGAGACCACCACCCCCGAACCTGCAGGCGGAGCTCGGACCAGAAGGGTCCTGAGCCCACGTAGGACCACCATACCCACAGTGTACGTGACCCAGAGCGAGGAGAGCAGGCCCCGCTGGGTGGAGGTGGAGGAGGTCATAGAGTACAAGGTGAACAAGTCTCCTCGGCTGTCCAGGAGGAGAGGGCTGTCTCCCGCGGGCTCAGAGCGCACTTCTTCCAGACCACGGAGAGGAATGCATGAAAACCCCAACCTCAACAACTCCAACAACAAGCTGCTGGAACAGGCCCAGACCCATGCTCAGCCCCTATCCTGGGAGACAGAGGAGGCCAGTGTCCCGCCACAGTCCACAGACGCACTGGAGCTGTCCACAGTCCTGAACCTCTCCACCCAGGACAACGACGAGCAGGACGACCAGCAGACCGTCATCCTGGAGGAGGAAGGCGACGCTCCACAAGTCCCAACACAAAAGGTTTTGACGTTGGAGGACTTGGAGGATTACGTCCCTCAGGAAGGTGAGAGCTACAGGAGCTCTCTCGCTGGAGCCTCTGTGGAGGCGCCCTGTGAGATCTCAGTGTTGCAGAGAGAGATCGGGGGCTCCTCTGTGGGGCAGCCCGTGCTCCTAAACCTGGGCTGTCCCGTGCCCACGCAGAGGCAGCGCAGCGGCCTCTTCAACCGCTTCAGAGATCACCTTTCCGGCAGCTTCTTCTCCTCGGCCGCTCACTGCAGCAACGCAGAGAGAAACATCCCCATCCACGTGACCCAGGCCGAGCTGGAGGTGAAGCCCTCGTACTGCTCCGAGGTGCAGAGAGTGGAGGGCGGCCAGCAGAGCTTTAAAACCAAAGTGTCTACTCAGACCTACGGCTACACGTCCGTGGGGAATCCAGTCACTCTGCAGATCAGTGAAAAGCGGCACGAGAAAAAGTAAATTCTCCAAAATAACAAAGTCAGTCTTACAGAGGCCTCTTGTATCTTGGCAAAGTCGCTCGAGCCAGAACAGAGTGAGTCCAGCACATTTGGGACTAAGGCATCATTCATCATTCCATTTTGAGGCTAATAGGAGCATCAGATGGTAAACTTATGAGACAGAAAAGAAGTGATCATGTCATAAATTTGACATTTAAACATGTCATTTTGGGAGCAATGTTCAAAATCATGGTCTGTTTTGATTTGTCACTTTCAGACCCGTTTTACTTTTAAACCTTTGTCCTTTTGTTTATGACAAAATGGCCTCGTGGTTTATACTTGTTGTTTTCCTTAACCAATGGTTTCTTGAGCGACAGTCCTGGATTGTAGGAGTGGTACAAATACAGATCTGTTTTGCTGATGCATTATACCATGGGTCTCAAAGTCACAGTGGCCCGTGAAGGATTATCTTGGCCCCTGGGATGATATTTGATTAGCATTAGAACCGGCCCGCACAGATCCAAAAGAAATTGGATTATTCATTTAATATTCAGAACATGTGTTTTCTCTATGAAGGGAGATGGGAGCATGGGACAAATGCCTGACAGAGCCATACAAAAATATTGGATTATTCATTTAATAATTAAATAAAGTAGGGTACACTGTGTTAGGTCTTGTTTCAATAGGTTATATGTAATAATTTTAATATGTTTTAATGAACATTGAACAAGTCATTGAATCAGCTTGGCCCTCTGATGTATTTGACTTTGACATCCCTGCATCATAGTCTACAGTCGCTGTCTGTGTCCTGTTCGTTTTTACTCTAGTCCTGTTTAAACGCTTGAGACACTAACATCAGTCTCCACTTTGACCTGACTGTGATAAGTGTTAATATCAGGGTATGTGTTTTCCAGCCTGGGATCAGACTGGGCTAAATGGGAAACAGTGCCCAAGTTCATTTTGAGAACAATGAATGTGTCTTTTTTTCTGTAAATAGATTTTAGTTTTCTTCTCATCAGGCAAGAAGAGCAAAAGGTATTCAAGCTAATTACTCTTCTGCTTCACTCTGATTAGAAAATCTAGAGGTCAAGTTCAGTAAGTTTACAGCAATATAAAGCTTGACCGCCGTGTTTTGGGTTTGTTACATTATGTTACGGCTTGTTCTTGTGTAGATAAAGTTGTTTTACCATAACATAACTATGGATTATTCATGCAAAGAGATGTGTGTGTGTTGAATGTAGAAAGATGTTAAACTCGATGATGATGATTTAGAAGAGCACCGAGATCCTATGTACATGTGTTATTAATGTTGTATGCCTGTATATGTAATGCTATATTCAAATAAAATGTGATAAAACCAGTATCTTTGTTTTCTCACCGACAACAAAAGGCCAAAACCAGGATGTAACATTTATTAGAACAGACATTTGGTAAAGGAGTAAATACACCAGCACTTGCACTTGGTTAAGGACACATTTAGAATTCATCTGTAAAAGGAATGAGAGTTTGAGAAAAACGTGTGGCATCATTTATAAGTTAAACAGACACACACAAAAGTTAAACAGGAGAAAAACCACTTCAAGTCAAATCATAGATACACGTTGAACAGTGAAGATGCTTAAAACACCTGCATTATTTTGACTGTACAGGAGGAAAATATACAAAGTTAACAAAGGTATACATTTAACGAATATATTTCAAGCGGTATCTTTGCACGGTATTTGCTCCTACGCAGACACGGCAAACAGCGTAAGCTCTAATGGGACTGACGAGAACAAAAGGACATTTTAACACAGCTCTACGTGTGAAGAACAGAGCTGCCTGAGGTGGAGTCACTCTGGAGTGATCTCACATATTTCAAGACTGATGAGTGATGAGAGTTGGGAATGATGGGGGAGAAAAAAGATAATAATGGACAGCAGTGGAAGTACTTAAGTAAAAGTTCTGATGCATTGTTTGTGGTCAGGCTGTGGTCGACCAGGCATTTCTTTGGGCGATTAAAGACATCGGTTGATTGATTAGTTGACTAAAAATGGTGACAAAAGATTTTACAGAAGCTTATCAGATCTCAGCTTTATACAAAACATCTATCCTCAGAGAGATCCTTTGCACTGTGATTGTGACTGTCTCGATCTTGTTTTGTTCCGCACATTGAGTTGCCTTGTGTATGAATTGTGCTCTACGCAGAGGAAATCAATGTAGCCATATTTAGAATTGTGGGGAAAAAAAACTTCAAGTCTTCTGTTATTTGTTTTTTCACATAAATCCTATTTTGGTCGACTCTGGAGCCATTGACCAACTAAATCAGCAAATCAGTACTATTCTGAGATAATACCTTTTACTTTGTAGTCACTAAACCGAGAACAGGTGTTTGTACTTTCCACAAGTCAATGATTACGTTTCAGAAGCCAGAAACACATTTAAAGCACATAAATACAAGTTTACATAATGATGAATTATCCAACATAAAGTTTTTAAGTTGGATTTCCATAATAATAATAAATATTTGCTAAATAAATAGATTACTGTTGATCAAAAATCTGCTCATTTGATCATCAAAATTAAATGTGTTCTTTTAAACCACATGATAATTCTATGGAGCTGGGATGTGGGCGGAGTCACTTTATTGTAAAATCCCCATAGTTTGGAAAATCATAGATAACAAGAGTTTTAACACATGATGGAGGCAAACTCGCCATCTGTGAACTACCATCCACAAACCACAGCGCAAGGGTTTCAGCCAAAAACACCATTAAGACTTAAAATTGTGCTTAACTTTGTATTTAAGGTTTGAAAAACATGTATTTATAGGTCTTCTGGCCATTACTCACCAGAAAGCTCATCCGCCTCTAAAGTAAAATGTTTAAAAAAATTAGAATTTTACTTCCAGAAATGTCAAGCTCCGCCCACTTTGCAGCTCCATGGTAAGTGTACTTTTACTTAGTACTTCTTCCACCGCTGAAAATTAGAACCAGCTGCATGCCTATTCTCAACACTAGAACTCCCAGAGCAGTCAATTTGACGCCTTTTAGTTCTGGAAGTGTAATCACCCAAAGTGTGTACATTTTTGGCCTTTCAAACTTTGTGATTTTCTCCCTCTATGCAATGTGCGCAGTTTACCTTTACATCCCACCAGAGTAGAGCCAGCACTAGTTACCATAGCAACATACTGTTTACTTGCAACCAGTTAGCATTTGGTAGCTTTATTGCTGTATTTCAAGTTATATTCACCAGTTTTAACACCAAATAAATTACGTAACTTTAAATGCATCTGTCAAAAAACTATGAGAGCAGTCAAAATGGCGGCTCTGAGAGTTCTAGTAGTTTGAGAAGAGTGAAGTCCTAACCTAGTACATAAAGGGACAGGTTGAAGGTTGTGCTTGTCATTTCCTGTGTAAATATAAAACATGGTTGAGTCTTGTGGCATTCGTAATCACCTCCAGCTTCGTCCTCGTCTGTCCAGATCCTAAAAAATGTAAACTTGGAGCAGCACCAGAGCGTTGTCGGTGGTTACGTTGATGTAAAGTTTGGGAAAAAGCACATAAAAAAAATTAAAAAAAAGAACTTTCCTCTGGAGCACGGGTATTCAACTCTGTCCTCAAATCACAGAGAGCGACGCCAGGTTTTCATTCCAACCAAGCACGACACAACAGACTCTATACATTTCCTCATGTTTCCTGGACAGAAGAGGAAATGGGTGGAGTCTGCTGTGCTCCTGCTTGGTTGGAATGAAAACATGTAGTCACTCTGCGCATTGAGGACGTAGTTGTATAATCCCATGCTCTGGAGAGATGGGGAATGTGTGAGCAGGTGGGCGGGGCCGCTCCTATGACGACGCTGGGGTCTGCTTCACCTTGTTGATTTCCTGCAAAATGTGGAGATCGATTTTAGAAACGGTTAAGGTGGAAAAATAATATTGTCATTTTGTGTGCAGTGAGGAAAAACTATTGTAAAGATAGATATAAAAATAATAATAATTTGTGATTCTGAGACTGTGACGAAACCTTCAGAACTGTTCAAAACTATAGCAGCTGTAAATACGGCCCATAATGCATTGTGAACACTCCACAATAGAAGAAGAGACAGATCATTGTTTCAACTACGTGAAAAAATACAAACAAAAAGCAAATATTCTTTGACTGTTCAATAATAGCAGTGTAGCATTTATCAACCTGGCCTAAAAAATTGCAATCTTTGAACCCAAAATTGTAGTCGAGGCACAAGAAATAAAAATAATGAAATAACAGAGTTCAGAGTAGATATTTAATGTTCGTAATGACCACCACAGCCAAATATCCTTTTCTGTAAAGTGAATTTTCAAATTAATCTTTTTTCAACTGAATGGTTTTGCTTTCACTTCAGAAATCTGCTACATTCTTGTCATCCATCATAAACAAATCCACAATCATAGATTTTGACCTATGGTTGTAGCTTTGTAGCTTATAGATCCTCAGGCTGCTGCGGCGCGGGTTAGTGAGCGACTTTATGTTTACCTCCAGAAGAGAATCTTTTAGCTGCACGTAGGCGTCGTCCAAGTGATTGTTGATGATCACCACATCAAACATTCCCTCTTCTTTACCTGAAACACACCACGGTCGTCAGAGACATCCTCAGTACTTATTCATCATCATCATCATCATCATCATCACTGCTCTTACTTAATTCCATATCCACTTTAGCTGCTTGCAGACGCCTCTGGAGACTCTCCTCACACTCAGTTTTTCTGTCTCTTAAGCGTTTTTCCTGCAACACAAGAAAAGAATCATGTTGTTCCACCTGAAGTTCAGCGGGAAGGCTGAAAGATGCAAATATGAGAGAATTTTTGGTTATTGAAAATTATATTGTTTAGTCTTACAACACTATAAAAATCCCTTTAGGCCCATTTCCACATGAGATAAATCCAGGACCTTTTCTTAAAGCTGCATTAGCTCACTTTATTTTTATGTTCATTACGAAAATACAATCCATATCCATACAGTGCATTGGGAGATACGTCCTTTTGAGGAATAAGTAGCGCAGCTTTGTGCTGCGTGTCATTTTATTTTAGATCGAATTTTCCACTTTCCACAGCTACAGGTCTGTGGTTAGCACAGACAGCTGAGGTAAACAAGCGGCGGAGGCTAACCTGAAACTTCCCGTGTCTTTGTTACCGGTTACTGCTACTGCTACTAATGCTACTGTTTAAACAGCCAGAGGAAAGTCTTTGGACACAAAGAAAGACACAAAATGACAATATTATTTTTCCACCTTAACCGTTTCTAAAATCGATCTCCACGTTCAAATGTGCGACCCATATTGTGAGACGCGAGCTCCGTAAACAACAGCACCTGAGCACAGGCTGAGTGGAGGTGGGGGGGTGGCGGGCGAAAGCTTCGTGATTGCGGGGAGGGGAGGAGAAAGAGCGAGGCCAGCGTTACATTTCAAACTGCTGCTTCAAAGTCAAAAAGTGAGTTAGTCCAGCTTTAAGAGTGACATCTTTAACGTTTCCCTACATCCAAGAAAATTCTCTTGGATTTCTTTCTGTGAGATTTTCCTAACAGTACTAATAATTCTTCTATGTTTGCATCAAATTTCTGAAAAATATTAAGGTTTAATGAACAATCCTTTCTCATGTGTGAGAGTTGTTGTTTTGGTGAGCAGAGGTTCAGTACCAGCACGTGCATGGAGGGCGGCTGGATGGAGATGTAGATGGGGTTGAGGTCCGTGCCCTTGATGTTGCGGACCCCCTGCATGTCGATGTCCAGGATGCAGATCAGGTTCTTGGCCTGGACGTCCTGCACCGCCGCTTTACTGGTGCCATACATGTTCCCCGAGAACACGGCGTTCTCGATAAACTCGCCGTTATCGATGCCCGCCTGCATCGCCTCCCGGCTCACGTAGTGGTAGTCTGCGGAGGAGGTCAAAGCAGTATTAGTATTATTATCAAAAGGTGTGTTTAAGAAATAAAAAAAACAACAACAAAAATATATGTTTCCAAAATCATCTTCTTCCTCTTTTTTTTCATACATTTTCATAGATAAAAAAATATAATAAAAACAACAGAATGCAGACTAACAAAATACAGAGCATCCATAGACAAATGTAGGTAGAGTAGCGTTAGTTTTACATATGAATAAATTGGATTCATGTACGAGACCCAATATTTGTTGCACTTGTCTCTGGAAAGTCTCAATGAAAAGGTCAGTCTTGTAACATAACTACTGATGTGGACAATTAAATAAATGAACACAAATAATAAAAACAAAAAAACAAAAAAAAAAAACAAAAAAATCAAGCTACAGAAAGCGCAACACTCCCATCTCCTGGCAGAAGTGGAACAACAGCCGACTGAAGGCACACCACTTTGAGAATTTCTCTAGTCAGATTACATTTACAAATAATTCAGAGGCAAATCCTTGGATCCAAGCAGTTGTTTTGAAAAATGAACAAAAATTGTACCTTTGCCGTTGACTTCTCCTGGCCTCGGTTTCCTTGTTGTATCTGAAAATGCAATTAAGAACAGACTTGTAATTTCTGTCATACAAATGAAAATACTCAAACAAAAACATAGCGATCGATTTCATGACAAAGTGTAAATAGAGTTGAAACCATTTGCTGTAAATATTAGAGTTTAAACCAACAAAATTCTTCCAACAAGGATGGGACGAGGAAGGTCATATCATAGTTAGCGGTTACATGGATAAATATATATATAAAATATGTATAAAAAAAGGAGTTTGCCAATAATTAAATTCAAGCAATGCAACAGTTCCAGGAGGCATCTTTAAACTGGTGTGTAACTACTAATGACTGTAACATCTGAAATATCAAGCATCAAAATGAGCTAATTTAAAAAAAAAAAATCTCTTTTAAACTTTTTTCATTAAATCTCCATTTGCGGCACTTTAAAAGATAAAAACAATGTCCTTGGCTGGAGTTGGCGAATAAACTCGTTAGATTCCACAGCAGTGTGAGAAACTCAGTCTTCCTGTAAATCCTGTTTTCCTCAAACAATGCAAAGTTATTTAGAAGATGACTAAGATCTAAGATAAAATACTAAGATAAAATGTTGAAACTTTTTTAACATAAACTACAATAGATCAAAATCATTCAAAAGCTGCTCAGAGAATCTCCCTTTTGGTTTTTTTATGTGATTTATTATCTCGTTTTGATACTAGTTTTAGCACGGATTCACATCTGATTTGATATTTTTGACTGGGGCTGTACTAAGTTCATCTTATTAAAAACAGACTAACTTGGGAATCGATTGATCATTTTTTGAGCCTTCCACAGCCTTAAAACCATCAGTCCAACATGTCCCCATAATACCATCAGTCCTACACGTCCCCATAATACCATCAGTCCTCCATGTCCCTATAATACCATCAGTCCTCCATGTCCCCATAATACCATCAGTCCTCCATGTCCCTATAATACCATCAGTCCTCCATGTCCCCATAATACCATCAGTCCTACACGTCCCCATAATACCATCAGTCCTCCATGTCCCTATAATACCATCAGTCCTCCATGTCCCCATAATACCATCAGTCCTACACGTCCCCATAATACCATCAGTCCTCCATGTCCCTATAATACCATCAGTCCTCCATGTCCCCATAATACCATCAGTCCTCCATGTCCCTATAATACCATCAGTCCTACATGTCCCCATAATACCATCAGTCCTCCATGTCCCTATAATACCATCAGTCCTACATGTCCCTATAATACCATCAGTCATACATGTCCCCATAATACCATCAGTCATACATGTCCCCATAATACCAACAATCCTCCATGTCCCCATGAAACTCACGCGACACGCTGAAGCCGAACACACTGTCATACTCCTTCATCAGCTTCTTCAGCAGAGTGCTCTTCCCCGCTCCGGACGGACCGCTCAGCACCACGGGCCTGGGACCAGCCATCGCTATGGAACACAACCAGAGGACAGGACACTTCAGACCAGGAAGAGACACCAGAGACTCCTGCTGTGACTCGTACGCAAGTCACACCAGCAGCAGCTTTTTATAACAAGAGAAACTGCAGAAAACACAACCAGAGGACAGGGCACAGACCAGGAAGAGACGCCAGGGACCAGGGACTCCTGTGACTTTATACACAAGTCACATCAGGAGCAGCATTTTAACGAGACTGCAGAAACACACACACACCAAAGCGCACACACTTGACACGCGGTCTCAAAGCTGTGACGTTACCATGGAGCTAAACCAGGAACAATAGTGGTCTAATTGAAGAGCTGTACTTGCCTTGCTGATGAGGGCAGTGGAAAACACAAAAACCAAAACAAGTCTGGGCAGTCACTGTCTACGATCTTATACAGAAAAGGCCAAATATTCAAAAATCTTCCCGCTCAAAACATTGTATTTCCTCAGGTTCTGTTTGTCTGTGTTTGGGTTAGCTCACAGTGAGAGTGCAGGAGTGGAACAAAAGGGTGTGACGCTTTTAGAGAGTGCATGGGAAGAACATGGGAGGGGCACCGCAGGCAGACACACATGCCGAGTTTTGGGTCTTCTGGGGGCGTTACTCTGGAATACATTTTTTTTCCATGAGACACGGAGCTGGGGCTTGAGGCCACATTTGGAAACTTTTTTGCAATTTTACACAGCCTAAAAGAAACACTGCTCAAACACAAACAAGGAAGTGTGCTCCAGTCTGTCCGGGTTTGAACTCATTTGAATCCTGATAGACTTGTTCTTGTTATAGTTCCAGTCTTAATGTATACAAAATATATTTATAATGGGTTATTTTATGAAATTGTGTAAATGTTTTTATAAATTAGCAATTTTATGTAAATGTGTGTAACTTTTGCTACCTCTTACCCAGGACTGCCTTGAATAAGAGGTTATTTCCTGATTTGAAAAAAACCAAAAACCTGGTTTTTATAAACTGTAGAAATCGTATCCAGCTACAGTACGAGTTTGTCAATAACCGTTTGGATTGTCACTCATAAAGTACATGTAACGTTAAACAAAGACACTAATATGACAGTGATTGCATTATGTAAGAACTGAGAAATGCCTTAACGCTTAGAAGTTAAAGTCGATATTGAACTTGCTTTTGTCAACACAAACAAGACGAACTGGTTACAATGTTTCGTCCTTTCAAGGGCATGACTCAGATTTCAGTGAAGACATACTGTAGTAGTGTGTAGTAAAAAGAGACATTTGTGAAAAGTGAATCAAACCAGATCCACCGCCTTTTACTTACATGTCAAGAGGTTATCATTGGACCGATCCACAATTTGTACAAAATAGACTTGCTCCATGTTAGCATTTTTCCCACATTCCAGAATAAATCCAGGTCCTGATTTGACAATAATGAGTTAAACGTGGTCCATGTGCAGCTTTGGCGGACAGACTGCCTCTGCAGGTGCAACTGACACCAATCACTTCAAGAGCAATGGCTAATTAAAGACTGAGATCTTGAATTAGCTTTTGCTCTTGAAGTGATCTGGACTGAAGCAAAATGGTCCATATCGTCACTTAGACCGAAGGGTTTTAGAAAAGAAATATCTATTGTTTCATGGGTCTATTTTGGTCTTTAAAATTGGGTTCAGAAATAATACATGCCGTTTGTGTCGACAGAAAGAGACTTGAAACATTTTGCTGTGGACAAATCAGACAAAAGCTTTATGTTTTGCATACTTGAGCCCTGAGAGTCACTATTTGACGATTTGGGCTGAGAGCTGATTCTCTTTTTCACTTTTCAGTCTGAAAAAGTTGCTCTAAAAACGGGACAGATGTTGATGTAAGATGTTAAGATATGTGCAACTAGTTTGAGACAGGAGGATTTAGACAGAAGGGGCGGGGGAAGAGTTTGAGCCAATTTGTTCAAGAAGTTGCTGTGGATATCAAGTAGACAGAATAAGGACTGACATTAATTAAAGTTCTGCATTCTCTAAAAGGTAAGTAAGACAAAGTTATCTTAATTTTTTGGAGAAAGTTTTGTACTTCAAGTCATCTAGGAAATCACAATTGTTTAAATGGGCTTTCATTTTGACTGATAAACATAGGCCACCTTAAAATGTCTGGTCATTCATTTTTTAATACTTGCTAGACTATTAAGTGCACCTGTATACAAATCACACCAGCAAAGTTTTAAAAGAACACTAACACGTTTTTTGTACTACTGTGAGTTTTTTCTTGTTGGATTGATCACATTTCAACCATGAAGTCTCAAAGTGAAATCCTTCTCAAACTAATTATAGATGGAATTAAATTGACCAATTATCAATTCACAATTTTGCCCAATTTTGGACTTCACTCAAAAACTAAAATAGTTTCATTTTTTTTAGGATTCCATTTGCTGTTTGTATGAATCTCGGGAAACTTGATCAAAATGAGAAGGATCAGATCAAAGTACTAGTTCAACTTATAGTCCAGTGATTGAAGAAATGGGTCAAACCTCAGCATGACAACAAACCTCACGTTAAGGGCTCGTGACTGTAAATGAAAACCATGTGAGACACGTTCTTTAATTGTGTCAACTGGTCAGTCATGAGTAATCTATTACTTAAGCAGCAGCTGCATACATGTCATAGATAGTATGTTTCAATAGTATGGCGACGTGATCTTCAAGGTTTAAAAATGCCATTCCTTTTTTAATCCCTGAAAAAGATATTTACATTTATCAGAAGAAAAAAATAGAGCAATTAACAGTTCACAGACAGCACTTCTTCATCACTACAGCTCTGCACTGAGAGTCACAAGCAATAAAACGCGGAAATATGAGTTGGAGCAGGCATAGGTGTTTTGTAATGTTATGTAAAGTTTCCCGATTTATCTTACTGTATACAACTACAAATAAACAACAGACTTGAAGACACTGCTATGCTAAAACCCGGGGAAGCTTCGTGGTGAAGTTCGGGTTTTAAACGAACATTTTGATGGTCCTACCTGAAAATAATCTGGAGAAATATCTCATGTACATTGGAGTGTTCGTAGTCCGGGTCTGGGAGCTGCGTTTAGGAGGTTTTCCGCCTCCACTTTGCTTTAGCAGTGCAATCCATCAGGCTTTTATTTAGTACTGCAAACGTCATCATTCAGCGACAATACATCAACAAGCTTATGGTCGCAGTAAATATACGTAACAAGCACTCAGAAAGTTTCGGTGCGATTTTACCAAATGCGTTTTCTCTAACGATCTGGAACTCCGTGTGTACAAAAGATTTATCCCGTATGTTTCAGTTCCAGTGTTTGATGCTGCATTAGCTAAACCTACAGGGCGTTTCAAGATTCATGTGTAATCTGACTTTAGCTTAGCTAGCATAGCAAAGCAAAGACAAACGAGTCAGGGGCGAAGCGAGGTTTGGTGACGCGGAGTTACTTGTTTGTACCGTGATCTGTGGCGGCGAAAAAAGTCTACAGTCTCCTGTCCAAAACAACAGCACATCAGCCATAACGTGTGGAGGAGACTCCGGGGATGCTCCGGGTGAAGGCCTGCTCTGTGACGCCTGACGCTAGCAGCTGAGAGCTGAAGGGATTCATCCTCCTGTGTCTCTTTCCTGGTTAAAATGTTTGGATCATCGAGAGCTGGCGGTGTGAGAGGAGGACAAGACCAATTCAACTGGGATGAGGTGAAAGTCGATAAACACAGGGAGAATTATCTTGGTAAGTGCCACATGGTCCTATCTCCGGGACACAGACGCGTGCTTTGGCTCAGATAAAAGAAGCGCGACTCAAAGTGATCAGACTCATACCTTTCCCCCTCTTGTCTCTCATCCCACTGAGGTGTATTCACTGATGTGTAGCTGAAGTTAGAGGTTAGTTCTGTGCTAGTGCAGAGCGTGGGTCAGTGCCCTGAGCGCATGTGCCACTACTGTCCTGTGCTAAAAGTTCCGCAGCGGCGCACAGCTGCCGCTCACATGAACACACTGCACAGACCCAGGGCCAAGAGGCTTCACTAATGAAGTATAAATATCTGCCAGTGAGTCCAGGCTCAAAGTGACACTGTATTTATATCAATGACTTCAAGTTATGTATGAAGAGGGAACATAACATCATTCCATTAATTCACAGATGTGTAACTTTTTTGTAGTGTTAATAAATAATACCTGTGTCCTTTCCTTGTGTTTTTGTTTGTTTGTAGGAAATTCGTTGATGGCTCCTGTTGGGAGATGGCAAAAGGGCAAAGATCTGACCTGGTACTCTAAAGACAAAAAAGGTGCAAGTTTGTCTAAAGCAGAGGAAATGGCTGCTGTGAAAGCTGCAGAACACGAAGCAATGCTGGCAGCTCTGTGAGTCACTTCTATGCAATTACTCTGCGTTTGTGTACACTTTTATGGTGGAAACATTGTGGAATGCTCAACCACTGTCCTCTTACTATCCCTTGTGCTTTTTGTAGAGGACACAAGAATATTAAGAGACAACCCACTGGTCTTACTAAGGAGGTAAGAAGTCATCTTTAAATATTCAAATAGCTGTTACAATATTCTTGAAGAATGGCGGAAGATTCTGGTTTAAACTAGTTTATAATATTGTTGTTTATGACAGGACCTGGCAGAAGTCTATAGAAGGGAAGAGCCAGAAGGGGAAGAACGAAATGTCGATCGAGTCTCAGGATTGGGGAGTTCGAGGTTTGTTATTAAAAGTTTATTTTCTCTGATCCCCATTAACGGCCTGGTCATATATCTGTGATAATACTTTCAACGTTTGTAGTGGTGGGAGGAAGATGGTGCTGTCGCAAAAGGAGAAAGAGGCTGCCAAAATGGGTCTGCCTGTTTTCACCGTAAGTAAACGTCACGCCACAAAAAAATATGGACTCCTTAGAAATATAACACAACACTGTTCCCTCAGCATCATAAGACGGAGGGTCAGTCCGAAATGACTTCCACAAAGACAGCTGAGAAATTGGAAAAAGAAGACGATTCAAAGTGAGTGGGGGGACAAGTTTTAGACCTGGTACCAGACAGTGAAATTTTGATTCAACCATCGCTGATCATTGGGTGTATTTTATTTATTTTTTTTACCAGGGAAGAAGGCAAAAAGAAAAAAAAGCACAAAAAAGAGAAAAAGAAGAAAGACAAGAAGGAAAAGAAAAAGAAGAGACACAGAAGAGACTCGTCCTCAGAGTCGGAGGATGACAAGAAAAGGTAAGTCCAAGTCTGACCACTAGAGGGCGGTAACGTACAGTGCTGTGTTTATACTCTGGTCCAGTCAGAACACCCCGTTTATATTAGAGATATTTGAATCTTCAACAACAACAAGCTCCTGATGTTTGAATTAAAATAAATAGTTGAAATGCTGATTGTATTCCGTGATTTATAAGTAATATTTATGATAGTTTTACAGCAAATGCTAGAAAATATGTAGGAAATGGTTTAATTGAAGAAATCCATTTGTCTGTTAATACATATATGAGAGATCTGCCAACAAGGTTTTCTGTGGCCAATTTCATAAAGTCTTTCGTTTGTAATTTGGAAGGCAACCAGAACTTTATGGATATTGATCGGAATTGGGAATAGATTTATTTTAAAGAAGGGACTGGAGTATTTACTTTTTTGAATGGGTTTGGTTAAACTTTTTTGGAGCAATTTTCTGAATAAAACCCAACAAGATGGCCAAACACTGTAGACTGACTCACAGATATTTTTATTATGATAAAATAGTTAAATAATGTGATTGGTTTCCTGAAAAAAAAAAAAAACTTTTAAATGACATATATATATATATATATATATATATATATATATATATATATATATATATATATATACACATATATATATATATATATATATATATATATATATATATATATATATATATATATATATATATATATATATATATATACACATATATATATATATATATATACACATATATATATATATATATATATATATATATATATATACACATATATATATACACATATATACACATATATATATATATATATATATACACATATATACACACATATATATATATATATATATATATATATATATTATATATATATATTAGTACCGGTATACAGTATATGTACAGTTACTACCATTCGCCAATCAGGAAAATGTTAAGCAAAGGAAAACCACATGGATGGATAAAGTAAAATTATTCACTCAACATCATAGAAATTCAGGTTCTCCGTAAAACCTGTTTTTCCCCACTTTCCTAAATCCAACTTGACAGAATCCAGTGTTTTGTCGTTGAAAGTACATGAGGATGGTTTTAGAGCTGCAACTAACGATTATTTTGTAAATCGATTAATCTATCGATTATTTTTACAATTAATTGAGTAATCGCTTGGCTGTGAATTCACAAAAATCACAAAAAGCTAAAGTGGCAACACTCGAGGACGTATTGATGGCGTAAACTTAAAGTAAATGTTTGTAACAGGCTCTTTGTGCTAATTCTGCTCTGATTGGATGAGACAGACAGATATTCATGAAATTATAAAAACAAAGTCGGTTTTTCATCAAAAATACTACATTTTCATGTCTTTTTTGCTCTGTTTGAGTCCGTGTGAACCAGAAAACGATTAATCGATTACTAAAATAGTTGTCGACTATTTCAATAATCGATTAGTCGTCGATTAATCGATTAGTTGTTTCAGCCCTAGATGGTTTATTCTACCTGAGTGACTCTTTCATAACGTACAGCCTTTGAGATTATGACCACAGCAGCACTCCTCGCGCCTCTCCCTCGCCTCTCCCTCGCCCCGGCCCTGCGACCTCATCACTGATTGTTTGCTTCCTTTCGCTCTTCAGGCACAAAAAGGACCACCATCGTCATAATCCATCATACCACAGTCAGAGTGGAGCCAGACCCCATGACAACCATTCACAGGGGGGAGCAAAGGGCGGCGGGCGGCGGCAGCGGCACGACACAGACTCCTCCGACGGGGGGCCTCCTCCCGGGGCCCGGCTCAGGACGGCCCCCGGCAGAGAGCCACAAAGCCACAGGCGACGCCACGACACGGACTCGGACTAATGTGATCTTACCCCCTCTCCATCCCCATCCCACCCCCCACTAGAGGACGAGTCGTAGAGGCCAGAGCGAAGAACCGATGGGTGTTTTTGAGTGAGGCTGGGACAAAAAATGGAAAGATCAAAAAACGCTTTCTTAAATTAATTATTGGGCAATCTTTCCCCTAAACAGATCCAAGCTGTCTTCCAAGCTGTCTTAAATACCGGTATGCATTTAATTTCACACATCAAAGCTGGAGTGTCTAACTTTATAACAACAAAATGAACATAGTGATAAAACACATGTATCTTCAGTAGTTCCTCTCTCCTCTCAGTCTGTCACTAGTTTTCACCCTATATTGGAGTATATTTTTGGTCTTAGTCACATCTTTACCTTGGCTTTCTCAAACTAAAAAACTAGAAGAAGAAAGGACCACTCAGCCAATCAGCTCTCCGTATGTAAAAGTTGAAATGTTGAAAAGATAAAGTGGTCTGACTTGTTCATAAAAAGTTACTCTTTATGTTGGAACAAACAAACTATTTATGAAATCCAAAACAAGTTAGATTCTGCAGCTTATTATGTTGAATGTATGCATCCATTTTTTAATTAAATTGAGATTGGTCAACATGAGGGAGGGATGAAACCGATTGCCCAGCTCTATTGTTAAGTGTTATTTTGTAACTGATACTTTTCTTCCTTGTTTTATTAGTTGAAGATAAAATGTTTTGCTCAACAACATCCGTGGACGTTTTTTCATTTTTCATTTTGTTCTCAATGAAGCATGACTTTATATTTAGGTGAAGGTTGTAGGCTTCATCAAATACTGTATACTGTAAATATGTTGGCTTCTGAGTTTCACATTTCACTTCTAGGTCTAAAATTGGGTTTTTCTTGGTTTATATTTGGGATAAACATGGATTATATTAGTTCAATAGTATAATAATAGACTTAAAAAATAGATATTTTTTCAGACTTAGATAATTCAATAATGACTGGAAATTTAAATGCAAATGGTGTTAAATTTTTTTATTCAAAGAAGCCACTGTTAAACAAGTCATCTTTTTGAAGATGTTCTCCAGCGGCATCACTTGAGCTTTGTTTTGGTCATTTAATATTCACTGAGTATGCTAAATCTAACAAACTATTTACTAATTGTAAAAATGATTGACCAACTAATCAAAATGTAAATGTAAATTAACTGAATTTATTTCACTGAATGCTTTTAAATCCAGATTGAGAGCACTCATTGACATTCAAACTGTTTTTATAATCTGTACTTTTATGTAATATTGGCTGCCTCTTGCCCTTGAAAATGGGGTTCTTAATCTCCATGGTACTTTCCTGGTTAAATAAAGGTTAAATCAAAAATAATAATTGTTTGTTTTCGTCACCGAGCAGCCTCCTCTCATCCACCCTCCATCCCTGGACCCTGGACCCTGGACCGCTGTGATCCCCATGGAATGCTCTGCTCTTCTCAGAATGGACTGTAGTGTTTGCATAGTCCCCGAATCGAGCTGAAAGCCTGGGTTTTTTTTCCCCCTGCTGCCGGACACCTGGGGGGTACACTAAAAAGAGCAAGCCATTCATAATGAAGAGTGCGGAGAGGCAGGCTGGTTACCGTTAGACCACCTCACACAGGCAGCAGCAGGGGACGCTCCGGGGACAATGATCTCCTTCACTCCTCCGCCGTGTTTTATAGGCCTGGGTGCTTTAACCATAGCAGCCAAATCAAGCTGGAAGAATGCCGTGCTAAATTGCAAGCAGCATACAATGTGGAAGGGGTGTGCTCTCCTCATTACGGCTTTAACCCAAATATTGGCCGGTTTTGGGATACCTCGGGGCAGCACATTTCTTCCCAGGTCAAAGTTTGTATGGCCCAGTGGGAGGCTGCCACACAGGCTTAGAGTCACTGCTCAAGTATTATTGCTGTTATTATGCCGATTCTATTCAAGGTGAAACTGCTCCAGCGGCTCAATGTAAAGGTGCACATGGTCGAATAGCATTGTAATATATTTTAAATTAGTTTTACAACATGGATTTATAAGGAAGTTGGTATTCTCGTTAAAGCTGGGGTACATCATTTGTTTTCTTCCTGAATATTATCTTATAAGAAAACATGTAATCTATTGCATACTTGTGAGACCTGTAGACACATACTTTACGAAGAAAATTGTGAAAAGTCAGTCTCGATTTGGCCATGGGTCTATATCGGATTGAGTCATCTTTAAAAATTGTCAGCCAATATTGTCAATAAAATGTAACCACCAAACTCTTGTTAAAATGGTTGAATGAAACATTTTAGTTTGAACTTTAAACTCACAAAACTTTAAAGGATTTACTTGTATACTGTATGGCATTTTAGCTTGCTTACAGGTCTATAGATTTATAAAAAGCAGATTCTTCCCAAGACACTTAACCCCACATAGCCTGAAGTCCCCGCTCAACGACCAAGGCCATCTTCCTGTGGACCCACCACCTGCAGGAGGACCAGCGAGGGACTGGTGCTATGAGACTCGACCCAGATATGAATTAATAAAGAGATAGAAATGACAGATTCTCCCCACAATCACAGTAAATGTATCAGAGGTTGAAACTAGAGGGACTCAACACCCAGAGTCCAGTGTGTTTTTTTGGGATTTTTATTGAATTGACATTACTTTAAATAGCTTTACACCAATAAAATGTGGTAAAAATATGAGCTAGGTAAACTTTGACAATAGAGTAGTGATCTATATTAACTTTTCAATAAACAACTTTTATTGCATAGAAGAAAATACATAAATCAGTAAAAGAAAAATATCCAGTCACTTCAATTACAGTGCCTTATCTCACATTACAAAACATAACAAGATCAGACAAATTTCAAAAACAAAGACATTTAGACGGAAAAACATCGTATCTACATCGAAGCAGAAAAAGCATGTCGTTTGGAGATCGCAACAAGCATGCCATGAGAGACATCACTAACCTTCATGCGGTTTAAATATTGAATGAGCGACAACCAAATGGAAATAAAACATTATAAATCGCTTTAGCACAGACACAGGGGCAATCGTGATCTTTGACTTTGCACAGTGCATTTGAGCGAGAACGGCTGGAGGCTCAACATAACCTGAGATCTCATAACATGATTTTTTTTTGTTTTTTTTAAGATTTGTTTTCAATACAAGGACGTGTTTGTCTACAGTAGCTCTACTCATTCCGTGTCTACGCTGTAACATCTGATGGCATTGAATCGTGGGCTCCAGGATGCTGCTGGTGATTTCTTCCCCCCCCCCCAATGCCTCTTTTTCTTTTTTTTATGTCAAATTCAAGGCTACCTCCAAAGAGAAAGCAACAAAAAGACCGAGTTTGAGTGCAAGCGTTTCCCCCCCCGTTACCAAATCTATTTACAATTGTATAAAATAAAGTTTACAAGAATAGAATATCCTAACCCCTTGATTGCTTTCTTTTTTTTTCTTTTAAAGGGCTTTGAGGTCAAGGCAGCTTCCAGTCTCTGGGAGAAGGTTGCTTGGTTTTTCAACACCTTTATGAGTACACACAAAAACATTTGGTGAAATACGTAGGAGTTGGTATTATTTGGTGCTTTTCAGTTGGGAGGAGAGCCAGTCCAGGCCTTCGTAGAGGCCGTCTCCGGATGTGGCGCAGGTGGACTGGATGTACCAGTGTCTGTTGCGCAAAGAGTGCAGGTTCAGTTTGTCCGTCAGCTCCGCAGCAGACAAGGCGTTTGGAAGATCCTGCGACACACAAGAATTATTTGTTAAATTAAGGGGAGACCACTACTTCACCAGAGGAAAAACTTAAATTATTTTTTACCATAAATAAAGTAGCAACTAGTGTACACCGTTGTTTTAGAACAGGGACTTTCACGGTAATTCAGTCAAAATAGCTAAACTAAATAAATCAATGACATACCTTAGATAATGTGTTAGATTTTGATGTCAATTACTGTCATGGGCTGCATTGTCTGACTGGTAAAGTGGACATAAACAATCCTGGTAGTTTAATCCTTACTATCCCTGTTTGTTTATTTATTTATTTGGATCCCCACTAGCATCTTCCTGGGGTCCATTCCACAAAAGGATCAATTCACATGAAAACATACAGAAAAAAATGAACAAAAATAACCTTTCACATCATCCTTAATTCAAGCATTGTCGTTTTATTTTCAAGTATGTAAAGTATATCTATTTTTAGTTTCCTTTGATGCCATAGAAAGCTAGATGAAGAGCCTTGTAGCATTTTTTTACATTGTGTATAAAAAGGAAATCACATAAAGATGGCAATTAGAAAAATCTTTGTATTTCATAAAAGTTGTATCTTTTTGAACACTACTTCTATTACTTTTGTCAGACGGTTGATTGTCTATAATTCTGAATATACTGGGTTTTCTACAACTTCACAAACAAAGTGAAAAAAGTGCACACACACAGACAGACACACACACTAACATCTGCTCTCACCTGTTTGTTGGCGAACACCAGCAGCACAGCGTTGCGGAGCTCGTCTTCAGCCAACATCCTCATGAGCTCCTCACGCGCCTCGCCGCAGCGCTCTTTGTCGTTACTGTCCACAACAAAGATCAGGCCTGGAAGAAAAAAACGCAACCAGGCAATCTTTATTATATTGTTTAAAGCACGGAAATTCTACGTGTTTTTCCCCAGGAGCCAAATGTGCTCTAGGCCTGATATTTGTACACTACCATTTTGAACACTTACAATGTTTTGGACTGGGCTACTGTACATCAGGTACAAACTAGGGCTTATATTTATTTAACTATTTTGAATTCAAGAACCAAAACAAAAAGTCAAAATGGTTGGAATGATTATGTTACATTTATCTAGTTTAAATACAGAAGAGTTTTATTTTAAAGGACATCTGTAAATACTTCTGAACCAAGTGCAATTATAGCCCCAGAGTTTATTTGATCTTTTATCTTATTTCAATTATATTGTCTATAATCTTAAATAATACTCAATTTGATGTGTGCAATCTGAGTGCTCTTATTTTTTATTATATTTGACCTTTTCTGAACAAAATTTGAGTCATAATTAATAAACGGTATTATTAAATACCACGGTGATGTGGTCCATAGTATTTATGTTAACACATTTTTATGCAGATAATCCAATCAGAAAGAAGAATGAGGCCCTCATTGGGGTTGCCAGTTTGTTAGAGGAAATGAGAGAACAATAAGTAGTCATACGTCATACACAGAGTTTGTACCGTTTCTAACAAAACTCAAGCAGGAGGTATGCATCAGTAATCAGGAGTGTCACGAGTAGGACGATTCTGGCAACAAGTTGGACTGTAATTGTATAAACTTTAGACTATTAAGTGAGTATTATTACATACTGCCCTTTTAAGACAGACATGTACTAATAATTGCCAATGAGAAAATGCTACTGTACATTTTTTACCTCATTGGCTTTTTACCTCTTTTTTTTTTTTTTTGTCAAATATTCTTGAACCAAGATAAACACTTATTTATTCAATACAGTGCCTATTATTTGATCACTTTTTACAGTGAACATGGGGTTCAAGGGAGCCGGATTTTTGCACGGCCCTGATTTGGTCTGCGGGCCGCAAGTACAACCTGATTTCATGGTTTGAAGCTCCCAAAAAGTAGAACAACCATTTACCTTGTGTGTTTTGGAAATAGTGACGCCACAATGGACGAATTTTGTCCTGACCACCAACGTCCCACACAGTAAAACTGATATTCTTGTACTCCACAGTCTCAACATTAAAGCCTGAAAAGCAATGGACAATTAGGACAACCAAAACACAAGGCACTTGGTACATGGTCAAAAGACACTAGATGCATTGTTGACAATGACATACCTATTGTGGGAATAGTTGTGACAATCTCTCCCAGTTTGAGCTTGTAAAGAATGGTGGTCTTTCCAGCAGCATCCAGACCCACCATCAGGATCCTCATCTCCTTTTTCCCGAAAAAGCTGAAGAGGTTGGCAATCGCATTCCCCATGGTGATGGTCAGGGGAATCAGTCTGAACACAAACGATTTTAGTCAAAACCATTAAAACTAAACTCATGTTTCGGCTTTTTCATTTTAATGTATTGGCATTTCAAAAGAAACATGTGAGGGCTTTTCCTCCTCTATATGACTCCAATACTCAAATACCACCCTCCCTTAGCTTTTTCCACCCCGTTTTTATTTTTATCAACACATTCTGAAACCCAGAGATTATTATGATCATACTTTAAAGCCCGTATCGTATGTTGCTGCAGTGATGACAGGTGTACAAGAGCAAACATGAGTTTTAGAGAGCCTTTTTCGTTTACAGTAACAGGCTAATCATCTTAGCTAATGCTAATGCTAGCAGTTAGCTTCTCCCCGCAGCTCCAGAGTTCAGCTTTAACCCGCGCTGTGAGCTCCGTATTTCAACATCACCAGGACGAACTACACACAGACGTTTCTGTACACGTGGATTATGCAAATAAAGGCTTTTGGAAGAGTAAATAGTCCGTGAGTGTCTTACAAAGTGCAGGAGCTTCTGTAGTCTCGTTAAGGCGTTTCCTTGTTGTAAAAATGGCGTCGCTGTTTTGACACGTCAGTGGTGCGTCCCCTCACCACACTGCCCCCAGCGGCTGCACACCAGAACTACATGCATCTGAGCTGGAGTCTGGAGCAGTGGTTCACAAACTCTCGAGACCTGGACCCTGGACCCCCAAGGTAATAATGCGACCTGTCCGCTAGGTACTGGTCTAATATACATTGTCATTGTGAAGCCTTTTGGGTTGCATTCTGTATGAACTGTGCTATAATCAGAATCTGAACAATGTTTACTGCCATTGTCAGTAAATGTAAAAATAGAATAAGGCATGCATAAAATACAAAAAAACCTACATAACAGTTCTTAAAGTTACTACTATTTACAAGTGCACTAAGTACACTTACATAGTAATAAATAATAATATTTGTAGCAAGTCCGGGTAAAAAGGTTTATATAGTGTACTTAGCCTTGAACCAAATGCAATTAAACCTACAGAGTTTATAAACTCATGTATTATTATTTTACGATCTGTTATCTTAGATAATTGATCTAGTCTGATGTGCGCATAATCTGGGTCCTCTTATGAACTGTTTTTATTAAAAGTGAAATAAAATAAAAAATAAGATAACTTCAATCTATAGATGACTACTTGTAAATCCCTTGGAAAACCCATTACTAGGTATTAGAAAAGGTTTTAGAATGGTTATGACGACCATCACCTCAATACAATTAAAAAGAACAGCAAATACATAAGTTTCACATTAAGTTATATCAAGTTTTGTCACTACTTGGACTAGTAAAAAAAAAGTCAATTCCTAGCCCATTAGATAAATGTTGTCTCATTAGAATCTATTGCAATCATATCATGTCTTAAATACACTTTGAAGGGGATACATTCATTGGCTCTTTGTTTAAATAAAGGAAATCTTTTGTTAAGTGCAGACGGTGGTGCCACGCTGTCTGTCCTCCGGTACGACTCCAGTCACTCAAGATCTATGGCCGTGTTTATAAACCAGGATACTTCCACTCTGCCCCTGAATGCCCAGGCATGTTATTGTTGGATGTGTTGAATTTTAACCAGGGTCAACTATGCCTCCTACCCCCAGCAGAGGGGGCAGCAGCAGGAGGCAGAGGGCTGTATAGAGGAGCTGATGGACCACACAGCGCACACTCATATAATGTGCACCTTCGTTTGTGGGTGAGGTGAACCAAAAGTCTTTTCACAATAGCATTCTGCACATTTTCAAAGTAACAGTCTACATTTACTTCAAAAGTTCATATGGAAATTTAAGTTCAGTTGGTTTGAGTTATATTGCGATTTGTTATTGGGACATTTGTGGAACTTAACCTTCCCCCTTTTTTTTTTTTACTGTGGACCCCCGTTATATCTGTATTACAAATAAACATTATTATCTGAAGCAATGAACGTCTTTGTTTTGCCCACATTCTTACAGTATCTCTTAAGCATGCGTCGTTTATGTCTCAAGTGATGGCATCCTCTGTTCTTATTGAGACATATAAAAAGCCTTGTCAACCACTTGTTCGATCTGGAGGGGCACAACTGCATTTGGTCCATTTGGTTTACTTGGTACAGATCCCCTAACTCTTTAGTATTCCTACACAATCAGATCTATAATTTATACAAACAGATAATAATAAATGGGAGTCAAGTCTTTGCCCAGACAGATCTTGAAACTCCTACTAACATTCCATCCATCCATCCATTTTCTTCCCCTGAATCCATTTCTGGGTCGGGGGGGTGGCAGTCAGAGCTGCACCCAGTACACTCAGCACCAGCCCCTCACTGATCCTCCTGCAGGTGGTGAGTCCACAGGAGCACTGTTCACTCACAATGGGTTATGGGTTAGTTTTATTATATACAGTATATATTAGCAACCAGGGGTGTCAAAGTCAAACACATCAGAGGGCCAAATAATCAAATTTGCTAAGCTGAGGGCCGGAATGGTTCAATGTGTATTAAAAAATATTAAACTGATGCATATAACTTATTGAACCAAGACCTTAAACAGTGGACCGCATTCTATTTAATGATTAAATCAATAATCCAATACTTGTGTATGGCTCATGTCAGTAATTTCAACAGCTCACAGACAAAAGATAAACTTCCTTCAAAGAGAAAACACATGCCCTGAACATTAAATAAATAATGGAGATATTTGACTTATCTCAAATAAGATGCACAGAGCCATAAGAAAATATAGATCAAATATCATACCGGGGCCAAGATATTTCATTCGTGGGCCGGATCTGGCCCCCAGGCTTTGACTTTGACACTCATGTTATAGACCGTGTGTGTTGGCAAATCGACAGCTTTGTCCTGCACGATAACTCCTGTTGTCATTCATGGAATTGAGTTTAATTGAGATAGTAGATAATGATGCCATACGTTTGGAAGCATTATTGGCTTGTCAAATTTTTCAAAGTGCTGCTGTCAACATTTTTGATTCACTTCACATCCACTGAGAACCCTACAACTGTAGCCACAGATGGAAGGAAAAGGATTGTGCTAGTCTGTGCCACTGGTCCCAACATCCACCTCCAATCACACACACTCACAGAATCCAAGCCATGGGTAAAATACATCATGCAGTTTTCACAAGAGCCACAGCCATCACTCAGGCTTAGCTTCTTAGATTTAGACAAATTGGTGTCAAGGTATCGTTTTAATAAATATTATTATTAAGAAATTGAAGTCAAGTCAAGTCTTCATAAGTTTACATTTGAATATAAGTAGTCCAGCTTTAAAGTGGTAATACCCCTCATTCCTGAGAGTGAACTATGGCAAGTTACAAAAGTTCAAGAGTTCTGGACAAAGCGATCACCATAAAGGCGATAGACTCCCTGGCAGACGCCATTTCCTTGATCAAGAAAATTATCAATATTTTGTATTATTAATATCAAAATTATAACCTCCAGTATAATAGCAGTACTTGAAGGAAAACATTATGTGTGCCACTGTTTGTAAAATTGTATTTTTAAAACGGCACTAGAAATGTATTATTCTGACGTACCTGGTCTGTTACGCTGGAGCCAGTGGAAGCCGACCGTCACAGACTGTGGTAACATCCATGAGCTGTTTCTGGTCATATCCTTATTTGACCTTTCCAAAGTATAGACGTGTCGTGGATGTGAGGTTCTTCAATGGTGACTTTATTTCCGCACTGTCGAAAGCGATGGCTGAAGTTTCTCTGCATAGTCACTTCAGGACACATTTACTTGAGGCGTACAGCGATGGGGAGACTCTTATGGAGGTTTTTAAAGAGAGGATTGCCAAGGGGCCATTTTGGGCCTCGCAGTAGGACCTCTGAGGTTCTCAGTAGGGGCCATGCTCCCCCCTGAGAAGTGGCCTAGCTCAGATAAAGACACCACAAGGGGCTTGTGAACGCTGATTTGCAGTGTGTAGACGCACAATAAAGGAGCAAACTCAAACGTTTGTCCCAACTTTATGATTTATTTAAAAAATGTATTATAAAAGTCTACGCAATCATTTGGATTTGGATCAAGTGTCTTGAAATTGTTCTTGGGAAACCAGTAGATTGTTACAGCTTGTCGTACAAAGACTTTTTTGGGGGGGAATCAGTACTAGAACTGGGATAGACAGGCGTGGCACACCACCCTCTGCGCTTTATGTATCGGATTATACGTCGGGCAAAATCCCAAAAGATGTGCGGAACGCAAAACAAACCGAACATTATCACCACGACCCAGCACACTGCCATGTGAGCATCCATGCTGGCCGTGTCTGTTGGCAACAAGTGCGACTGGGCACCATACCCCACGCCTCTCACAGTAGGGGGCGCCACAGGAAAAAGCTGTTCGGGGCAAAGGATAAATATATACTTGTGTAGGGTGCCAATCAGCTTTGTTAAATGATTGTAAAAAGCCTGAAAAACCTTCCTCTGTGGGACTTTCCGTATGGAAATGTTCAATTATACAAGTCCAGTGTACTTCCTGAAACAAATGAGTTATCTCGATTCATTCTTGTGATCCATCAAGAATGAATTGTGTTCAAACGCTTCCCATTCACCATTTGCCTTAAATGTCCCATACTTTAACACTAGGTTAATCAGTGCTCATGGGAGCTAACAGAGTCAATAGAAGATGTACGAGGACATCCGTGACAGATGGTTGAGACAGCCCTTCAAGGACGTCCATCCTCAGAAAGAGGATGGGGGCCTCTGCGTGGGAGCGAAGCTCTGGAAAAAGAGCCCGATGTGGGTCGATGTGGCAAACTGGCAAGGTAAAATGGTACGAACAGAACAAGCTGTCCATGCCAGGAGCTGGATTTCCTGGTGTTGGATGACTTGTTTGAACGTGAGGTTTCCCAGCAGGATTTTCCCTAAATTTTCCAACGGCCTTTGATTGACCTACATGTTAAAGGGACATTTCTCTACCTTCATTGAACTTCAGGATGCCTTCACAGAGCCAGAGCTGTCTTAGAGCACATGGAGATGAAACAATGGCATGTGTTTGAATGACTTAAAGTGGGTTGGTTTGATGTGGATTCATGTTTGCTGTGTATACAGGATTTTAAGGATTGTCCCACCCTTGTTCTCTGTTTTAAATCCCGCTCGATCCCATCGAGAAGGCATCAAAGATTGAAGTGTGAACCTGTTGCACCTTGGCTGGATAATTGGTTGGAATGCAGCATGTTGAAGCAGGGCCTTCAGGACAAGATGCACCAAGCGCCAAAATCAATTTTAAGACTGGAATTGTCATTTTGAATTTGTCGTTATGATCTCATTCTTATTTCTTCATGGTTCCAAAATTTTAGCATTGACATGCTTTTTCATTGCATGTCTTTGTCTTCACAACCAGAAAACACCCCTGGCCCAATGTTTGGAGAAGATCATCTGAGACTTGATTTTGGTAAAGGTAAATGGTCAGTGAGAGATGATCATGTTGAACTCTCTGAACTGCAATCGTTCAGTCAGTGGAGGGAGTACATAAGGGTTTCTGGTGTCAACTCTCTAAATGCACATTAATATGAAGATGTCAATGTGAAAGTATCTTTTACAACCTCTGTCCCCAACAGGAACATGTATGAACTGATGTATAAGCTGATCGTCTTGTGCCCTGAACTGAAAAGATTAAAGTCCTATATGATAAATCAAATGAGAGTATGCTGGAGTTGGACATGCAGACCACAGTGCAGGCATTTCCTCCTGTCGTCTGCAGAAGGTGTGTGGAGTTTGCAGCGCACCTGTCTGCCTGCAGGCGCTGAGCTGCAGCCTCTCATTTAAGCTTGGCACTCGTGGGCTGGTGCATTAGCAGCCTTGTCATTGTACTTCACTGAAGACCCTGACAGACGGTCTGACACGGTGACAGGGTCAGAGGTGTGTGCGCGATGGACACACCACGCCACAGCACCGGGCTGCTGCTTATGAAGCAATTGCAGGTTGTAACCCTGAGGCCCTTCAAGGCTCCTGGTTCAAATGGCTGTCGGAAGACTGTTGAAGCAAAACAATAGACTAGTGATGTCTTTATTTATCTCGGTAGACATTTTAAAAGTGCCAATTGCTTGTGTTTGTCTACTTTTGATTAGTTTGCCCGAAGGATTACAGTCCCACTGGCAATGACCCTCTGGAGTTTGAATGTATTTATTTGACAAGGGACAGTGAACTATAAACATTAGTCTTATAATATACCGTACCGTGTCATGTGCCGGGTTTGATCCAAATCACAAGTTTACTCCCGCAGTCGTGTACAGTGAGGCAGTTAAATGAGCGTCCATTTACAACATAACAGTTTTCAGCCTTATTCATTTCTATCATATAGTCACTTATATCCACACAGACACACCCACAAGCACACACATACACACTCTCATACCTACGTACCTTGAATGTATGTTTTTGGGAAAAAACTAAATACAGTAAACATGTAAAATTGCTGAAGTAGCTCAAATTGGTTGATGTTATAGTTAGTAAATAATTTATCATTTTGACTAAGGGAATTTAGCAAACAGGTACAATCCAAATAATTTCCTTGAGTTTGGACAAATTCACAGGTTTCTAAACGCTGGAATAGTTGCCCAGTCAATTGTTTTGGGCCCTCATCAACAGCAAAATGGCCAGTGGCGTTAATGTGTGTGTGTGTGTGTGTGCTCAGAGTGGAAATGGAGGCACAAAGGTTTCCAAAGTCTCAAATCCTTGTTAAGACCCTCCATCTTTCAAACTAAAATGGCTCACATCAAGTATCTGCTCTGCCTTTCTCCAGACTACATCCACTAATCCCACTGCCATTTTGGATTCTTTAGCTTGTTGCAAACGGCAATCCTTTGGTTGTCCGGCAGTGGAACTTGGAGAATGTGCTCTTTGTAAATTAAAACTACATTTATGGGCTTTGATTGAGCAAAGAATGTTACGTATCTTGTTTGCGTAGAGAGTAAAGCCCAAAGGAGAGAAGATTCCCAAATTCACTCTGATTGGGTTGAAGGCACTTGTTTCACAATGACCAACTAATTATATCCAGTTGAAAGGATAAAGACGTTCAGAAATTGAAGGGATCTTTTCTGCATTCATTCCATTGACATCATAATCAGTTACTAGCGCTAAATAGAGAAACAAAAGTAGTCTTTTACCCCACGTGATCAAGTGTGCATGATTATATATGCTCTTAAGAAAAACTTTATCCTAGTTTGTTCAAATTAAACTGCTTCTATAATGGTTAATTTAAGTACAATTACAATCAGACTTTTGATATAACAACAATATAGTACAGGACACAAAGGAAAACAAAACAGACTACGCATGCACATCCTGGATTAACGAATCATCAACAGATAACGATTTTAATGGAGTAAGAAATAGATCAGACAATTAGAAATGTCTTGTTGAGATTAGCCTCACTGACCAGAGAAAGAGAGACCCTAGAGAGAGACCAGAGAGACACCAAAGAGAGACCAGAGAGAGACAAGAGAGAGACCAGAGAGAGAGACAAGAGAGAGACCAGAGAGAGAGACAAGAGAGAGACTAGAGAGTGACCAGAGAAAGAGGAAGAGACCAGAGAGAGACAGGAGAGAGACCAGAGAGAGACCGAGAGAGAGACCAGAGAGAGACTAGAGAGAGACAATAGAGATCAGAAAAACCAGAGAGAGAGACCCGAGAGACCAGAGATAGACCAGAGAGAGAGCAACCATGTAAACAAATGGAGTTACACAATCCAAAAGTCAATGTCAAATAAAGCCATTTGTTTGCAAGTAAGAGTATTTACAAACAGCCTTGTTGTTTTAAAGTTTCCTGGATGACGACAGCTTCCAATTAGGGGCTAATGCTATCTATATTAACCCTTCGCCCCCTCCCTGACATCACTTTATTGAGGCGAGGGAGGGGCCAGGGCTGCCTCAATAAAAAACAGCACTAAAAGCAATTATAGTGCTGTGAAGAATGGGACTTGTCAGTAATTTGCTGTCTAAAAGTGAGGAGATTGCAGGTCTGGGGCCGATTGGAATTCTGAGCCTGCGGTTCAGTGTGGGAAAAGCAGTGGGAAGGCGAGCACCACCCTTTGTGCGGTAATTACTGGAACTAGCAGAGGCCAGCGCCAGTCCTGCTAATGATAACCCCAATCCTCCCCGAGCCCTCACCTTGTGACTGATATCAGCTCATGCACTGAAGCGGGGCGGTGCGTGTGTGTGTGTGTGTATGCAAGTGATGCTCGTATGCAAACAGTTTACATTAGCATAATAAAGGTAACTTTCAAACCATGTAATCATAAAATCTATCTAACTAGTTATTTGCTCTCAAAAACGTATAGCTCTGTATCAAAAGTTTCACAATCATGTGTTTTGTTTGGCTCAATCCTGTGTTTTGATCAGCTTTTTCAGGTAGAAAAGGGAAAAAAAAGGCGCAGCCAATGAGCTCTCTGCCCAAAGTGTCAAATACAGTTATTCATATCAGAGCTCTATCTTGAAAGTTTTCCCCGCAGAGTGCAGGCTAGGTGCTACCTTAGAGGTATGGTGAGGAGCTTGGAGTAGAGCGGCTGCTTCTCCACATCGAGAGGAGCCAGTTAAGGTGGACTCGGGCAACTTTCTTGGGAATCTTTCTCTGGCATCTTTCTCGGACTGCTGCCCCCACGACCTGTCCACGGATAAAGCGGAAGAAAATAGATGGATGGATGAATGGCTGGAGTTAGCTCATGTTATGTTCAGCTTCTTTTGTATCCAAACAGTATGTGTGACGACAGTGTTCGGTTAGTCCACTCCTTACACACGGACTGGTTAAAACCCAAACAGGTGTCTAATGTGAGGGATTAAATACATGATTAAAGATAGACTAAATCTAATGGCAAATATTGATTGTAGATTTACATAATAGATACAAAAAGTTGAATGAAAGTTAGAAATAAATAAACTTATTTCCATTTGTTGTCCCACATTCACACTCACAAAGACACACACATTCAACCCTCAACTATTGTGCACAGGAGGCGCCTGCTTGACTTAATGTACATGTTTTTAGTAGAGGGGAAACCGTAGCACTTGGAGGAAACCTATGCAGGGGAGGACAATACCTCCATACAGAAAGGCCCTAGGTGGGTGGAGTCAAACCTAACCTTTTTTGTGTTGACCACTGTGCCACCATTGAACTCAGACACAGCAGCACATGGAGGAGCTGCTGTGTCTGAGGTGCAAAAAGACATACAGTGGGGCCGCAAAACAAAAGTCGACTTCACTTCACAAGTAACATATTGAGGTAAACAATCAACGTCGTAAATTTTTAAGAAAATGTGTTACATAAATGGTAATCTATGGGCTCTTATGGAACATTGAAGCTTCACCCAGTTAGTAGCTTCATTGCATAAAGCTGCCAAAGTTATTAAACAAAATTCCAGATGGGTTTGTTTTGATGAGGGAACAACAACTATGTTTGAGTGAAATGTTTCGTCAAAACAAAACTGTCGAAAATCCACACAGACAAAGAGCTCAGTAAGTGACGCAGATGAAGCGTATACCTGCCCCACGGCCCTGGGCTCAGAAGTGGAGGTGAAAAGGTGACTAATGACTCATCATGGCTGCTTCTCCTCCCACGCTGTGATCTGATGACCCCTCCTCAACCCCCAGGGACGCACCACACCAGCACCTGTAGCCCCTTCTCTGCCACTCTGCCTCTCTGCTCCTTTGCCTCTCTGCTCCTCTGCCTCCCTGCCTCCCTGCCTCACAGCCCCTCTGCCTCTTTTCTCCTTTGCATCTCTGCCTCTCTGTCCTCTCTATCCTCTACTATTCAGCCTTTTCTGCCCCTCTGCCTCTCTGCCTCTCTCCTTTTCTGTCCCTCTGCCTCTCTGCCTCTCTGCTTCTCTCCCTCTCTCCTTTCCTGCCCCTCTGCCTCTCTACCTCTCTTCCTCCCTGCCTCACTGCCACCCTCTGCCTTGCTCCCTCTTCCCCTCTCTGCCCCTCTGCCCCCTCTGCCTCTCTGCGTCTTTCCCTCTCTCCTTTTCTGCCTCTCTGCCCCTCTGCCTCTCTGCTCCTTTGCCTCTCTGCCTCTCTGTTCCTCTGCCACTCTGCTCCTTTGTGTCTCTGCCCCCTCTGTCTCTCTCTCTCTCAGCCTCTCTGCCCCTCTGCCTCTCTCCTTCTCTGCCTCTCTCCCTCTCCTTTCCTGCCCCTCTGCCTCTCTACCTCTCTTCTTCCCTGCCTCACTGCCCCCTCTGCCCTTCTGCCCCTCTGTCTAGCTCCTTCTTTCCTGCTCTGCCTCTCTCCCTCTCTCCTTTTCTGCCCCTCTGCCTCTCTGCCCCTCTGTCCCTCTGCATCTTTCCCTCTCTCCTTTTCTGCCTCTCTGCCTCTCTCTCTCTCATGTTTTCTGCCTCTCAGCCTCTCTCCCCCTCTCTCTTTTTCTGCCCCTCTGCCTCCTGCCCCTCTCTCTCCCTGCCTCTCTCCCTCCTTGCCTCTCTGCCTCTCTGCCTTTCTGCCTCTCTGCCCTGCTGCCCCTTTGCCTCTCTGCCTCTCTGCCTCTTTCCCTTTTTGCTCCTCTTTGCCTCTCTGCCTCTCTGCCCTTTTGCCTCTCTCCCTCTCTGCCTCTCTACCCCTCTGCCACATCGAGAAACAAGTCACATAGGTCTTCTTTACACATGACATATTCAATGAAGCTGTTTGAAACTTAGGCACCTCAGCTTTAACACACTTTCCCATAAATGACATTGAGACTCTTTTGACTTTCCAGAGACATGAGCCTGTTTCAGCAGAGTCAGTGCTGAGGGGGCAAGCGTCTTTGTAGATCTGCAACAAAACAATACAAACAGCACTTCAAAAGACAGAGAGGAGCTACAGGTGCCGCGTCATTCATGAGCAACAGTTGAACCTCTTTAGAAATCCCTAAAACCAGAAAAACTCATCACGTACTCTCACTGCAGGCGACACATTCGGCACATTCTCACTCGCGTTCGTCCATAATACACAACTTGTCAAACGTAACGCAAAAAAGTTTCATCTCGTCTGCTGGTTTTTTACAATGTTTTTGTTTGTAATTAACATCGAGTGAGAAGCGGCACTTTGAAAACTTTAGAAATGGTTATACAGTAGTGTGAGAGAGACGAGAGGTGTGAACGCAGACAGGATCTATTTGGAAGTGAGAGGGATTATCACTTCAATGATTTATTTTATTATTTATTTATTATTTTAATTAATTCATTATTTTTTGTTCATTTATTTATTTTTGTTTATCTGTGTATCTATTTCTTTATGTATTCAATTATTATGTGTTATACTGTATTTATTGCTATTTTTATTAATGTATTTATTTATTTTTGTTCATTTGTTTATTTTTGTTCTATTTAGTTATGTATTCAATTATTTTGTATATATTTTTTGCATTTATTTGTTTATTTTTGTTCTATTTAGTTATGTATTCAATTATTTTGTATATATTTTTTGCATTTATTTATTTATTTTTGTTCATTTGTTATTATTATTTTTCAGGCAAACACAGGAGCATCAAAGTTGCTATTATTATGAAAAAATAAAACAAAAGAAAACATACCTATAACAAAATCTAAAAACTATTTTGCCTGAAAGGGAATGGGAAGAGGAGAACCGATGAGCTTTGATGGCACAAAGGAATATGACACTGGCACTGATCTTAAAGCTTGGGTATCTAACTTTCAAACCACAGAACAGAGAGCTGTGTGATATAATCCATCCGAGTATTTCTAATATCTCAAAACAGCATGGTTTCACGTACATGTCTTTTTGGCCCCTGCCACATCTTAGAGACGTTTTTTTTCTAGGCCAATCAAAAACTTCTAACTTCTAATTAGATAAATAGAGTAAATGTTCTGATTTGGTCAATTTATTTTACTATGACGTGAGGTTTAAACAGTATTAATCAACAGTAGTTTGCATTGGAGTTCTCACTGATCATGGTATAACAAAAAACTCTTTTGTCAATAATAATAATCAGTCACATTCATTTTTTTTGTTTTATGATAATCGTGATAATAATAAACGGCCCACATACAACGGCCCCATAATAATAACCTTCTAATGATCGTGAACATATCCTTCAGTCTGAGCGGCAGATAGCAGTAATCCACTGACTAGATCTTATTTCAAAAAGAGGAAAACATGAGACATCAAAGTTGGTGCTTCAAAGTGGCTTACATAATAAAATTCCCACTCAGGAGCGTCACCTCTGCTGCGCGACCTACACAACGGCAGAATATTTAGAGCCGCACATTCCAACTCCTTCACATGAACCAAGACGCTCTTTATCTGGCAACAAGACACTGCAGATGATTAAGAAAACAAAATAAGTTTAAAATTATTGACAATGTATAACACTCAAAACGGCCAAAATGGAAAAGTATATGGGGCGTTTGAATAAGTACATATATTATTAAGATTATTGCTTGTATATATATATATTTATTAAACATTTCATGACGAAAGCGCTTTATAGTTCATCATGCAACATTCCCTAGCTGCCCCGGGGATGACTGAAGGAGAAGAGGTTGCCTATCTGCACCATCAGTCCTACCAGCACCCTCACACACACATACCAGAAGTGTATTGTCCATCGACTGTAGAAGGGTTTCCTCCGGGCTCCGGTTTCCACTACAACCCAACAGCACCAATGGTAGCCCAAACCAAATCGAGCATCAATTCAGATTCACCACTCTTGGTTTTGGAACAGACCAGCTTCGCTCCTGATTGGCTTTTTGGTCACTAGGTGGGACCAAAGAGCCTGAGATAAGCTAAATTCTACGTTAGATGTCTTATGTCTTAGTATTTGTCCACTCCTTCTACAGCCAGAGCATCTAGAGTTTTCCTTTTTTGGGACAAAATACGTCAAAAGAAATGATTGAATATAATATAATAGGTAAAGCAAGGAAAGTTAGTTTGCTTATTATATGACTTGGACTGTACGCGCGCTCTGATTGGCTGATTTGCGGTCTGATATTTTCCCATCTCGGACCGCTACCATGACAATTGGTCCGCAGCGCGTATCAGATTTGATATCTTTCTTTGGTAACAAAGAAATAATGAGCGACGACTGGGAGCATTCTCCAGTGAAATCTATTATCCGGACGAGTTCGAAGAGCCAGAGGAAGTACTAACAGCAAATAACGACGAAAACACAACTCCTAACAGTCAAGAAGAGATTGACAACGGCTCAGTCTGTACAAAAAGACCACAGTCTGATATTTCTCTGTACAGCCCTCGCGCTCGTTTAATAAACCGTTATTATTGCCTTGTGCACTTGATTTATGCACAAGGCAACTCAAAGTGCTTAATTAATCACAGTACATTAAAAAAAGTGTAGATACAACTCAAACCCATTGTATGTTATGGTTCAATGCAATTTCCAAAATAAAACTCATAATTTCTAGATACTTGGCGGCACGGTGGCTGAGTGGATAGCACTCTCGCCTCTCAGCAAGAAGGTCCTGGGTTCGAATCCCGGCCGGACCAGGGCCTTTCTGAGTGGAGTTTGCATGTTCTCCCCGTGTCTGCGTAGGTTTCCTCCGGGTACTCCGGTTTCCCCTACCACTAAAAATATGTCCAATAGTTCTGGCATGCGCCTCCTGTACCGGCGACCCCGCTCCCATCTCTGTGTGGAGTGAGAGACAAATGCCCATAATTAACAATTGTAAACCGCTTTGAGACTCAGATCTGCAGTGAAAAGGCGGTATATAAATAAACGTACTTACTTACTTACTTACTTTGTAGAGCTACGTGGAAAGGGGGATGGAGATATAATGGCTGTAATCTGGAGACCCCTGTGTACAGCCCAAGGACACAACAACAGTTTAGCACTTTACAGCCTCAGCCGGCCCTTCTGTGGCGACTGATGATCCAGTGTTTTCCACAAATAATTCAGCCCAAGTGTTTGTAAGGTTTTTATTGAGCTCAAACTTCTACTTGTGTATTCAAAGTGGCAGCCAGGGAGTTACACTTTGAGCTGTTGCAATCCACCAACAACAATGAGAATTACATGTCAACTCTCTGTGTTCTCAAAACAGAAACTTTGTAATACAGTATGTAAATATTTCCCCTTTGAGATCCGGAAAACCTGATTGTAAATAAAACCAGAAGTTGAAAGATGATGAAACTTCCAGGGATGGTAAAATGGTTGTTTTTTCACATTACAATGGTCCCTCACTGTTTCTCATTCGATTGTGGATACTCAAACAACGTCACAAACAACATCATGTAACCGCTATAGCATAACATGACCATTACATTTATTTAAATTCAGAAGAAAACGTTTGTGTCTTGCGTGCACCATATCTCTCAGTCCTGCTCCTGCTCCTCAGTGCAGTGTCCTCTTCAGATTTGACAGTGTAGAGCATGGCTTTTGACAGCTGGAAATCCATTATATAAATCACATACTTAAAGATTCAGTTAGCGATGTTAGCTTAACCGGAGCACCAACTGGAAACCGCTCCCCCCTCCCCTCGCCTCTCCACCAAACCAAACATCCAGCATTTTCTTGTCTTTGTCACAACAGGGAGAGTGGGCGGCAAACGTGAAATTGGCATTTTCTGTTCAGCCATTTAATGTTTTAGAAAATAATCCGATAACTCCGGTGAACTCGCAAGAAACAGGAAGAGGCTGAAGGGGGTAAATGCATCCCATTGGTTTATTTTTATCGGTCCGCTCCAAATTATTTTTTATTAATTTTTGGAGACTATAGGCATCTGATCAGTTCCATTACTATTTGAAAACACATGATTACTTGACTACTTTTGGGGTTTAGGGACGTTTTCCCACAATATTTTTAAAAAAAAAGGCATCTGGAAAAAAATCACTGACTGCATCTTTAAATCAAAGCCATGATTAAGATGAACATTGGGGTAAAAACGGGTGAAACTATGAAAATTGGGTTATCATTCAAAATGCCATTCACTACCTTACAATGGGAAACTAATTCATGACCAACACTGACATACCAAGCCTTTACGCAGTTGTAATGATAATAATTTGGCTCACAACTTATAAAAAAAATCACAATTTATAATACTGCATTTGTATGTTATGTATTTATTGTGTTCTATTTGTCTGCGTGTCACCTGTTTATAAAAATATATAATAATAAAAGAGAACGCATTTATTGTGTCCTATTTGTATGGTTATTTGCGTTGGCGTCAATGTTCTCACAGTCAGGACACTATCTGGCAACTATCTGCTAACAATGTGCGTCTCACTTGGGTGACAACACAGCTTTAGGTGGGCC